GCCAGAATAACCAGGTCTAAATTATCACTATCTACTATCAGCGGAGAAAAGCCAGAACTAGGCGAGTACGTAAATTCAATTATTACTCTGCTGAATATTCAAATATTGCACATTTCAATATTTTAACATTTAACACACATAAAACAACACGGACGCATTGTATATCGATGAATAAAATATGCAAATGTTCAATAATCAATATTCAAACTGTTTTTGATGTGTTTGACAGGTTATCAGCTGTCAAATGTAAATTTTAAACACAAAATATAAAAAAACCGGTATTTTAACCGGTTATTTTTAAAACCGGTTTTTCTCCCTTTTTCTATGCAATTTGTTAGCGAAACTTAATGTTACCCTGTTTTAATGTGCTTTGTGAAGCTCTTTACGTCTTGCTTTCTTTCTTGCATGCCCAACTTCCGTTTTTCTACCACGCAGCGCATAAATCACTCACCGCGCCACGGTATCACTGCAACCACCCACCAAACAACACTAAACAAAGTAGTTGCAGCAAGAAATAGGAGCGATGCGGAAGGCGGTCGCCAAGATTTGCATCCATTTACATGCACTCTGCGCATTTTTACACCACATAAAGCACAATTTATATATTGCAGAGTAAAACCGGTATATATTTATGCCTTTTCTTAATTTTATGAAAACCGGTTTTTTAACTGGTTACATTAATACTTTTAAATCTGTATTATTTAATGTTTTTCTTGATTTTATGAAAAAAATACCGGTTAACCGGTTTTAATACCGGTATTTTCCAAATTATGTTTTTTTTAAGATTCAAGGAAAAAAACCGGTTATAATACGGGTTAATTTTAAAATTCCGGTTTTTATACACATAAATCGTATGCAAAATAGAATTATTCACAGAAGGGTTGATTATGATTATCCCCATGGGGACTGATACGTGCGAACCTAAGTTATGCTGAATTTACACCCTTGACATCTAGAATCCTTAGAAGGGACAAATGTAACATGTGTGTGATAAGGGTTGCAAACTTTTTTTATCAATTTTAATTAATTTCCTATTTGTTATTCGTATTTGGACGCCGACGTGGAAATTGATTGCGTTTCGAGTCAGTTGCGAATCGTTTTCAGTTAGTTTTCCGGTTTGCGTCGTTTCCGGCTTTCAGTGTGGCTATTTGCGGTGAATTCACGTTCTATTTCTTCTGCTAAATCTACTAGTTTGGCTAAATCTAGACGAGAGGAAAGGAGTGTTTACGTTGACTTTGATTTTGAGTTTTCTTTTGTTCGTAAATCGCAAATCTAACGGCTGGGGGAGAATTTTTTTTGTCTTCGATTAAACTTTCGTAAAGTTTTTTATTCAGGGGGCTTTTGAGAAGAAAATTCGTTGACGTTGCTTATTTGTTACTTAGTTAGTGTGTTAGGTTTCGTTTACTCGGAGTTTTTTGAACTTTTGTGGCATTTCAGGACAATTTACGTAAAGAAAACAGTTTTTTTGTATTTGTAATTTAAATACCGGTTTTATACCGGTTTTAATACCGGTATTTTTTATACACATGGTCCATTATCATTTCTAAAGTATTTTTTTTTGCATTTCTATGGTATAAAATACAATTTTCAAAAAATACCGGTTTTAATACCGGTTTTTATACCGGTATTTTTTATACACATGGTCTATTATCATCTCTAAAGTATTTTTTTAAATTTCTGTGATGTAAAATACTATTTTCAAAAAATACCGGTTTTAATACCGGTTTTATACTGGTATTCTTTCATTTTTCATCCACAATGTATATTTTCATCCCTAAAATATGTTTTTTTATAGTTTTCCGCTTTGATTTATGCCCTATTCATTTTTATTTACTTTTTGTCCGTGTTTTTATGAAGACATTAACGTCATCTGCATTATATAAACCCCAAGGACTACGAGACTACATACAGACACAAACTATAAGGACGATAACTTTCCGCCTCGCATTTTTTATGACTCGCCCGCTTTCTTTAAGCTTTTTGGATTATAAATATTATTTAGAATAATGCACATTGTGCCCGCCAGATGGCTGGATATCGGTCAGTCGGAGGAGAGTCGCCATTGTGCGGCGCACATCCTTACAGACAGACATTCTCACATCCGGGCATCCGGGCGATATCTATGGTGTTACTGCCCTTTCGCTCGTGGTTCTTTGTGTGCGCAGCGGTTCACTATCGGCGCGGGATTTAGATTTAGATATAGGTTGTGATATTGCCAATATACAATGTGTCCAAAGTGAAAAATCATTAAAAATGAAATTTGTGTATAATATAGGCAACTTAAAGTACTTTATATTGAAATTTGGGTTGTCTATGTTAAATAGTTTTAATTTTTAATCATTAAAATTACTATTAAATACACTGGGGGTAAAATACCGGTATACCGGTATTATGAAAAACCGGTATTTTTTATGACGCAATTAATTAGGATTTATACAAAAAAATATATAAAATACCGGTATAAAAACCGGTATACCGGTATTTTTCTGCCAAATACCGGTATTAAAACCGGTTAACCGGTATTTTTTTTAAATAAATATTTTTCAAAACAATATTTTTCTTGATTAAAAAAATACCGGTTAACCGAAATACCGGTTTTGACTCCAAAATTCTCATCCCCACTGTATATCCCTACTCGGATGCAAGTAAAACTACAAAAAGGAGGCGTGAAGCCGAAGGAGGCGGACACTGTGCGTAATTTATACGCTCGGGTCCTTTTTGGATGCAGGAAGATAGACTCCACTGGCTGGAAATGACCAAAAAATGACCAAGCGCCAACTAAATAAAATAAAGCCACACAGAAATTGTTTAATTTTAAATTAAACACTGTCTATAGGCGTCTCTATAGACTTCCCTATAGCGCGTGAGTGTGGATTATGTGGATGAATGACTCAGTGTGTTCAGTGGGTTGCGAATTTTCGGAGTAAAACGTTAAAATGCAGCTGTTGTAGGGAGTTTTGTTTGGTTTTTGAATGTGCGGAATGAATAAAAACAAAGCGCGCTGATTTCAACAGATGCATTCAACCAGTCATACAGTGAATGCTTTAAACATAAATAAAAAATATGAAATTGCATGAAAAGAAACAAAAATAACTGGGTATAATTGTTCACAGATGAATAAAGACGATTTGGAAGTATAGGTGCGCAATTTGTAAGCATTTTGAGGTTATAAAACATAATGTGAATATAAATATTTTAAATTTTTGATTTTTTCGAGATTACTCTGTATATAATAATGATAAATGCAAAGTTTTAAGATAATTAGATAAAGAATTTATCAAAGAATCAATTTTTGAAGGAATTATTAATTTATCTCTGTTTGTTTATGAGTTATTTAGTAATTAGTACAAAAAATCTATTTTTGGGATGAAAAATATGAAAATACCGGTATTAAAATAGGTCAAAAACCGGTATTTTTTTAAATATTGTCTAAAATTAAAGAAACTGTATAAAAACATAAAAAATAAAAATACCGGTATAAAAACCGATATTTAACCGGTATAAAATCGGTATTAAAACCGGTATTTTAAAAAATAAGTTTATATACCAAGAAAAATATAAAAAACCTACTTTATAGATAAAAATAAAAAATGTGTATAAAAAATACCGGTATTAAAATCGGTATAAAAACCGGTATTTTTTCAAAAGTCAAAATTAACCTAAAGAAAACTATAAAAAACAAATTTTCAAGATATACCTATATAATACTCGTATATACAAAAACCGGTATTTCCAAAATGATATCTAAAACTATAAAACCTAACCTAAAAGCACATTGTGCGTATCTAACAGCTAACACAAAACGGGAAAACCGCAGACGTGCCGATTTCCACTTTCCACTAGTCAAAGGACATTTCGCATTGAATGCTGGACACTGGACATCAAGCACATCCCAACACTGCGACCACACCACCGTCATCTTCCCCAATCTAATTCACATACACTCTGTTTAACAAAACACAACTAAAACTAAAATTAATATCTCACTCTGCATCCCACCCAACTCAACACAACACTCTGTATAAAATATTCGAGATGCCACAACCCGCAGGACAGTGGTCGCTCTAAAATGTCTCCACATAAAAGCAGAGCTGCTGCGGGTCGAAGTGGACAGTCACAAAGCGCGCAGAGAAAATAAAACAAAATAAATGCAATGTTGGTTGCCTACAGTTTAGTAGTGACTAAATAAGTATTGTGGGTTGTCTAGTGAATGTTTAGATTGTTAAACGTTTAGTTAAACATAATTAAATGACGTTTTAGTGCAACAGCAGTTGCAGTCTAACACGCTAATCAAAACATAGTTTTGGCGACCATGGTTATCCGGCGCATGCGCACTGAATAGTTAACTGCGTTATCTTGCATCAATGAGCACCAGTGGGTAGGAATATCGTATTATCAAGTTAAACTACTCACTACTCACTAACAATGTAAGGGAGAATGTGGGATGACAAATGCCAAGTGTCAAAAGTTGAAAAACCGGTATTTAAAAAAATAACCCGTAAAAAACCGGTTTTAAGAAAAACTATTTCATAAATTTTATAAAAACATTTAAAAAAATTGAAATTAAAAAAATACCGGTATTTGAAAAAATCGGTGTTGGAAAAACCGGTATTTAGAAAACCGGTTAACCGGTTTTTTTTTTCATGAAATTAAAAATAATATTTAAAAAATACAAATAAAAAAAACAGGTATAAAAATCGGCATTCATAAAACCGGTATTAAAACCGGTTAACCGGTATTTTTATAAAAATCAAGAAAAACTTCAAATAATTTAATTTAAAACTTAAGAAAACATCAAACGAATTCCTATCAATAGAATTCTTCCCCGAATAAAGATATTTGATCCCTGCTATTCTTTGATGCTCCACACACCGCATTATTCCAAGCAGATAAGAGGGTATGTAATTAATTAATTCACATTCGGGACTAATTAATGTACACCCGAAATTGAGCGCAAGTGACACATAATTAAATAAAACATTCTAAAATATTCTACTCACCATTCATAACAATCTCTCCTCTACACGTAATAATTCACCAAATTCACTATAATTGATTAATTTCAATTTTGTTCACTGTGTTATTACTTTACCGCCCTGTATATGCTCAACAAAACTTTATTGTTCGTGCTTAACATGAAATGTGTGGTTAATGGTCATTGCGGTGTGAATGATGAGAAAGTTCGAGATTCGCGGCGGCGGCGGTCGGCGGTGGTCGGCGGCGAGACACTCACGCGTCCTTCGAGGACGAGATGCTGCGCGCAACTGAACCGCTGCTGATGTTGTACGCCTGCTGGATCTACAAAGTGCACACTCACGCCGACTCACATCTCATTCGCGCTCGTCTAACCTAAAAATGTGTGTCGAGTTAACTTGTTTGTTGAGATGTGTATGTGTATGTATGGTTGCATACAGTTGCCTGACTTGGATTTTATTCAAATTCGTTGCTGTGTGATGGTGTATGTTAGTGTCAGGATGTACAAAGGATAAGAATAAGTGGCTGGCGTGTGTTTCGTTTCGATTCGCTACGTTTTCTTTGCGTTTTTTGTTTTAGTTCGGTGTTTCGCTGCGCGTAGCTGGGAACAAAGATGTTCGGGAGGGTTCGCGAGTGTTCGGCGCGTGCGGAGTTAATATACGATGGGAACAAGTCACGATGACAGATAAAAGATAAAAACGCATATATTCACTACAAATCGTTGTTATATTTATTATAAGTTTATTAAATAATGTTTTTAATAATATAAAATGTATAAAATGAATAAAATTCTATAAAACAAACAGAATTGAGTTTATTTTAATGTAGGCAACCATGTATACCCTAAAACTCGTGTTTTTCTTCATTTACAGTCGAAATAATTTAATATCTATGTTTTTATCGTCTTAATTATACAAAGTGTTCCTAAAATATTAAATTAATTAAATATTTATGTAACACCCTGTGTATCCTGCCCTATTACAACTGATTTTCTTCATTTTCAACCCAAATAATTTAATTTTTCAATTTTTTCATTTTTCTTCTTATAATTATACACTGTGTCCGTAAAATAACAAAATAATAATTTTTTCCGGATGATTGATGCTGAGGAAATAATTAATATCACTTCATCTTCATGAAATGCTCATAACGTGGCGTCATCCCTCGTGATACTCGAGTTAAGACGTGCGCTTCCGCATGAATTTCGACAAAACAACGAACGTAACAACGACGCACACCCAGCGAAGGAACAATTCAGTCGTTTAAGACGCTCGACGTCTCTCTATGAAACGTTTCCGCATGAATTACCACGCAAACGTATCATGCAACAAATTTATTTCAATTGCTTCCGAGATAGTTTCATGTACTGCAAGCCATACTAATTCAGAAATTATATATGCAACCAAGTATACACGTTATATTTTATTTGCTTTGGTTTGACGGATTGGTGTTGAAGTGATTCATTTTGTAGTCACGTGGTACTTCACGAAGTGATGCGTGTGGGGGTCTCGGGAGTGTTTGTTAATAAATTCGCACTACGAGTTGATGTGAAGAAACTGTTGGAGTAGTTCACGGTTAATCATGTTCCACGAATGTTTCACGATTGTTTCACGAATGTTCCCGAACTAATTTGTGACGTGACGTGAATGACGCGCGTCATTCTAGTGCTGTGCTGCGTAAGATGTAACACAAGTTGCCTATGTTAACATAAAAATTCATTAATTTCTTTTTATTTCTTTATTTTTACATAAAAACATTAAAAATAGACTTATTTCAACTAAATAAAATGATAATATTAATAAATTAGTGAGTTATTGAATGGGTTGTATGTATTTTGACACGTGAATATTAGATTTCAGTAGAAAATCACGAATTTCGTAGAAATAGAGAAACAGATTCAGCGAAATCGAATGTCACGAGTCACAGAGCACATAATTAGATCATTTGAGTTTTTTCTGTATGCTTGGTTGCCTAGCTCTACGTTGAGGTGAAAATAAATAGAGTAATGTACAATTTAGAGTTTGAGCACGCTTGCGGTCACACCCAAAGATAATAACTACTCGAAGATGTAAAAAACAACGCAAAAAAGTATCTCTTGAGTATATCTACGAAGGAGACTTTGGAGAATCGTAAATACGGATTAAAATTGCATGCTCGAGCTGTGTTAGACCAAAAACTCACTCGTTGAATGAGAAATAAACTCAACGCCTTGCTTTGTGCATTTTTTAAAACTAAAAGTAATTTTTAATCTCAAAGAAATAAAATTAAATAAGTTATTTCAGACTTTTAGGTGTATACATGGTGTGTATACACTGGGTGTTGCATAAAAACATTGAAATAATATGTTTTGGGAACACTCTGTACAATTAACACAATAAAAATGTAAAAATTAAATTAATTGGATTGTAAATGAAAAAATCATGAGTATTAGGGCAGGATATACAGGGTGTTACAAGAAATTTTTAATAATTTGTTATTTTAAGGACGTAGTTTTATTGTAAGGATGTAGCACTGTATGAGAAACACGAGAAAAATTTAAAAATTAAATTATTTCGATTGTAAGTCAAGAAAATCCCAAGTATTAGGGCAGGATATACAGGGTGTTGCTTTTTAAAATCTGTTATTTTTGGACACACTGTATAATTTGCATGTTAAAAATTAAATTTAATGAACTATAAGTAAAAAAAATTGTAAAATTAGGGTAGGATACACAGGGTGTTTCACAAAAATTTAATTATCTTGGTATTTTAAGGACACTCTGTATAATTTACATAAAAAAACATAAAAATTAAATGAATTGGATATAACTGAAAATCAGTAGTACTAGGGCAGGATATACAGGGTGTTACATAAAAATTAAATTAATATGTGGTTTTAGGAACAGTCTGTATAATTAACACAAAAAAAACATAAAAATAAAATTATTTTCACTGTAAGTGAAGAAAATCACGTGTTTTAGGGCAGGATACACAGGGTGTTACATAAAAACATAGAAATAATTTGTTTTCAGGAACACTCTGTATAATTAACACAATAAAATGTGAAAAATTAAATTAATTGGATTGTAAATGAAAAAATCATGAGTATTAGGGCATGATATACAGGGTGTTACATAAAATTCTTATTTTTATTTATTTTTTATTGCTAAGAAACCACCTAAAACCAATTTTAATATTTGATGAAAGTCAAAAGGTCAAAATCAAATTACACACGCGATACACCTGGTATAAATGTCGATGAAGCCCGTGAAGTGCAGGTTAGTAGAGCACTAATACAATAACGTTTGAATTTCTCAAACAGAAAATTCAGTTTGCTCATCGCACTCGACCGAAAATGATAAAAGTTTAAAAGTTTACCAAAAATAATATGGCGGTTGTAAATTTCCGTTTAATACTCTTGTTTATACGATTGTCGGTTGTGTATACTCATAGATATGAGTATAGTGAGGAGGGAAATCAGAAACTTAACCTCACTTCTTCAGGTGCGTGGATAGTGAAAAGTTTGAACGATGTTAAAACTGTCGAAAGTGCAATAACGAAGCAAATTCCGGGCGCCGCAGAGGTCGTAAAATGTGCGAGTGGTAGTTGTAGTGGTGATAGTGTTGGGGAAAATGGCGGCCATGATGATGATGCGCGCAATGCTATTGAGGTTATGGATATTGATATTGATATTGATATGGAAACGATGCGAGAATTTGCATTGGGGCGGAAGGTCAGGAATATTGAAAATGGCGATGACAACAAAAAACTGTGAGTGTTTATTTTGTAGGGTGAGAAATACCGGTTAACCGGTATTTTTTTGTTGTTGTTGTTTAAATACCGGTATTTTTATTGATTTTTACCGGTATAAAAAATATTTTAATTTTTTTTAAATACCGGTTAACCGGTATTAATACCGGTGTTTCGGTTAACCGGTATTTTTTCTTTCAAATATCGATATTTTTCAATGCGATATATACCAATATATTAATATTTTGATACCAAAAATATCGATTAACCGAAATACCGGTATTAATACCGGTATACCGGTATTTTTTTTAATCAAAAACCGGTATTTTTTTGAAAAATACTGCTTTTATATATACCAGTATACCAACTTTCACTATTTTTATAAATACAGGTTTTGAAAATACCGAAAAACCGGTTTTTTATCCAAAATTCAATTTTTTTAATTTTTTAAATTTTAGAAATACGAAAAATATGACCACATCTGATAATACAAAGAAAATCATCGAAAATGCAACTGCTGTAGCTACAAACACTGCAACTATCGGTGATGGACGTGTCGGGGGCGGCAAGGCAATTGATGGCACCGCGGCGGCGAGCAGCGCGCAAAAATTGCACTTTCCGGCAGCGCCAGTTGGCGAACGTATTCTGCTGGACGTCGATCCGCCAACTGATGGCCCCGCGCTGCCCCTTTCGGCCTTCTCGGTTATTCTCGGTTGTTTACAGCCGGTTGCATTCCCATTAGGTAAATACATAACGAAATAAATAAATAAATAAATAAATAAATAATTTAATAAATTCATCCAGAGATGTATAACTGTAGAAATAAATATAATACTATATGCAACCCAACATACAGATGTAAATAGGTAATGTATGTTTGGTTGCATAATTTATATTTAATTTTATTTTTATTTGTTTTTTTGTATGTTTTTTGTAATAGAAACATTGAGGGAAGCCGTTCAAGGTCGTCTCTCTTTCCATGGGCTTTTACTTCAGGTAAATGTTGCGTGTTTCCACATTTTCCGACATTTTCCAGCATTTTCCGGGTCATTCGGGTGTTTTTTCAGCATATAACCTTTCACAAATGTATTTTCTATATATTCTACATTATACAAGACAATAAAAATTAAATGTAGTTTAGTTTCCAATTCATAGGTGGCGCCACTAAGAAAACAATCAAATTTTATAAAATAAATCAAAATTAGTAAAAAAAACTTGTTATTTCTTAGTAAAAATTAATTTTCAGCTCTTTTTCAATGAAAATATCTATGAAAAAGTATAAATTTACTTGCATTCAATAACCATAGATGGCGACACTTACATAAACAACAAATTTTACCATCAAAAACCAAACTTAACCTCATTTTTCAATAATTTATGAGTAAAAACTAATTTTCAGGTTTTATTCTATAAAAATATTAATTAAAAACTTCAAATTTAGTTTCATTTGCCAAAAGTAGATGGCGCTACTTACAAAAAGTACAAATTTTACCATAAAAACCAAACTTAACCTCACTTTTCAGCTATTTATGACTAAAAACACATTTTTATGCCTTTCCAACCTAAATATTTATTAAAACCTTATAAAACTTTTGATTGATAACTTTTCCTCAATTTATTTATTATTTTAAATCACTCCGCTAAAAAAAACACAAAATGTCGGCCATTTTTTCCCTTCCACATTAAAATTCTTCAAGTAGAAAAAATGGAAAACTCCTCGGCGTAACTTGATGCACGAAACTCTCTTGAAATATGAAACTTTCGACTGATTTTTAATGCCCACGAATTTTTCTACTTCACCCCATCCCTTCACCCCCACTACCATTACTCCTCTCTTAGAAGAGTAGTAGTACTACCCTACACCCTGTACTCCCCTCTCTCGCACCCCTTCTTTACATATTTTTCATCTTTCTCATTTTCCTCTCCGCGTAACAATTTTCACTCAAAGCGCCTTAAACCTACGTCAATGTTTAGGGCTGGTTAGTTACATTAAAATTACATCGGTCAAGAAAACGGAATAAATCTGAAAAATGAAAAAAGTTTACAAAAAGTTTGTGATAAAGATAAAAAATTGTGGTGAAAAGTTTAGTGCGATTTTAATTGTATGTGCACTAAACTGAATAACTGAATAAGGATAACTGGCGCGCGGAAGGGACCGGAAAACGACGCCGTGGCTGTGGCACAGTGGCAAACAAATTGGAAAAGTTTACGAAAGCGTCATGTTTATTAGATGTAAAACGGCGAGGTACGCCGTGAACGAGCGCCGGAAATAAAAAGAAAGCTTAAATAATGCAAAGTAGGCAACCCAATATACCGCAACAATAAAATGCCGCATAAAATAAAACTTATTTAAATTTAATTCACAACAAATTTTATTTAAAATAAAATTTAACTTTAAAAATAGTTTTTATATTTTTGTAACACTTGGTATAAAATTTATAATCAGTGCTGAAACGGATCATCATTAAGTGGTTAAAACTTCATTACGTGTTACGATTACGATTTTACGACATTCGGGGATAATCAATTGGCAATTTTCCGGTTTTCCGGTTTTCCGATTTGGAAAGTTTTTAGTGATTCGCATACTTTTAACGACTGAAATGCTTAAAATGTTATCAATTCAGTGATAACTGATAATATAAAGTTAAAAACTTGATTTTTTTGTTTTTATATACAAAGTGTTTCGGAAAAATTTTTATTTTTTAGGTTTTGACACGCTTTTCGGTTATTTTAATGCAAGATTTTGATATTGATAATCAATTGACATTTTCCGGTTTTCCGGTTTTCCGGTTTGGAAAGTTTTTAGTGATTCCCATACTTTTAACGACTGAAATACTTAAAATGTTATCAATTCTATGATAAGTGATAACATAAAGTTAAAAACTTGTTTTTTTATGTATTTATATACAAAGTGTTTGTGAAAATTTTTAATTTTTAATATTTTGACGCTGTTTTCGGTTTTTTTTTCATTTGAGATTTTTATTTCTTTAATCAATTAACAATTTTCCTGTTTTCCGGTTTTCCGGTTTATGAAGTTTTCACCGATTCACATATTTTTAATCCCCAAAACGCTTAAAATGTTATCAATTCCATGATAACTGACATCATAACCTTCAAAACTTCTATTTTTATTATTTATATACAATGTGTCTTTAGTAAAATATTAATTTTTAATGTTTTGACGATGTTCTTGGTTTTTCTAAAGCGGGATTTTGCTATCGTTAACTGAGCGAATCTTTTTTGTGTCGGGGATTTTCCTCGTTTTCTTTTTTTTTTTCTTTCTGTCTTCTTTTAACTGTTCTTCCGACCTGGTTTTGCGTTCGCGTTCGATTTCGTTCGCATCGCGTGCGAGGTCGATTATGTTAACATTGATAAAGCGATCTTTTTCATTCTTTGGCTTTTCGATTCGCTTTTAACGTTTCCAACAGCTACTCAGTTACAAATATACACTGTGTTCAAAGAAATCCACAAAAAAGATTTTCAGCTGTTTTAAAGCAAAAATTGAAATAATTTGATAAAATTTAATTTTTTTTGAAATTTGGATGGCCGGTATCTTAAGTTAGGTATAAATATACAAAGTGTTCAAAGAAATTAAGAAAAAAGTCATTTTTTAGCTGATTTCAAGGAAAAATTGAAATATTTTGGTAAAATATGAGGTTTTTGTATTTTGGGGGTCGGTATCTTAGGTTAAGTATTAATATACAAAGTGTTCAAAGAAATTTCTTTAAAAAAAAATTTTTTCCGTTTTAATAACAAAAATTTAAATATTTTTCCAAAATTTTGAGATTTTTGCATTTTGAGTAGTCAGTATCTAAGCGCAGATATAAATATACAAAGTGTTTCAAGAAATTTCTTTTAAAAATAATTTTTCTCACTTTTTCTGCAAAAAATCAAAAAAAAAATCAAATTTTTAATTTTTTTCATTTTAGGCAACAAAAATGGAAATCCTGCTAGTATTATGGTCGGTATCTTGGCTGATTGCCGCCGTCTACGTGCCGTACACGACACTCGTCGAGATCTGCTGCCGGCGGCGAAAATTTCTGCAGCGTCTCGAGAATCATTCGTCGGCGTCCAGCCTCGAGCACGCCGACAACCTGCGCCGCCTCCACGACAACCACAACCACCACCATCACCTACAAAACACATGCCACACACTCATCCTCAACATTTTACTAATACTTCTAATGTAAGTGTTAATTTGGTTGCCTATCGATGAAAATTGCAAATCAAAATTAATTACAATCGAATTAAAAAATCGAACATGCAGCGGAAGCTTGGGTCTAATACTGGCTGGCAGCGAGCAAGCAAACCGATCGATCCATACCGCCTCCACTGCCGGCGGCCGGGCGGCGGTGGCGTTCGAGGATGTTGAACGTTTTGCGCGCAACAGCGAGATGCAGATTGCGTTCGTGACGGCCGCCTCGCTGGAGATTGCGCTCGATGCTATTGATAAGGATTTACAAGGTATATAGCCGCCCCCAATACCGGATGCGCAATTAATTACGCACTCATTAGTTTCAACATTAATTTTCATCCAATATCTAATATCTATACTACACTACTATCCTCATAAAACATAGGCAACCCAAAAAACAAAAATTTTATTTTTCTCTCTCTGTGTTTATAGACGCGGAAAATTTACTCGGCAAACCAATCAAGAACACATTCGGCGAGTTCTATAACCTCGAAAGCACGTTTCAGTCTTTGAAACTTATTCAACAAGGTAAAAAATAAAAAAAACTTTTTATTTCTGTTTGTATACAATATTTGTTTCCATTTGTGTGTAACTTGGGTTGCAGACAGTATAGAAATATCGAAAACAGTCACAGCGATAAAAAGCGTATGTGTGGAGGCGGCGGAGGCCTCCAGTCGACTCCAACGACGTCTGGATGATCTCATACCGCTTGTCCGTAATATTCGTCAGGTTTGCGCTGAACGCGATGGAGTTTTATGCGAAACTATCACCGAAAACGGTTTGGTTGTCACTTTGGATGTCAAAGAGGTAAAAACATGTTCATATGGTTGCCTATAGTCACTTAATTGTACATATAGTTGAATGCTGACGGGAAATTAATATATCTCAATGGGATTTCGACTCAAACACACTTCAATTCATCTTTGCATGAAGCAGAAATGAATTATCAAGATATCGGCCGCAAGATAGCGCTGGAAACGCATGAACCACGTGCAGGTATTCGATTTTTCAGTTTTTTATAAGTTTAACCTCTAAAAACATAAAATAAACATGTTTATTGGGTTGCCTATAGTAAAAATGAACTCTAACCTAATTTTAAGAAAAATTTCATAAGAAACAAAACAAAATGGCGTAATTTCATGATGTTTTCCAGACTTTTCATTCTTTTTGTTTTTTTTTGTTTCTGAATCACTTAGCGATAAGAACAGCATTGGATCGGCATCGTACTGACATCCACAAGCAGTTGCGAGTATTAGAGGACACTTCAAGGTCGTTGATAACGTCCATAAAACGCGGCGGTGATGCTTTTACACCGTATCGCGCTGTTATCGCCTCCTGGGAGATGTGGCGTTATCTACTTACATTCGGTAATGCATATAATTCAATATTAACCTAACCTAACCTCAATTTAATTTTAAAAAATTATTTTTGACAGTTTTGGTTATAATTCTCTTCATAACATGGATGTTACTCCTCTGTGGCACGCCATGTTGTTGTACACAAACAAAAATATCATTTGCCATCCTTGGAGCATCACTGGCGGCCATTGCTGTCATTTTATCATGGTTACAAGCAACCGCCATGTTGTTATTAGGCGTACATGGCGAAACATTCATCTGTCGGCCATTATATCAACCAAATTATGAAATAATCACTGGATTAGTTGATAATGGCGGTGTTTTTAGTCCAAATGGTAGTTTAATACAAATTAAACTAAATTTAAACGAAACAATAAGAGTTGCGGATGTGTTAAGGTATTATTAAGATGTGAATAAAAATAACAAGCTATTTGGGTTGCCTATCTCTGCCCGCAGGGCAGCGGAGAATAACAAGACAGTCTACAAAGCGTTCAATTTAAAATCGCTCCTGGACATCGACGCGTTGACGGATTTCTCGCGTTGGTCGGACGTACGTGTCGCACTCGAAAGAATCCGCGTGCAGCGTGAGTTGAAGATCCTTTCACCCGCGTTGGAGAACTCCCTGTTGGATTTTACAAATGCCGGCGGCGTGAATCTGACGCTGCATCGCACACGCGCTGCGCGTCCCCCTGTCGGTAGAGACTTGCACTCATTGTTGGATCAGCTCTACGCCATTGCGAAACATGTGCGCGACGTGCGCACCAAGGGACGCCTCGAGAATCTAACCTATAAGCTGCGCGACATTGTCGATAACGAGTACAAGCAGCTCAACGACGTGCAGGATCGGCTTATCTATCATATTACTGCGTTGGATGTATTGTTAAAACCGCTGGTCAAACGTGCTGAGCAAGTATTGGTGAATCTGACGAAGTTTCAACAATCGATGAATTTCGAACTGGAGAGTATTTCAAAGCATGTAAGACAATTGGGTTGCCTATAGTTGTGTGTGGGTTGTGTGATTCAGGGTTGTTTTTTGCCTGCAGCACGTAGTAAATTACACCAACAGATTGGAAGATTATCTGGCGCAGTTTCGTGCGAACGTCCTGTACGAGATCAAACATCGGACGGCAAAAACTGGCCCATTATGGCGCATATTCGCCGCGATCAGGGTGACGCTGTGTGATGGATGCGTCGACGGCATTGTGAGTTTCTTCGTCGGTTTTTGCACACGCTTGCTCCCCCCTGCTGGGTATGTAGTGTCGGCGTCATCGCTGCGCGCCGCGTTTTTCTCTCCCCTCGCTATTTGTGTGTGTGTGTTTGTTCGACGCAACGATCCGTGCCACCTTTTCATCGAAAAGTCAAGAACAAAACGTATTGTCCAACGCGCGGCATCATTTTCAATTTAATTTTGATTATTCACGGTAATGTAGGCAACTTATAATACTCGTACATCATACTATACTAAACTGTCATTTTTTCATTTTTATTGTTTTCTTCTTTTTTTTTCACAGAATGCATTATCATTCGGGTGTTATTTATCAATTCTTATACTGCTGTTGCTACAACCTGTTCTCTGGGGTATAATACGCAGTTTCCGCGAGAGAAATGAAGACGTAGGCGAAAGAATACGAAATTCTAGTGTTTTATTACACAGGTTTGTATATAGGCAACACACAATACACGAAATAATATATTTATTGGTTGTAGAAGTGTTTCCGAGGAATTAATCCATCAAAATCCACAAAATTGGCAAACACCACGTGCTGGGTAAATCACCACAAATAGTTTGACCGTTTGATAATGTACATAATCGAAATCAATTAAACCAGGGCGCATAATTAATTAATGAATTCACATGAATAGATTTCAAGCGCGCGCGCTAATTTCGTCGAAATTATAATTCGACTGTTGACATTTTCGGCGATTAGCGATTTAATACATTATTAACGAATGTCAATCGCAGCTGATTAAATATAGAACAGAATTAATCAGCATTTCATCAATATCATCAAAAATTAGTTGAAATCAAGGTTATGTTATGTTTCATTAGACTACATAACCTCAAATGTGATTAATATTAATTTGTGTGTGAATTGTGTGTGCGGTAGATCACCAGACACGATCGTCCGTGATCTAGAAGAAAGCGTATGGGTGAGCCCGAGGTAATTATCGAGACACACGAGAAACCCAACCCAAGACTGAATGAAATCGAAAACTCGAACACTCACACACAGAGCAATAACACAACACGGTTAAAATGTATATTATATATTTATACATGTCATGACATGCATATTGCGTAATTTTATCGGATCTACACCTCATTTCGGCGAATTTTTTGTGTTCGTTATCTGATTTTTGCTATTGTTGTGCGGATAAATGTGAATTTTATTATTTTATGTCTGTAGGCAATCTCATGACGCGTATTTACCTCCGACACCACCTAGGTAAATATTATTTTGTTGATTTTTGCGGTTTTTTTTTATTATTTTAGTTTTTTGTTAATTAAAAGTAAACTAATTATGATTTTTAGGTTATTTTTTATAGTTTGATGGAGAATTTAATTATCTTTAAGTTTGTGAAAGAATTTTTGATTTATCTATAACCATTTTCGAGTTATAAAGAATTTTAACTTCAAATTCACGTAAATTTTCAAATTATGATGAATTTTGACTTGAAAAAAATTAAATTTTATGATTTTTTGTTTATAGGCAATCTCACGACACGTATTTACAGCCTCCACCGCCTAGGTAAATATTATTTTTTAGATTTTTGGGTTTTTTATTTAAATTTTGAGGAAAAACTAATTTTTTGAGGTTTTTAACGGTAATTTTAGTTTTTCGTTAATTAAAACTAAACTAAACATAATTTTAACATTATCTTTTCATATTCTATTGTAAAATTTAATTATCTTGTATTTTACAAAAGAATTTTTGATTTATCTCTAACCATTTTCGAGTTATAACAAATTTTAACTTCAAATTCATGAAAATTTTACAATTTTCTTGATTTTTTATGTTTATAGGCAACCAGACGTGCTAACCATCAGAACCCCGATTGGTTTTGACAGAACAAATTGGTCTGTAGACAGGTTAGACTATAAATACAACATAACCCAACAAAAATGCTAATTTTCGTTTCATTCAGAGACACTCATAGAGAAGTGTCGCCGGCGTTGTCGTCAACGCGTCGTTGGATCTAATTACGGTAGGACAACGAGGCAATTAAATGTCTTAACTTAAACAACAGCCTCCGGGCTCATTTTCGTCTCCGCTGGGAAACATTTTCGACTGTATCTGAATACTTTAAACAACTTTTAAAGATGATTGTGTTTGTGTTTGTTTTTGATTGAAATTCGTAGACGCAACAACGAAAAGCAATTTATTTCGTAAATTTAAAAGACGCCATTTTGTTTTACTTTTTTTATTTTTGATTAAAATCATTTGATTCACTGTATAATAGTAATAATGACGTAATAATTGGATTTGATTTTGCGCAATCCGATTTATAGGAATATTATACTCACGCGCCCCAAAGTTTTGAGGGCAGACGAAAACTAGTTTCAACTTCAACTTCAAATTCTACCGAAACTTAATATGCTATTAAGCGTATTTGATTTAAGTCTTGATAATTATAGTCTACACAAAACCAATTTGCGTTAATCGACTTTAAATCGTACATAACCATACAAACATCAACTTAACCTCAATTAACATCTATTTTTATTAAATAAAAGTAAAATAACGAGTAAATTATTAGTGTAATATTAAAATTAGGGTGTTGACAATTGTAACACATATATTACACCGAATGATGAATTATGATGAATTTTAACCTCAAAATCATATTTTTTTTTATTTTTTCTTGCTTTTTTATTAAAATGTTTGTAGGCAACCAGCAGTACTAACGGTCAGAACACTAATTGGTTTTTATAGAATAAATTAAACTATAGAAAGTTAGGTTAAAAGTACCACATAACCAAGAAAAATTCTAATTTTAATCATTTATTTCAATAATTTCGTGTTTTCAAAGTTATTTTAGTTTTTCGTTAATTAATACCAAACTAATTAAAATTTCGACATTATCTTCCCACATACTGATCTAAAATTTAATTATCTTTAATTCTGCAAAAGAATTTTTCATTTATCGCCACCCCTCAAAAGTTACAATGAATTTTAACCTCAAAATCATAATTTTTTCACATTTTTCGTGCTTTTTTACTAACATTTTAATGTTTGTAGGCAACCAACAGTACTATCTATCAAAGCACCGATTGATATTAACAGAACAAATTAAATTGCAGAAAGTTAGGTTAAAAATACCACATAACCAACAAAAAATCAAATTTTGTATTTGATTTAAGTCTTGATAATTATAGTCTTCACAAAGCCAATTTGCGTTAATCGACTTTAAATCATACATAACCATACAAACATCAACTTAACCTCAATTAACATCTATTTTTATTAAATAAAAGTAAAATAACAAGTAAATTATTAGTGTAATATTAAAATTAGGGTTTTGACAATTGTAACACGTATATTACCTACTCTTATGCATGTATGAATACATTAAATTTGTATCTGTAATAAAAATTACACAACACCGAATGGTTTTGGAACGGTTTCGATCACATCTGCCGTGTTATACTATTGAATAATCATCGCAGTGTAGGTACATGTGTACACGTAATAATAGCATTGTTGAATTAATATTCGCGACGTGTCAAATTGCTTAAATAGCATTGTCATCGACCATCGACACTCGAATTTATTCATATTTTTTATTATACAGAGTGTTTTATGGTTTTTGTGGGTTCTTTCTTGTGGTAGAAGACATAACCTTAAAGCAGATGTCATTTACTAAGTGTATTTACACTAGAAGTGTTAAATATCGGTATTAAAATTGATAAATCGGTGTTTTTTCAATAAAAACCGGTAATAATATCAAAATACCGGTATTTTTATTATCAATTCCAAATTTTTGAATTAAATATTATTTGTAATTTATCCTAGGAAAAAAAATACCGGTACAAATACCGGTTAACCGGTATTTTTCTACCAAAATACCGGTATTAATACCGGTATACCGGTATTTTTTCAAAAATTAACTTTTTATTTACTTTTTTATACAATATAAACCAGTATATTAATATTTTGTTCCCAAAACCGGTATTTTCACCGAAATACCGGTATTAACCTTAATATTCACTATTTTCTTGTTTATCCACCCAACGGAAGTAATCTATTAATTGTTTTGTGTACTTACGTGTGTTTTCCATGTGTTTGTGTCCGTGATTCACCAAAAATCGAATTGGAATTGGGCCATTGTCGGACGCACCCAAACTCGCTACTCGAGCTAAGAGCGTAGAAGCAGTAGTACGAGAAGAACAACACGCACACCACTCGACGTAATTTTCCATAATTATAAATTACCGCACAGCAACGCACTGCACTGCATCACACGCACGAAAAACCGGCTTTGGACGATTCGCACAATTCGCAATAAGTTGCGAATTATTGTGACATTTATAAACACGCGTGTGATCGTATCGAAATGACTTGGATGCATAAATAAAATGCTCTCTTTGACATTTGACAAGGTTGCAACGTGGTACAATCAGTTTCAATCGGTTAGATTCAACAAAAGTCGATAAATTTGTTGACGCAAAGAAATTCAAGATCAATGCGCTATTATGGCGAGGTCACGAATGAAATTTAGTTCAGAATAATTATTTGTTGTAATTTTATGTTGGAAAGTTGATATTTTTAGTTTTTAACAAGTTTATTTTAGTTTTTATAATTAAAAGTAAACTAATTATGATTTCAACTTTATTTTTTCATAGTGTAATGTAAAATTTAATTATCTTTTAGTTAAAAAAAGAATTTTTCATTTATCTATTGCCGTTTTTGAGTTATGATGAATTTTAACCTCAAGATCATAATTTTTCATTTTTTCTTGCTTTTTTATGAAAATTTTAATGTTTGTAGGCAACCAGCAGTACTAACGGTCAGAACACCGATTGGTTTTGACTGAACAAATTAAACTGTAGAAGATTTGGTTAAAAATACAACATAACCTACAAAACTTCTAATTTTAATCATTTATTTCAATAATTTCGTGTTTTTAAAGTAATTTTAGTTTTCCGTTAATTAAAACCAAACTAATTATAATTTCGACATTATCTTTCCACATACTTATCTAAAATATAATTATCTTTAATTCTACAAAAGAATTTTTCATTTATCTCCACTCACTCAAAAGTTACAATGAATTTTAACCTCAAATTCATAAATGTTTTCACTTTTTTCATGCTTTTTTACTAACATTTTAATGTTTGTAGGCATCCAACAGTACTATCTATCAAAACACCGATTGATATTGACAGAACAAATTAAATTGTAGAAAGTTAGGTTAAAACTACCACATAACCCTTAAAAATTCTAATTTTAACCATTTATTTCAATATTTTCGTGTCTTTTTCAATTTATTTCAGTTTTTTATTAATTAAAACCAAACTAACTATAATTTCAACATTATCTTTACACATACTTATCCAAAATTCAATTATCTATAATTCTGTAAAAGAATTTTTCATTTATCTCCACCCACACAAAAGTTACAATAAATTTTAACCTCAAAAACATAAATTTTTCACAATTTTCACTTATAACCTCACCATTTTAATAAAAATAAGAAAAGTGAATGTTGTTTTATATAAAACCCAACTAATTACCCCAATTTATCAGGTAATCATGTCCATCTTGTGAACTTTAAAACCAAAAAAAAAAACTCTTACACTGCAGGTGGAAACAAAACAAACCACTATCGACCGCTGTCAAACCACATAAAGGGCAAAACAAAATGGAGGCCGCCTGTATCCGGACGACCCTGACGACCCTCGGACAATACGTAATAATGGTAATAACAAAAAATGTCACATGCATTCAGCATGTACGCGTACCCTAGACCTTCAAGGCTCTGATCAACTTAAAGTTAAAGTTAAAGTTAAAACTGTGAGAGCGAAAGTGGACCAGACCCTCGAGCGATTCGCTTAAAATTCGTGAATCGACAACAACGGGCGACGCCGAGTATAAAACCGGCGATGGATTTGTTCATCAGCATCAGTTTCTTGTGAACAATCACAGCAACAACAACAACAACAGCAAAAACCTAAAAATGGCATTCAAAGTAAGTTTACATATATTAAGATGTATATTGGGTTGCCTATAGTAAAAATATTTATTAAAATATAAAATTTATTTTTAGCTTTTCGTCCTTGCCGCCGCTTTGGCCTGCGCCAACGCTGGTCTTGCCCCAGTTGCCTACAGCCCCGCCTCCGCAGTAAGCTCAGCTTACATCAACACCGTTGCCGCCCCCGTTGCCCATGCTGCATATGCCGCCCCAGTTGCCCATGCTGCTTACGCCGCTCCAGTTGCTCATGCTGCTTACGCCGCCCCAGTCGCCGCCGTCCACGCCCCTCATTATGGCTCCTCCTCTCAATCTGTTGTCCGCTCCCCATTGGGCGGCACTGTTTCCCACTACAACAAAGCCGTTGACAGCGCTTTCTCCTCCGTCCGCAAATACGACACACGTATCACCAACGATGCCTACGCCTACGCTCATGCCCCAGTTGCTACCTACGCTCATGCCGCCCCAGTAGCTACTTATGCCGCCCCCGTGGTTGCTAAGACCGCCTATGCTGCCCCAGTCGCTACTTATGCTCATGCTGCTCCAGTCGCCACCTATGCTGCTGCTCCAGTTGTAGCTAAGGCAACTTATGCTGCCGCCCCCGTTGCTCACTATGGTGCCGCCCCAGTTGTCGCTAAGGCCGCTATTGCCTACTCCCCAGCTGTTGCTGTCGCTCACATGAGCTACAGCGGTCCATTCGCCACCTACCAATGGTAAATTACTTATACTGCGAGGTGTATATAGTATAAGCATCATTATTTATTTCAATAAATTATTTGCAACTTATTAAACATCCTTTATATGAGTTTTAACCACTAAAAATACATCCTGTATAGGTATATTGTCATTTAGTACATACAGCGCCATCTACGGTGCTAATATACACTAAATATACACACGTTAATCCAAAATGATACACACAGCGACATCTACTCTAAATTTTAAAACTAACAACTCAACGCTGTCATTTCAAACGATTTTGAAACAAAAGTTGTTGATTTCGACCATTTTGCACGCTGTAAAACAAAAACGCACAAATTAATCAAATTAAATCCATAATAATCCGTGTTATCACCTAGTCTACCTACAATAATCTACAAGAAACATATACTAATCACTATCATCATGAAGGTAAAGCAAACATTTTTTATTCAAACTTATTTTATATAAATTATAAAAATTCAGTCTCAATCTTCAAGTTGCAAGCCAAGCTTTAATAAATTAGTACTGTGTATTGTATGTAATCCGACAATCTCTGGATTATCTCTAAGTGTATCATACAACAATTGCACAGTCAGTTTTCCCCCAGAGTATGTTCTGCTTCCGCAAGCATAAGCAAAAGCTGTCTCCTGCTCAATTACATCTATACTGGGTTTGTAACTGGGTAAAAACGTGTCTTCTTCTTCTGTGAGCTCAACTTTGCTTTCTTTTGTTCTGTCGATGATTTTATTTGTGTTCCTGAGCAGGAGATTGGGTGCTGGTAAACCAAAACCATACTGAAAGTGTTTATCTCTGATTTTGTAGGTTTCTTTCTTTGAGATCATTGCTGTGAGGATGTTTTTCACAAAAGTCTGCAAAAACATAAGAATTTAGATGTTTTTTGATGATATTTTGAGGTAAATCATTACCTGACATAAATTAGCAACATATTCAGCTACAGCCCACTCACACCCATCTTCCAATCCATGCTCCCATGCTTGGACTTCAATTCGGTTCTTGATAAACCCTACATTCGGGAAGAAATACTCTGATGCTGCTGTTCTTACTGTTGTATTCACAGGCTGTGATTGTTTGGATGATGTTGAGGGTTGTTTGAGATATTCTGTTGCGTTGACAATCGTGAAAGTACCTTCTTCAGCTGGAGATTGCGGTGGCATGGAAATATGTTTGAAGTTAATGTGGTTATACTCGGCCATCGACGCGAAGAGGAATTGATTATGAGCGTGGAGTTCATCTTCAGTTCTCAGTAGTTTATTAGCGGCTGAATAGAGTTGAATCGATGATATCGGACGCTTGAAAACCCACCGGGAACGTAGTAGTTGGATGTATTTTTCTTTTGTTTCCCTGTCTAAAGTCGCGAGGAGTTTTTTACGCGCTTCCTTCAAGTCGTACATGTTTTTAATTAGTAAATATTTATCGTGTTAACCTCAAAGTGTGTTATGCTGACATGTATGTGATGTTTGGATTTGAAAAAGGAAATTATTTTTCATAAAACTTGTGTTTTTCAAGGTAAAAACATGTTGAAAACGGTGAAATTGTTTAAAATATTTATAATTATTAATTTTTATAGACATATTAATGCTGTGGAGCAAACATTATTAACTTTAGAGTTTAAAAATGATTTAGAAACATTAATAATTGAAAAGTTATATAAAACATCATTTACGCTGGTGACTTTAGATTATTTACTTGAAACTTCTGAGAGTTTAGGAAAATATGACAATTGGATTGTATCTAGTGAAGAAAACACTAAAATAATTCATATTTTAAGCAGGAGAAAGTTTAAAGCTGGTATAAATATCACATTTTTAGTTTCAAGTTGTAATAAAACTAAAAATAACAACTTAACTAAAATAACACCAGAAATATCTTATAAAATAACCGATTACACGTTTAAAACTTGCAAAATTATAACTTTTACACCTAAAAACAAAGTAACAATAAGTGCATTCAATTGTCCGCCATTTTTATCAATACAAAATGGCGATCAACCATTTGAAGGTCTAGAATTTCGTATATTCAAAGAAATATCCAAGCGAAATTCATGGACAACTCAATATCAAATCATAAACTCCAGTTTTTATCCAAGTTTCTACACAGAAGTAATAAAAAACATCATAAATCTCACCGCATATATCGGTATCTGCAGCCAGTGGATAAACGTCGTGAATAATCGCTCTTTAGACATTACTCAACCGTACACAGATGTTTGCTTGACATTCCTCGTGCCAAAAGCCAAACAATTACCAAAACTAACATTCGTTTTTCAACCTTTACAATTATCCCTATGGTTAACCTGGTTCCCAATGTGTTTTCTCTTTGTTCCTATCATAATGAAATTTGTTACTGGACTAACATACATCGAATGCGTCTTAGATGTAATCAGACTAATCACGTTGACATCGATTAGAAATAAATACACGTCGAATATTCAGAGGATTTTATTATCCTCGTGGTTTTTTACGTATTTATTACTTGGGACTGGTTATGTTACTGGTTTCACCAGTTTGTTGACACTCCCGAGATACACGAAAAGTATCAATACCATCGAGGATATGATCAATGAAGGGATCAAATGGGGTGGACCCAGTTGGGGTAATCTTGATAATCTTGTAGATACAAGAAGTATGAGCGCCATGATGCATAATTATCGAGTGTTTAATAAATCCGAGTATAATAAGTTGATAAAAACAAGGAATTATGCGATTTATGGGAAACGCCTTAGAGGATATTTGTTAGAGACGGAGATATTTGATGAATTCGCCCGGACGCATTTGAAAGTGCTTAATAATTGCGTGATGAATAGTCATGTGGTGTTTCTACTGCAAAAGAATTCGGTTTATAAGCGGGTGATTGATAAATGGTTAAGGAGGTTTGTGGAGACTGGTCTCGTGCAGCATTGGGAGAGGAGGACAAGATGGCCGCATAAGTACAAGTACATGGATAATTTTTATAATGATTTTGTTCATTTTGGAACGGAGGAAAGGGAGTTGAGGAGGTTTACGGTTGAGAATCTTCAAGGAGCTGTTTTTATTTTGTTGGTTGGGTATTTTTTTGGTGTTTTTGTATTGGTTTTGGAGATTTATTAGAAAAATTAGCTGTATTTGAAAAAGAAAGTTATGAAAAATGACATTTTACGGTTTATAGGTTATTAATTGAGGTTATTTTTTATTTATAACAAGAGTAGATATTTGCTTCTTCTTCAAACTTCAAGAGATAAACACTTGACCACCTTCAAAAAACGCATTTTATTTCATTATTTGGAAATTTTCTAAGAATTTTTGAAAAAATTTTAGAAATATTATTCTGCATCACTGTTTTCTTGCATGCTTGCATCCTGATCACTCTCCCGGACACTACTGGTAGTCATATCAGCATCCTCCTCTTCTTCCTCCTCACCTTCAATCTCAAACAACATAACTTTCTTTTTATTATCCGCCAAAACAACCGAAACACTCCGACAGCCCGAAACAGCAAACTTACAAGCTGTCATCGCAATATTCTTCAAAGGAGACGCATCACTAACATCAACATTTACAATATTCTGTTGAAATATTTCATCATCCAGTGAAATCTCCTCCAATTTCTCTTTGAAACTCACAATAGGCAACTGCATCAACACAGCTTGTTGCGCCTTATCTTCGAGTAATAAACTCAGAACATTTTCACTGTAAAACTTCACATCTGTTATATTATACCGGCCATTTTCCACATCGCCATCTTGTTTCACATAAACCAAAGCCCCCTTGGCTATAACCTCATTATCCTCAACGTTGTTTACTTTACATTCAATAAAATAAACACCGTTTCTTTCTAAATTCGGAAATGCGTGCATAAACACACTTCCTGTACCCGTACAACTTATCCCAGCTACAGTACCAACCCCCACTCCTTTGATACAAGACAAAATCTTAATAGAATTCATATTTTTCGTAACCTCAACTTCTGGCTTCTTAAAAATCTCATCCACGGCTTTCTGCAGATGCGCAATTTGTTGCACAAGCGACAATTCTTTACAATGTCGGATAATACTTGGATGTTTCTGTAAACATTCATTGTTTAACAATAAACTATCCCAATCGTGTTGATCTCCTGCCGTGAGAATCTTCAAATTCCTATCTGCAAGATACTGACCCAATCTTTCCATAATAAACCGTGGATTTTCAACGCCACCGATTGTAGAATTATTCTGCCCGGTAATTCGATCGAAACACTGCAGAAATTCAGCGATATACGCGAGATCTTGTTGTGTCATATTCTGTATTTCACTCGGGACTTGCTCCTCCATTAAATTCACAATGGCAGAGTATAGCCAACGGAAAAACGCCTTGTAATACATCATGGAATTATTGATAATCTGCTGCATTTCACCTGACTTAATTAAAAACGCGCCATTTGCAGAAATTGCTTCCGTTATCTTCGACTCTTCTAAACCCAAGGTTTTATACCTGGATGCAAAGCGTGACATTCCTCTTAATTCACTTAGGTGATAGGTTATGTTCTGTCCGAGTTTGGTTATGTTTTTCAATAAAATTTTTGGATATTCGCATAATTCATCTCGATATTCTGCCCGAACTTCTCCAAGCCTCTCTTTGTCATATCGCTGAATAAAAACTCCTGCATTTCATCACTGCAGATTCCAAACATTAATAAATCTAAAAATCCGCGGATAACGTGCCTGGTTGGACTTTATTCGCGTAGTTTGTTAACTTCCAGTCCATTTCGAGTAGAATACTCTCCCAGGTTTCCATTACGCTTGATATGCTTTTGTAGAGATACCCGACGTGTGTTTGCATCTCGACTTTTTTCATTGCCACGCAGAATAGTTCTTTAATGTGGGATTCAAAGATGGCGGTGTCGATGAAGACTAGTTTTATGTTATCTTCGATGTCTTTCAGGGTTACAGTTGCAATGTTGAGGCTTTCGGAGAGTTGTACGTCGATTACAGAGCATTTCGTGTTGATTTTCTCTTTGAAATCAATCGCTCCACAGCTGAGGGAGCCAAAAACAGAGAGGTATAACATTCCATCATCTGTACCAATGAGGAGAAGGTTTAAGAGTTTTTGTTTGTGTAGTAGATTATTATTTGCTTCTTCGACGAAGTTTCCGGTTTCAAATGTGCTCAGAGATAGAGGTTTTGAGATGAAATGTTTGGAGTAATCCTAAGTTTTAAAACACATGTTATGTAGAATGATGTTTTATAGTTTAGAGGTTATTAATTGAGGTTATGTTTCACTTACAACATATTGTGTGTAGTTGTTTGCCTCCTCTTCACTTGTACTGGTTGCTTTGATGTTTGTAGTCTCAATTTTCTTCTCCTGGACCCAGTTGACACAAGTTATCTCACCAGATACTTGCAGAGTATGCAGAATACTCTTGTTTTCTACATTGATGAGGATTAATTCACCTCCAGTGTAGCCAATTGCTAGAACTTTGCCATCAGGTCTCCATGCCATGGCAGTGACTTTGCATTTTTCTGTTGGTGGTGGCAAATCCCAGGCTTTTAACCATAGTAATCTATGAAGGGCAACTTCACCTTAAAGAGTGCTAATTTTATTAGTAAAAATAAAAGGTTTTGAGAGAATTTTTGAGTATTTACCTTTGGAATTTGAGACTACAACAAGATCCACTTGGTTACTCCACACCATTTGTTCGATATCATGCTGGGAATGCGCTACTTTTAGTTGTCTTATCACGGAATACATTTTAATTTGTAATTTGGATGTTTTGCAACGATATGCTTTGAATCGCAGGTTATGCGGTGCAAAACATAAATATATAGTCATAACATTGAGAAATAAAAACTTGATTAAAAGTAACTTAAAATTATTGATTTCTTGTAAAAAATTAACATTTTGTTTAGTATTTTATTAGGTAAATGTATTAATATTTGTTTAAATGTAGAATTATTTTATTTTAAAAGATATTTTATGTTTTATTTTGAATGATTATACTTCGGTGACTTTACTATAGATAGACGTTTGACAGTTACGTTTGCTTGTGTATTGTGAGTGTTGTCGGTTCCTTGATTTCTCGATTGCTTGTTTCCAATTGTTTATTAACAAATAAACAATATATTTCTAACGAAAATAAGTGAAAACCGACGTCGCCATGGACACTCTAGATGCAAATATCATGGACAAGTCCATGCGATCGGTGTTCGGTGAGTTTTCTCCGCGAATTTCATCAATTTTTCATCATAACCCTAAAATATTTCAACTTAATTTTAAATATTTACAAATAAATTAATTATTACAGTGGGAAACATTCCCTACGAGGCAACCGAAGAAAAACTAAAGGATATTTTCGGTGAAGTTGGTCAAGTACTATCATTCAAGTAAGTTTTTATTTTTTTAAATTAAAATTAACTTAAATTTATTTTAAAAATATAATTTTTGTGTGTAGGTTAGTATTTGATAGGGAAACAGGCAAACCAAAAGGCTATGGGTTTTGTGAATACCGCGATCAAGAAACCGCACTCAGCGCAATGCGTAATCTCAACGGTTATGAAATCGGTGGTCGAAATCTACGCGTTGATAATGCCTGTACAGAAAAATCCAGGATGGAAATGCAGAATTTAATGAATCAGCCACCAGTGGAGAATCCCTATGGTGATCCAACATCTTCAGATAAAGCTCCGGAAGCAATTAGTAAAGCAGTTGCAAGTCTACCACCTGAACAGATGTTTGAATTGATGAAACAGATGAAATTATGCATACAAGTAAGAAAATAATCACATTTTATTGATTTATTTATCATAAAACATTGTTTTTCAATAGAATAATCCATCAGAAGCTAGGAATATGCTGCTGCAGAATCCTCAGCTAGCATATGCGCTTCTACAAGCACAGGTTGTGATGAGAATCATTGATCCAGTCACTGCAAGTGTAAGAAATTGTATTAATTATGTTTTATTGGTAATTGTATTGTATTTTTTGTTTATTTAGAATATGTTGCATCCACAAAACACGGTGACTTCTTTACACGCACAAGAGAAACCTGTGCCGCAAGTTCCTATCAATAATTTCCCACAGGCTGTGCAGGCGCCGAATCGTTCCGAGTTTGTGATGAATAATCAACCGTTTTCATCAAATTTACGTAAGTATTTTAAATATTTGATATTTATTTTATTCATATAATCACATAATATATTAATTTTTACTTTTAAAGCCTGTTTTGTGCAAATTTTGAAGTAATGTTTGAATTTAGAGCAATTTTTATATGATTTTTTTTAATTATTTAGCGCAAGATATTGATTTGCGTAATATGGATCCACGAATGCGAGGTGGACAGGATGATTCCAGGTTGCCTAACCCTCTTCCGCCCCCAATTGCCGAAGCGTGAGTAAAAAAACAAATTTTTTGACTTTAGTCTACGTTTTTTTGGAATGTTTTGCAGGTTTAATCGTGATCGTGACCCTCGTGGTGGCTACGGTGATCCCCGACAAGCAGCCCGAGTGGATCCGAGGCAACAAAAGATAATTCGTAAGTTTTTCCTCCGAAATAAAAGTGAATTTGTTGATATTTCCTTGATATTTGTGTATTTATGTAATTTAGAGCTAGTGTTTGGTGTTATTTATGTTATTTGTATGTATGTCAGCCCCAATCATTCCACCAACAGTTCCATCAATGGCCAATATACGCCCGACGCCTGTTTCTGCCCCGGTGCAAGTCCAACAGTCGCAGGTTCCAGTGCTCGCACAACGTGCAGGTTTATCGCCGAATATCGGACCTTCTGGTGCATCTGATCAGGAAAAAGTAAGTTTTTTGGGTGGAAATATACAAAATGTATTGTTTCGTACGTGTGTTGTATCTATTGGCGGCCATTTTAAAGTGGACATCTTGTGTTTTATTTACAGGCTGCGTTGATAATGCAAGTATTGCAGTTGTCAGACGAACAAATAGCGATGTTACCACCAGAACAGCGTAACAGTATCCTTGTATTAAAGGAACAAATCGCCAAAAGTACACAACGTTGACGAGGTAAAGGTAAAATCTATAATTTATTATCTTTTATTAAACCAATTCCATTCAAATCATAACCTAAGATTAAAAAATCATAAAATTACACTGAAAATTACGTTAATGTCTATATTTTCTCAAAATTTCTTTACAATCGAAGCGAATACATAATAATAAATAGACAAATACAAATCGTATTAATTTTAAAAACATCCTAGGTGTAAATATTATTATTATGGCAAAACTAACCGCACTTAAACTAGAATTAAGTGTAAAAACAATTAATACGATTATTAATATTTCTATATAAAATTTGGCAAATTAGTCGACTATATCCGAAAAATATTAAGTAGTAACATCGAAGGCATGTTATGGTTAGCACAGTTAAGTTATAGGCACTTTAAAGGCACGTAAATAGTGCATAAGTTAGGTTATATCATCAAAATCAATTCTTTTGTTGTGCAGCCGCATGCTGCCTGGTCAAACGACGCCGTAATTCCTGCGGGAATTTATCATAGCACTTCTTGCATACGGGTTTCAAGTCAAACTCGTAGAATTTCGTCTTTTGGCTCATTTTTTGATCGCACATGGAGCATGCGAAGTGGTGTTGACACCATGCTTTATTCCAAGTTGTAAAAGCTATAAATTAACAATAATTTTAAATTCAAATTAATAAAAGTTATAATTTTATGCTTACCATCACCAGCAATCACTTGATTGCACACAAAGCAAAGATTGCCGAAGAGTTGATGATAATGAATCTCGCAATAAGCGAGTCCTTTCTTTTCGTAATGGCGATGCCCGAAAAATGGCTTCTCGCACTTGGCGCACACAAAGTGCTCCACATGCCATTGTTTACCCAAAGCGGTAACAACGCGCTCCTCAATCGGACGTCGACATGCGCCACAGATTGGTATTCCCATCTTATCATGACAACGTAAGCAGTACAACTCGTTCATTTCATTCGCGGCGTATCCGGGACGTCCACGAACCTCTCTAGCGCTTGCATCCAGTTCAATTCCACATGCTGTGCAGTTGAAATGATAGGGATGGTATAATTCCCCGCGGAATTTCAATGGTTGGTCATCAATCAACCCACTTTAGATATAAAACAACAAAAATTAGTTTTAATTACTTTTTAAGAGTAAAATAACTTACTGGCATTTATGGCAAATGTATCTCCCCAATCCCTGCGCTTTAATCTTGGCGTTGCACTCATGACACAACGCCCGTCCGTTGTTCTTAATAAAACCCAAATCGGCCAATTCAATATGGCACGATTCGCACCGGAAGCACGCCGGGTGCCAGTTGAGGTTCATCGCTTTGATGACACGCCCAATGACGAACTCGCCGCATTTTCCGCAGCAAGGCGCGAAGAGCACCTGGAAATCATGCTCGCAGTATTTACGATTCTCGAATTCGTAGAAGGTGCCATCTTTGAAGACCTGAAAGCATTGCGCGCACACGAAACAATCCTGATGCCACAATTCCCCCGAGGAATTGACGATTTTCTCGTTGGATTGGAAACCGTCGCCGCAGCGGGAGCAGAGCATGTTGTCCATGGACATCGCAGCGGTAACACTTTAAAAATATACATTTTATTAATAATAGTAAGTAAATAATTAGATTTATTCATATTTTATGTTAGTGTATAGTAAATACTTTTCTAATAATTCATGCATTTGCATCTTAGCTGTGATGGTAAAATTAGGATCATAATCCTGTCTTCTATTGAAGAGTGAACTGGATGATAATGGTTGCAGATCAGGCACATCTGGAGACTTGTCATGATCATGCACATGATTGTGCTCTTCAATGGGAAACTTGTGCATGTTAATTGAATTATTATGCTTGTACCACAGTTGGAAGTCAAACTAATGTAAAAGCATTTTATATTTGATTTTTAGTGTTATCACACTGTAAATTCTCTTATCATTAACCACACAAAGTGATAAACTGCTGCTGGTGGTATAAAAGGAGGTGTTTCAGGGATTAGTGTTAGTAGAATACTAGCAGGAAGCCGCATGCGACATAAAACAAGCGAAAGCTTACCCAGGCATAGGTGTTGGCGACATTTTGTACTCGCTCTATTTATTTACACACTGTACACAGAGAAAACTGGCTAAAGATTGGCAGACGAATTTTGTTTGTTTGTGAGGATGTGGTTTTTTGGGAGAGTCTGATTCTGAATGAATGTGTACGACATGTGCGAAATTACCTTGGACCGCACACGTAATATCCTCCTACGGGATTTTAATTAAGTGCCTATTCTTGCGTGTCTTAAGTTAAGCGCTGTGCAACAACGCCCATTTGCAATATTTACATGCGGATTGTTACTTAACCAATCAGTGAGCTGATTGCCATAAATAGGATTTGTCAACTTCTGTCAATTTGGGTTTTTATTGGTTTGTTTTGTGTATATAGTTCTTTGGGGATATAGGATGAGAGACTTCTATTGGTGAGAAGATAAAATGAGTCATATTAGGACATATAGTGTGTTTGAAGTGTATTTTTAGTTGATTTTTGAGTCAAAAAAGATAAAGATTTTATTTTATTTGCATTTTTATAAGGAAAGAAGTATAATTTAAGCGAATTTTATGAGTTTTTTACTTGTTTTATGTGTTTTACTACAGTTTTTGTATAATTTCTTTGTCTTACACTTTTAACACACTGTATTTTCTATTTACTTCAGTGTTATCTATCGACCAAAGTCTAAAACATAATTTTTAAGCCATTTTACAACACCTCCACCTATAAACCAGTAGAAGAAGTATTTTGAGTAGAAGTTGAGGACGTTATCGAGTGGGGATTCTCGTGGCCTCACTCCGAAAAATCCTGATAAAATCATATGACTTTAGATGTCATATGACTGCAGTAGGTGTATTTCGTTAGTGTTTAAGCGTGGAATCCATCATCACAATGTGGAGTTCTTTGCTTTGTTTTAGCGCGGTTATTCTTTCCGGTAAGTTATCCACCTTATCACACATTAATACCCTTAGATATCTACGTATTTCGGCTGTATTCGCTTGTTTCTTGACCCATTTATAAACCTTACACCTATAGTTGAGGTTGTGCATTGGACAAGCAGCAGGCCAACAGCCACCAGCCCATCCCAGAATCTTTTAAATAATAAATGTATTTCTTTGTTTTTGTATAGTTTACGCCACTGGGGAGTTCAGTGTGTTGAAACACCCCGCTAGCGTTTCATTTAAGGGCCATGACCACATCAAGCAGAGTCTTTTGCCTGAGGTTTACTCAGCATGCATTGGTTTCACCACAGAACAAGTAATAGTTTATTATTTTTTTAAATTTATTTTGATTTTTATATGTTTTTTAATGTTTAGGATTCAAACTGGCAAGGGATGTACCTCTCTGATCCCTTTGACCTGGCCAAGGCAGTTGTAACAGTTGCAATTGATGGCATCCCCAATACTGGTCTCATGAAGGGACACCACTTCCCCATGAAAACTGATGAGGATGAAGCTGAAGTCTACAATGTGATGGCGAAACGCTTCAGGGAGCATTATCCTAATGCTAATAATGATGTCAGGGTTGTTTTAAGCAAAGGATTGTATGAGGTAGTTTTATTATTATTAATTTTTAGAAGTACCAAAACTAATATTATGTTTAGGTTGAAGATATTGAAGCATTCCTTGGTGTGAAAAACATCAAACCAATCAAACCCACTTCCGGAGCACTCAAAATGTCCGTGGAGGAAGACCGTCAGTTCCTGGAAGAAATGTCCTTCTTGAATGCGCTTGTTGAAAGCATCAAAAGCGCCAGCCTGAAACCCTCCAACGCTCCACAACTTATCTGGTTCAAGATTGAAAGCCTGCATGCATTGTCAGATCTCCATGGTGAGAACTCCACTGCTACCAAAGAAGCGAAACGCATGATGAACCAAGCGATTGAAGACCTCAGCGCTGCTTACGATAAACTGTACGATGGTAAAGTATTAATTAATGTGATTAGCAGTGATGCAAGTCACACTAGGAGAGTACGTCGTGCGACTAAGGAGGGAGAAGATGTAAGTTAATTTATTTTAACTAAAAGTGTTGTTTTTTGGATATATAATTAAAAATTTAATTGTTTTCTTATTTAGGAGCTTGCTGATTTGAATTTGGCGCCGAATTACACCTCTGACTATCCGGTCATCTTCAACATTATCCTCTGGTTCGGTGTCGCCATGTTCTTTTCGCTGCTTGCGATTTGCATGTTTATTGGCAATATGGATCCTGGTCGTGATTCCATCATTTACCGCATGACGAGCACACGTATGAAGAAGGACAACTAAGTCATCCCTTCCAACCTAACCCAAAGCATACATACTCCTCCGTACATTTGAGAAACACAATCACTGAAACCCATTTCATTTTCACGCCGCGTCACTTAATTTTTAAATTTCAAATTTGAGATTCGAAGATAACGTTTCAGGTTATATGCTTATTATACCAATGTTCCATTCCATTTTTACGTAACGTCTAATGTAACGTGTCGTTGTTGTTATTCGGGGGCGTATAAAACGAGATTAAAAGGATAAATAGTATTGTGATGCGCGAAAAATGTAACACTTAAACCTCTTGTACTACTCATCAGTTTGTTGTTGAATTGTATTGTTTTTTTGAATAATGTTAGGTAATGTGAGGCAAATGTAAAATGTAATGTGTACATAGGATTTAGTCGGCTGAAATTGTAACGATTTTTGAGAAATTCACGCAGCGTAGATGATTTTAACTTGTAGTTACAAAGTCAATGTCGTCATGTGAAGTTGTGAACATAAAAAATAATGATTGGATGTTGAACAAAAGTACAAAAAAATTACAAAATTACAAAATATCTCATTATTCAATGCAAAAAATCGAATTTTTGGTTTGTTTTATTGATTTATGAACGGAAAATTTTATACAACTATTGCTGCTTGTATATTGGGTTGCCTACGTTAAAATACTGTTTTATTTTATTATCTTTTCCACTCCGCATTAAATTAAAACAACTACAAAATGTGAGTGAATAGTTGTAATGTTATCAGTGTCAATAATTAACACATGAACTATTAAACCACGTGGCGGTTGTTTTTACTACGATACAGCACATTAACACTGATTTAACGCAATGGAATATCAATTAATTGATAGTAATTATAAATAAACGTTAAAATTATCACATTTTGGTAGCAAAATAAATATTTGCGCATATCGGGATGTAAATTTAAAGAAAAGTGATCGATAATTTAAAAAATATGACTCAGTAATGACTAATATGAAACAAATCAGAAACGAATGTGTGATCAATGTGCAAAACGCATCTTGAATTAATTAATTTAGATTCAAGGCATCAATATATTGCTCAATCGTGAAATATTTAATCTAATTCTAAACAATTCCATACTTTATTTTAAATTAGAGCATAAAATTTCAACTAAAGGTCACACTCTACGTATCATTCCAATACAATTTGGACATTTGATCTATTGATCTGTCGATTGTTCGTTCATTTGATAATAACGATAAGAAATACAAAAGAATATTATCAAGCGCTATCAATTTTATCATTAATTTGCGTCGGAAAGTGCAGTAACTTACGTAAACAAGTGTTTTTAATATAATTAGTATAATATTCAAGGTTTTTAATTAAACACTTCTTTAAAACACAATTTTAAAGTATTTTTAAGAACAAATTAGAATAATTCAGTTTATAATAGTTTTTGTATAGCTCAATTGTTTATTTTAATCAAAGTCCGAGAGTGTAATTCATAACATTCATGTACGAGTATTAGCTACGCAACACAACAAAATATTCGACTCATTCCATCCGCCGGTAGAATCAGGAATTTAGTCATCGCGCATCGTCCAATTCGTCAGTCGCTTCGGAGTTCTCGGTGCGTGCGGTTATTGATAAGCGATAACAAATATCACTCTGCATGCTGCAACGTGTTTCCATACAACTGTATTTTGTGCAAACAAATTGCATCAATAACTCAATTGATAAACATTTTATACAATAATTTTATTGTGCACGTGAAAAAGTGGAAAATATTAAGTTATTGTGAAAGTTGTGTTGCGTGAGTCCAAAATTTAAGTGCAACCGACATAATAACATTTTTTCATCATCAGATAAAAAAAATTAAGCAACTTAAACGAAAGAAAGTAAAAGTGTAATTATATTAACTTTCTACTATGCTTAGACATCTAAAAGTACTTCTAGTATGAACATTTTTTAAACTTTAGTTAATAAACAGTGAATGTGTGATAATAAAACAAGGAACAAAGAATAACTGTAAGTTTATACATGGTTTAAACTAAATGTTGAGGAAATACAACTAAATTTACTAACACTAACATTTAGTTCAATTGTCTGGTAGTAGTCCATTGTGAATATTATGATTATAGGTCATTACAGTAGACCTTAGCCGGATTAGACTAATTATTCATTCCTGGAACGCATATTTAACTGAAAAGTACACGCAACTTCAAAGGGCTTACCCTCTGACGATTGTTATCAACTAAGGTCATTCATTTACTCATCAAACTTTACTTAACTGTTTTTAACAGTTAAACTAGTAAATATTTAGTTAATATAGACATATCGCAATAAATAAGTTGTTGAAATTTAGGCCCATGTGTACTTTGAAAGTGTTTATTGCACTATAATGCAACATGCGCGTTTTCTAAAGTGTTTAACACTTATTATCACGCATGCATACGTAAACAACTTATATTATTTGATTGTGGAATATTGAGCGTTATGCAATGTGTGTATTTTTACTATTTCCACTTTTTTCACGCTTGACAATAATTAATCATCCATGAGAGTAATTGAATTTATAATTATTCAGTGATTAATTGAACAAATTAACCTTTGATGTGATTGAGTACATTTTGCGTGCGTTTATTTTAGATTTGTTTGAACAAAATCGCGAATAACATAAATCTTAATCATTTACACATTTACACTTACTAAAATATTGTGTAAACAAGTTTCCAGTATTCTGCGAATGTTTAACGTAATGAATACGTTCGTTTGTTTACACTTTATTCAATAAAAATAGATTTATCTCATACAGGATAATGAAAAAGTGTGTTTGAAGAGTTTTGTTTTGTTTTTTGTTTCAGATTGTGATTTGAAGAAGGCGATTTGTTCAAAATGAAGTCATCACATAATTTTTGCCATGCTAAACTGATTAACGTAATGAATTTAATGGTTATTTTGGTATTAATTGTATTAATGGTATCTCATGGAATATCTGGGCAAGAAGATGAGGACTATATTAAGATACATTCCGAGTTGGAGCTGATTCAATGGGATCTGCAGGATGAATGTTCGGATATGGCGCGCAGTGCGAGGTCTTTTCTTAAACAGGAAGTTACAGGATTGCGTGATAAGGTAAGGTGTTTGTGTTTTTTATAGTATTGGTCATTTAGTTGCGATATCTAACACTATGATTATATGTTGCTTTCTATTTCTTTAAGTTTATGAGATATTAGTAGTAAAAAAAATTGAAAAATGTCAATTTTTATCACTTTTAGTCGCGTTTTTCGACCTTTTACTGTAGGAAATATAATTATTTTATATTTTTGTCTGATAGAGAATCTTCCAATCTTTCATAATCAACAATTCGTTAGTAGCTATCTCTTTTAGTTTAAGAGATATGAATTTTTGAAAATCGTCGAAAAAAAGTATCAAGCACCCCTCCTTGGCAATTTTTTCTTAAGAATGAAAATTTCATCTCTCAGATTTCCGTTTTAACTCTCGTATCCGATAGAGAATAGTCCGTAGATTAAGACGCTGCGATCAGATCTTAATTATCTCTTTTAGTTTACGAGATATTCGCGTTTGAATAAAATGGGCAAAAATTGCAAAATGTCATTTTTTAGCACTTTTAGTCGCGTTTTTCGACCTTTTACTGTAGGAAATATAATTATTTTATATTTTTATCTGATAGAGAATTGTCCAATCTATCAGAATCAGCAATTCGTTGGTTGCTATCTCTTTTAGTTTAAGAGATATGAATTTTTGAAAATCGTCGAAAAAAAGTATCAAGCACCCCTCCTTGGCAATTTTTTCTTAAGAATGAAAATTTCATCTCTCAGATTTCCGTTTTAACTCTCGTATCCGATAGAGAATAGTCCGTAGATTAAGACGCTGCGATCAGATCTTAATTATCTCTTTTAGTTTACGAGATATTCGCGTTTGAATAAAATGGGCAAAAATTGCAAAATGTCATTTTTTAGCACTTTTAGTCGCGTTTTTCGACCTTTTACTGTAGGAAATATAATTATTTTATATTTTTATCTGATAGAGAATTGTCCAATCTATCAGAATCAGCAATTCGTTGGTTGCTATCTCTTTTAGTTTAAGAGATATGAATTTTTGAAAATCGTCGAAAAAAAGTATCAAGCACCCCTCCTTGGCAATTTTTTCTTAAGAATGAAAATTTCATCTCTCAGATTTCCGTTTTAACTCTCGTATCCGATAGAGAATAGTCCGTAGATTAAGACGCTGCGATCAGATCTTAATTATCTCTTTTAGTTTACGAGATATTCGCGTTTGAATAAAATGGGCAAAAATTGCAAAATGTCACTTTTTAGCACTTTTAGTCGCGTTTTTCGACCTTTTACTGTAGGAAATATAATTATTTTATATTTTTATCTGATAGAGAATTTTCCAATCTATCAGAATCAGCAATTCGTTGGTTGCTATCTCTTTTAGTTTAAGAGATATGAATTTTGAAAATCGTCGAAAAAAAGTATCAAGCACCCCTCCTTGGCAATTTTTTCTTAAGAATGAAAATTTCATCTCTCAGATTTCCGTTTTAACTCTCGTATCCGATAGAGAATAGTCCGTAGATTAAGACGCTGCGATCAGATCTTAATTATCTCTTTTAGTTTACGAGATATTCGCGTTTGAATAAAATGGGCAAAAATTGCAAAATGTCACTTTTTAGCACTTTTAGTCGCGTTTTTCGACCTTTACTGTAGGAAATATAATTATTTTATATTTTTATCTGATAGAGAATTTTCCAATCTATCAGAATCAGCAATTCGTTGGTTGCTATCTCTTTTAGTTTAAGAGATATGAATTTTTGAAAATCGTCGAAAAAAAGTATCAAGCACCCCTCCTTGGCAATTTTTTCTTAAGAATGAAAATTTCATCTCTCAGATTTCCGTTTTAACTCTCCTATCCGATAGAGAATAGTCCGTAGATTAAGACGCTGCGATCAGATCTTAATTATCTCTTTTAGTTTACGAGATATTCGCGTTTGAATAAAATGGGCAAAAATTGCAAAATGTCACTTTTTAGCACTTTTAGTCGCGTTTTTCGACCTTTTACTGTAGGAAATATAATTATTTTATATTTTTATCTGATAGAGAATTTTCCAATCTATCAGAATCAGCAATTCGTTGGTTGCTATCTCTTTTAGTTTAAGAGATATGAATTTTTGAAAATCGTCGAAAAAAAGTATCAAGCACCCCCCCTTGGTAATTTTTTTCTTAAGAATGAAAATTTCATCTCTCAGATTTCCGTTTTAACTATCCTATCTGATAGAGAATAGTCAGTAGATTAAGACGCTGCGATCAGATCTTAATTATCTCTTTTAGTTTACGAGATATTCGCGTTTGAATAAAATGGGCAAAAATTGCAAAATGTCACTTTTTAGCACTTTCAGTCGCGTTTTTTGACGCTTTACTGTGGGAAATACATTTATTTTATATTTCGTTCTGATAGAGAATTTCTCAAATTATTTCTATCCGTTGGTCGCTATTTATTTTTGTTTAGGAGATATTCGCTTGCACTTTTTATCACTCTTATTCATGTTTTATCCCATGAAATTTTATTATTTTAATTTCTTACGTAATAGAGAATTGTCCGTCATAGTCTTTATTCAATATAAAATTATTTTATTGTTTTATTTTAATACTATATTTACGTTCAGATTAAAAGTGAAGTTGACCATGCAAACTACCTTCGTCAGCATGCGCAACGTCTGAAAGTCTACGAAGAGGTCCCATATGAAATGGAACGCAACTGGACGTATTTCACGAAATGCGGTGATGTTTTACTATCAGCTGATGAGTACAAAGCTGTAAGTCAATCGGTATACTACCAAAATAAATACATCTTTTAAACCGCCACCTATTTTAGTTTACAGTATTTGCAAATAAAAATTTAGAACTAAAACACACAGATTCAATTGAAATTGTGGAAACCAGCGGTACCAAAACCGTTTTGTCTGAACCAGGTACACCTTATTTCCTTATTTCTAATTGTAATTTAAAAATGACATATTTTAGATTGTTTTTGATTTCTAGACGTCATGGAAGCACTCGCCACGCGTCGTAATGCAACACAACTAAAAGAAATTTGGTTAAAATGGGAAAACGGTACAAAGCCTTTTAAGAACTGGTATTATGATGCATTAAAAATGGTTAACAAAGCAACACTTGCTAATGGTAAGCAAAAAATCCATTAAAACATGAAACAAACTTAATACAATATAATTTTATAGATTATACTGAAGTGGAAACTTATTGGGAAATGTTAAGTGACATGCAAAGTGGTTATGAACTCAGCAATACTCTTTTTGAAGCTATTCAACCATTGTACAATAAGTTGCATAATTTTGTACGATTGCGCATCAATCAACATTATAATACAACGTATGAAGAATACATCCCGACATATTTGACAGGTATAAATAGTTTTTATCATTCAAATGGACATAACTTAATAAATTTTTGTTTTTAGGAAGTTTCTTGGGAGATGACTGGTCTAATATCGCTGATATCCTTCTTCCAAACCCACAATTATACTACGACATGAAAGTTGAGCTAGAAGCACGTGAAATCCAGGATTTATTCAGATATGCAGGCAACACAACCAAAAACCTGGGCTTTGGTGATGTAGTCAACCCATTATTACTCAAACGCAGTGAATTTAATGAAAACAGCTGTGAAACTCATGTTTTTGATTATTGTTCGGAACAATACTCAAGGTAAATAATATAAATATTAAATAATACACATTATATCAATTTACAAATAATTTTTTATCATTTTTGTTACTTTTAGCATTGTAACATGCAATAAAACCAAATTAGGCAACTACTTCAACGCATATGAGACCGTCATGCAAGTAGGGTTGACTAAAGTGAATTTTGCAAGCAAAATCAATCAAGATCTCAGGTATTCACCAGTTGTACAAGGAATGCATTCCATGTCTTCATTAATGAGCATCAATGGAATGCTCCAGAATAAAATAGTCGGGAGAATGTCGTTTGTTGATCATGTAACAAGGGAAGAAAACAGAATGACTGTTATGATACTATTGGCATTACGTATATTACCAAAAATTGCATATTATCATGCAATGGATAAGTTTAGATTAGATTTATTGGAGAATCATGGAGATGTTGAAGAAACTTACAGGAAACATGTGAAGGATATTCAAGGATTATTCATGGACGAAGAAAGTACAACTGAGTTCTTGAGAGATGAAGGGATTATGTTCAATCGGCCATATTTAAGGTATGACAAGTTTTATATCACATTTTGTGCTATTTGAGTATCATTTTAACATAAATTGTTTGATTTGTAGCAAAATGTTAGGATTATTCCTACAATTTCAACTCCTCAACTACTATCAAATCGATTTGTTTGAAGAAGCGGACATTTCAACACTTTTCAATCAAGACACGACATTTAGGACTTTGTCCTGAATATTCCCAATCGTGATGCACAGGATCTCCTCAGTTACTACTACAACATTGATGAGATCTCGGATTATCCTCTTTGTCCTTCTTTGCACCTCTTGATGAGTATTTGGATATTGCACCGATGGAACAAGCTTCCTACAAACTGAAAACTCCAAAATTTGTTCGTACAACAACGACTACAACTACAGCAGCGCCCAAAATAAAGAAAACTCGATTCAAGCCCAAAGATGAAACAACTACCACCCAAAAATCAACAACTATAAACCAAAAAAGTGGCGTGAAGCAAATTGCTGATAATTTAAACGAAAAACCTAAAGTAGCAGGTGTTACAAATGTAAAACAAGATGCGAAAACATTGTTAAAAGATGATGAAGAGAATTTAACTCCTGTGCAGAGTCCTGTTCATTTAGGTATTTATATTGGCGCTGGTATTGTTGTTGTTACCTTAGCGATTATAGCTGCTGGGTTTGTAACGCAGAGGAGGCGAACGCAGAGAAATAATCGTCGATACAATGCGTAATTTAAGTTCTAATTACTTTTGTAAACCTAGATTCATAGGATTTATAATTTTTGTATATTTAAGTAGTATAGGTAATAGGAATTTATTATTTATTTAGATGATTAATTGTTAATCTGAGAATTTATTTATGTATAATTCCCAATTGTTTTGTTTGTGATATAATTGTACAATTAGCCTGCCATTAATACCTACACAATGCCAATTATTTAATAAACCGCCTGTAATTTGTAAATGTTTATATTAATATACGAATTTTTGTTAATTATAACTTGTTTGCATTTTATTTAATCTCATACTTTGAATTTTAAATTACTTTTCAGGAAATATTTAGTTTGGTAAACCTTTTACAACATGCATACCATTTAGACCTAGTAAACATATAGGAAATGCCCTAAAATGCCCTTGGAAGTTGCTATTTTCTCAAATTATGAAGCTTTTTTTGTAGAAAATTCCTATTAATTCTTAAACCAATTAAGTAATTTAAGGTTTCTTAACGCTACGTTCTAGATTAATAAACCCTTTACAAGATGTGTACCCTTTAGAACCTTTAAACCTACAGGAAATGCCCAAAAATGCCCTTGGAAGATGCGATTTTCTCAAATTTTGATGTTTTTTTGTGAAAAACTCACAATATCTTGCACACCAATCAAGTAATTTAGAGTATCTCAACGCTACGCGATAGATTAATAGACCCTTTACAAGATGTATACACTTTAGAACCTTTAAACTTACAGGAAATGCCCAAAAATGCCCTTGGAAGATGCGTTTTTCTCAAATTTTGATGTTTTTTTTGTGAAAAACTCACAATATCTTGTACACCAATTAAGTAATTTTAGGTTTCTCAACGCTACGCGATAGATTAATAGACCCTTTACAAGATGTGTGCCCTTTGGAACCTCTAAACCTATAAGAAATGCCCTAAAACGCCCGTCAAAAATGAGTATACTACGAATTATTGGTCATTTTCAGGTTGTAATAAAAACTAAATTTGTATTAACTTCTCTTTAGAATTATTTCTGTCGAAAAAGTTTCTAACCTAATTGTTGAAATTATTTTTTGGTCGAAGAACAGGGCCGCACTATTTTCAAAAAATATTTTTGCTCGAAGAACAGGGACGCACTTTTACTTAAAAATTTTTCGTGTCGAAATTACATTTTCAATTGTAATTATCTCGGAAACTAAAAGGGCTAGAAAGAAAAAACTTCATATTCTTGATCCTTGAAGAATTTTCTACAAGATGGCATCATTATTGAAAAATGTCAAAAAGGCACAAAAAATTTTTAACGAAAAGATTTTGTTATAAAAAAGGCAAAAGATTTCTCTTTTTTATGTTGAAAATTAAAAGTTGGAATTTTTAAATTCTGTTTTCGGTTTCTGAAAGTACATTAAATTTTACGTCGATTATTTAAGTAAATTTTTTTCATAACAGTAACCGTTTAGGCCCTATTTGCAATGTGAGTTAAAATATTGGTGTCGTCGTGATGACGTCATTAAAAATTTTGTTTTTCTCTTTTGCAGGCCAATAGGGCCTTAATTTAAAATTGTGTTAATAGATTCTGATTCAGAATTAAATCTACTTTCAGAATCCGAAAACAGAATTCCAAAATTCCAATTATTTCAAAAGTGGCATTTGCTGAAAAAAGATTTCGTCATAAAAAAGGCAAAAGATTTCTCTTTTTTATGACGACATTAAAAGTTGGAATTTTGAAATACTGATTTCGGATTATGATAGATCCTTCATTTTTAAATAGATTATTTTAGTAACATTTTTTGATATCATTGACCGTTTAAGCCCTATTGGCAATTTTAATGAAAAAGTTGTACTTCGCATCAAAACATGTGTAGGCTCTGACAAAATATAATTTTTTAATTAAAAATGAGAATAGGGCCTAAACGGTTAATATTAGACAACATTTTTACTTAAATAATCGATCTAGAATTGCATAATCTATCCGAATCTGAAAACACAATATAAAAATTCCAACTTTTAATTTTCAACATAAAAAAGAGAAATCTTTTGCCTTTTTTATAACAAAATCTTTTCCTTAAAAATTTTTTGTGCCATTTTTAACATTTTTCAATAATGATGCCATCTTGTCGCAAATTTTTCAAGGATCAGGAATATGTAGTTCTTTTTTTTCTAGCTCTTTTAGTTGTCGAGATAATTACCATTTAATCTTCTAATTAGGAATCTGGAAAACTAAAAATTGGAATTTTGAAATACTGTTTTCAATTTCTAATAGATAAATTAATTCTACATCGATTATTTAAGTAACTTTTTTTGTTATCGTTTACCGTTTAGGCCCTATTTGCAATTTTAATGAAACATGTGCATGCCGACGGAATAGTCTAATTTTTGAAGATAAAATAGTAATTATCTCGACAACTAAAAGAGCTAGAAAAAAAAGAACTACATATTCTTAATCCTTGAAAAATATGCTACAAGATGGCATCATTATTGAAAAATGTTAAAAGTGGCACAAAAAATTTTTAAGGAAAAGATTTTGTTATAAAAAAGGCAAAAGATTTCTCTTTTTTATGTTGAAAATTAACAGTTGGAATTTTGAAATTCTGATTTCGGATTCTGATTAGTAATTTAATTTTACGTCGATTATTTAAGTAATTTTTTTTCATAACAGTAACCGTTTAGGGCCTCTTTGCAATGTGAGTTAAAATATTGGTGTCGTCGGGATGACGTCATTAAATATTTTAATTTCCTTTTTTGCAGGCCAATAAGGCCTTAATATGAAATTGTGTTAATAGATTCCGATTCAGAATTTAATCTACTTTCAGAATCCGAAAACAGAATTCCAAAATTCCTATTATTTCAAAAGTGGCATTTGCTGAAAAAAGATTTCGTCATAAAAAAGGCAAAAGATTTCTCTTTTTTATGTCGACAGTAAAAGCTGGAATTTTGAAATTCTGATTTCGGTTTATGATAGACATTTTAATTTTAGATCAAATATTTAAGTAAAATTTTTTGATATCATTGACCGTTTAAACCCTAATTGCAATTTTAATGAAAATGTTGAACTTCGCATCAAAACATATGTAGGTTCTGACAATTTCAATTTTTTAATTAAAAGCGAGAATAGGGCCTAAACTATTGATATTAGACAAAATTTTTACTTAAATAATAGATCTAGAATTATATAACCTATCCGAAAGCGAAATCAGAATTGAAAAATTCCAACTTTTAATTTTCAACATAAAAAAGAGAAATCTTTTGCCTTTTTTATAACAAAATCTTTTCGTTAAAAATTTTTTGTGCCATTTTTAACATTTTTCAATAATGATGCCATCTTGTAGCGCATTCTTCAAGGATCAAGAATATGAAGTTTTTTTCTTTCTAGCTCTTTTAGTTTCCGAGATAATTACAATTGAAAATGTTATTTCGACACGAAAATTTTTTAAGTAAAAGTGCGGCCCTGTTCTCGAGCAAAAATATTTTATAAAAATAGTGCGGCCCTGTTCTTCGACCAAAAAATAATTTTAAGAATTAGGTTAAAGGCTGGGTTTTTACCTCAATCAATGATAAAACAAAAGTGGGCCTTATTTTTCGACCGAAAAAGAAATAAAATACATGCAAATCTACTTTAAAAAATGAAAAATTCACTTTTGATCAGCATTTTAAGGCACTACGAAAGGGTTAAGGGAGAGGAAACTATATACATGTTATAAAGGGTTTATTTAGCTATGATATTGCATTAAAATGATCCAAATTGCTTTATTGGTTCCGGAGATATAGGGTGTTTTCCACTAAAAAAAAAAAACAAAAATTTAAGAAAAAACTTTAAAAAATGGGTATTTTAGGGCACTTCCTAAGTATTTAGGCAGTGAAAACAATATAGGCATTGTAAAGGGTTTCATTTTCTACAATATACCACTAAAATGACACAAATTGCTCGGTTGGTTCCGGAGATATAGGCTGTTTTACACTAAAAAAATTAAAAATTTAAGAAAAAACTAAGTTTTGATGGGTATTTTAGGGCACTTCCTAAGTATTTAGACAGTCAAAACAACATGGGCATTGTAAAGGGTTTCATTATCTACAATATACCACTAAAATGACACAAATTGCTTGGTTGGTTCTAGAGATATAGGGCATTTTCCTTCAAAAGATTAAAAAATTTCAGAAAAAAATAATTTTGATGCGTATTTTAGTGCACTTTCTAAGGGCCCAGGTGTTGGAAACTATTTACACGTTGTAAAGTCTTTCCTAAGCTTTCATATAACGATGAGAAACCCTAAATCGCTTTATTGACACAGGAGATATAGGGTGTTTTCCATTACCAGCATTGCAATTTCATAAAAATGACATCTTTAATGAAACTTTTAGGGCACTTCCTACAGGTATAGAACATGAAAAATACAAACATGTTATTAAGGGTGTCTTACACTATAATATAACAGTTAGAAACCTTAAATTGCTGAATTAATACCCGAGATATAAAGTGTTTTCAACCAAAAATCTTATTATATACTCAATAAAACTTTAAAACTTAAACAGTAGATGGCGCAGCATGCTTGATTTGTAACATAATATTACCAGCTGATCGCACTGATGTATACAACTGTTGTTTCCCTTTCAAAACAACAAAAGACAAATAATATAAAACATTAATTAAAAGTTACTAAGTAATTCGCAATGGCAGTCCCGTTATTCCCTAAATTAATGCCGAAATTGATTGATTCTGAATGGTTAAACGTTGATCAACCCTGCGACGACGAAAGTGAAGTTTCACAGTTGGAAAGAGAACATCAAGCCTGGGTAAAAAGAACACTCAACAAAAACATAAACAAAAATTAATTATTAATACTCTTATTTCCTTTATTTAGTTATTATCAATACAACAGAGAAACATGGATTTACTTCCAATAGGCAAAACACAAGCAGAGGTATAAACAAAATAATATACAGAGTATTACAAAACAATAATAAATCAATTATTATAATATAGAATCTGGATGAAGAAGAAGAGGAAGATGATGAAGACGACAACGACGACGACGACGAATCAGAAACCCACGATGAAGAAGACGAGGATGAAATCGAGGTGGACGTCACCGAAAGAAACTCTCCGGTGGATGTAAACATCCGCATGGGTCAGGGGCATGGTGTACGATAACCGAGAACAACAAGAGGGTAACTTTTTAAGCTATTTTTGTATTTTCCAGTAAAATCAATGAAAAGTAAAGAATACAGAAGGAAATTGATTGCATACTCTTCAAATAACTCATCCTGAACAGTATTAATACCATAAATCATAATAAACATTATAAATCAAACCACAAATACTTCTTTATTTAACAAAAACTAATTATTTTCAGTTTGTAGATAATCCAAGGTTAAATATTACATGATTACAAGCAGATAATAACAGATAGCGCTACTGGTATTCAACTGAAGTCATCACCAGCTGTTTACTTGTCATGATTGTCGACGTGACTACCGTCTCGCTTCGTCTTACGTGATTAAACATTATCACTAAAAGAAACGGTATAAGCCTTTAAAAAACCTTGTTTTCCACCTTCCATGAACGCAAGTAAACTCGTAAATCCGCAATGGCGAGACTCTAGGTGAAAGTACGAAAGAGCGCAACATTCGCAAGCATTGAACAACGCGCAGAGCCTTTCGAATCGCTACCACATTGTTCCGGTGTTAAATCTAGTCTAGGCGAACTCATGCAGACGATCAGTCGGTGCCGCCGTCACTAGTGTGCTTCTATCCTTCAAAAAACGAGGATTTATCGCTTTGCAGTCGGTGCAAGCAAGTTTTACATCGACGAGCGCTAGTCAAGGAAGGAAACGAGGTTAGTTTTATGTAATAAGTGCCATTTAGGTCACATTTACAATTTATTCAACTAAAAATAAAGAAATACAAAAAAGAAAACATATTTAGTGAAATAAACACAGACTTTATTTAATGTATTGTTCTGAACGGTTAATTATCATAAAAAATGAAATTGTGCAATATGTCTGAAAGATATGGATAGGTAGGATACACAGGGTGTTCAGAAAGAAAAATATTTATTTGTAATTGCATATATTTTAAATTAGAGCAATGGTAATAATAATAATAAGAAAAGTTAAAAGTTAAACCGATATTTACAATTAAAACGGAATGATTGGCATTCTAGGTCACAACTTTATTAAATTCCAATCTCAATTGTGTTCCATTGCTTCTACAACGCATTCTATCACGAATTGTTGGGTTGCTATGAGTGCTAAGCACCAAAAATCGATTTTTATTGATTAGAATCAAAATAATTCAAAATCGTTGAAAATAATTGTTGTCTACGTAGTGAAAGTGATGAAATTTACACTTTATTTAATAATAAATTGAGTAAATAAGTATTTATCAGGTCTTATCAATGTATCAACAGACGTCTGTTTGATTTAAGTTGATAACTGCATTAAAATATCACAAAGTAGCTTCAAAACCTTCAAAACTTTAATATTTAGTTTATAAATGTTGCTATAGTAACACTACAACATTAAAAAACATTAAAACTTGTTTTTATTCTTTGGAAATCCCAAAAGGTAGCAATATTTTGTTGAAAAAACGATAAATGACGTAATTCCAACTTGTTAGACTTCTCCCGCTTGTAATTTATTCCTAAATGGATAAATTGCATTTATAATCAAGTTTTACTCTTTAAACTCCATGTTTAACCTTGCAAATCAAACTTTAATCTTAAATCTTTACTCATACACCACAGAAATAATAACAAATTGAATTTAAAACACTTATTCATCTTAAACGATAACAATCGCCATCAATTGAGCGAATTAATTCATCCCTAGCTGTTTGTCAGTTGCTACGCTATTGTAAAACTCATTTCTAATTAAAATTTAATCATTTTGTTACATGTTAAAACATTTATTGCTTCCAAAAGTGCTTAAAACACTAATTAAACCACTAATCCGCAGCCATTTCCTCTCTGTTATCACACCTATCATGCAATTTAAAAAAATTAACTCGAATAGCATTGATGTTTGAATGTTGAGTGGTTGTAATTAAAATAAATCCGCACGTAGGCCCGGTGCGCGCGCGCTTGATGAGTTGTCAAAAATGTCGGCGGTGTGCGATAATTAAAACTACACAACTCGCACTTTACACTACTGCACATACACATAGATATAATATCTATTGTTATCATTAATGCGTGTGTTTTATTGTAACAATTGGCACTCGAGCAGGGCGGGAGTTTGGTCGCGCGCGATAATCGCCGTTCACTGGCAGCGTCTCGCCCACAATGTGCACTGTATATGATTTTGCACACGACACCAATTCGCGTGAAGTTTCTGTATTCACAGCGTGTGCAAATATTGCTGGTGTCGTGCGCAAATCGGCGAAAAAACAAAAACAAAGCCGCAGGTAACCGGCGGGCAATCGATAGCAGACACTTGATCAAATTTTACATTCATAAATCAAGTTTATACTTTGTTAATATCTAAGATTTTAATTATTTGATTATTTTTATTGTTTTACTTGGAATTTTTTGTTTATTCGCTTGGAAAGTGGGTTAAAATTAATTTTTAACCGTCGAAATTGTTAGATAAGTTGTGGTTTAAGTTTTATGACTAAAAGTTGTTAGAAATTGTAACAAATCGAATCATTAGCGATTGAAAACATAAAGAAAGTGAAAGTTTAAGGAACTTTAATGATTTTTTGTTACAAACGTTAACAAACAATGAAAATTTACTTAATAAGTTAATTAAACATAATTAAAATGTAGAAATATGTTGAAATTTTATAATTTTACAAAATTTTAATGAAATTCTATCATAATTGATAAATATTTGTGGTTTCTATCGTTTATTATGATATTCTACTGTAGTTTAATGTGTGATCGACTTACATAGTTGTTTATTCTTTTTGTTATTCACATAATATCAATCATAATCATAATAATATTGTGTAGATTAGACTGTGTGCGGTTTTGGTTTTGCTTGAGGTTTGTTTGCTTTAAAATGCGCAAATTTTATCAGTGTTGGTGGTTGATGTAATATGTAATGTTTGTGACAAATTGCTGGAACTGTATCGCAATTATGTGCATATTCCGGTTTGAAAATCACACCACTACGCAAACTTTTGATAAAAGTCAGGCTGTTTGCGTTCAAATCGCTGTTAAAACTACACGGTAAATAATCATAAATAATAATCAGGTAGTTTAGTTTAGTTTGGTTATAAAAAATAACTGTTTGTTAGTTTATTAATAATAATATTTCAAAATGTAAAATGTATAAGTAAGTAGGTAGTAAAAATGTAACAGACCAATCAAAGTGAAGTATTTAATACTGATGTAACAAAAAAAGTAAATTTTGACGTCAAATTTGAAAATTTCAAAGAAAAAATTCGTTTTTACCTACAAAACAAAAAATTCTACAAAAACATGTTTAATATCTATATATACAAAAATGAATTGCTGTTCGTTAGTCTCGCTAAAACTTGGGAACGGCTGAACGGATTTATCTCATCTTGGTCTTGAATTATTCGTGGAAGTCTAGGGAAGGTTTAAAAGGTGAGAAAAATTCGAATAATTGCCGGGAAAATCCTCAAAACAGCTCTTTTCTATAGAATAAAATTTGACATTGAGATTCAATCATAGTAATAGTTAAATAGTTGAATTCGAGATGGCGCGCTGAAGTGCATTATTGACAAAACATTATATAATTAATTTCTTTAAATTAAAATTGCTAATCTTATTGATAGAATTGATTTTATTATTTTCTAAATTTCTGACGATGCCCACAGGGCGAAACATGTAAAACTCATACAAAATTGTAAAATCCATATAAATCACAAAACAATTTAATAAATACATCTGATAGAATTGACTCTTACAACGAGTCTAGAACAAGAGAGTAAAATCGAATTAAATTTTTATTAAACACTGCCGGAACGAAGTCGCGGGGAACAGCTAGTAAATAATATATATTTTCAAATATAATATGATTGATTTTCAAGGACATGTACAGTAGTGGATCAATCAGAGTAAAATTCTCAACACTGACATCAAAAATGACTAAATTTCCGCGCAAAAATTGAAAAATACAAAGAAAATCTCAATTTTCCGCCAAAAAATCTCATTTATTATTAATAATGTATATATTCAAGTATAATATGACCATATTTCAAGGACAATTACATCATTTTACCATTTTCGCCAAAAAAGTAAAAGAAATATTAAAAAATTTCAACTTATGCATATCTTTGCATATCTTTAAAATGAGTGTACCTACCTGTTGCACGCATAAAACAGAAACAAACAATCGATGAGTCCAGTCCACCGATTTAAATTTTGTTGTATACCGCACACATATTTTATCGCACAAATTGATAAAAGTGCGTCCGTGAATGCGCTGATTCCACACTAGCTGACTAACCAATCGTATGTACATTCTACGAGATAGTCCTGATAGTCCCGATAGACTAGCCGGTACCATCGCAACGTGTCGCATAGAAAATTCACATTCGCCTTCAATCGCTCACGGCGTTCAGACTCTATTGTAGAGCCGCCAACTGCCAACTGCAAACATTTAAACTTTTTATTTAAATACTCAACATAACAATGTACATATTTAACTATTTATTGAATTATTTTAAAATTTATTAATGTTTTTATTTGTTTTGTTTAGAATGGATCACTCACAGCACCATGCAATGAACCATGACATGATGGACCACTCTCAGCACATGGACCACTCAAAAATGGACCATTCTGGACACGGAGGACACGAAGGGCATGATATGGGTGACATGCAGCATACAATGTCTATGTGGGTGAGTAAATAATAAAGTTTCATAGATTTTTAAATGAATTCAATAATAATTTATGTTTTTATTGTTTAGTTCCACTTTGGGTACGAGGAAACTGTTCTATTTGACACATGGAAGATTAGTACGATTGGTGGATTGATTGGATCCATGGTAGGCATATTTTTCATGGCTGCTCTCTACGAGGGACTTAAATATTACAGGTATATACTAAAAATTTAATTTTTTTAGCAAAATTTTAATTATTTTTGATTTTACAGAGAATTTCTCTTTTGGAAAACTTATAACGCTCTGCAATACCGCGCTGTTTCCCTCCCAGCGGATAAACGCGTCGTCGCTGAAGATAATCAAGTTGTACAGTGAGTAATCACCTAATAATCTATTGTTATGCATTGATTTGCTTGGTATTGTTGCGAATATGTAATCATAAGTCATCGAAATGCTCTTGTTACTGTCGCCGGCGTGATAATGACTAATTGTGTTGTTGCATTTTTTCATTCTTTGCTCATCCACACACATATCAACATCAACATAGTATGGTTGGTGAAGTTATACACAAGCAGCCGTAAGTTGATCATATGTTTGTGTTTAGTCTTGTAGAAATCATAATTTTTCATTTAATTCATTCAAAAAATCAAAACAAAAGAAAAAAATATTAAAACTTTATGTTTTCTAGGCCGACGATGTGGAGCACAATGCACGTCTTCCAAACACTTCTACATATGATCCAAATGGTTGTTTCCTACTTTTTGATGCTCATCTTTATGACCTACAATGTTTGGTTATGTATCGCCGTTGTCCTGGGCGCTGCAGTCGGCTACTTCCTCTTCGGCTGGAAAAAATCCGTGATTGTTGATGTGACTGAGCATTGCCATTGAAAACTTTCGATGGATTTCATCGTATACTCTGCAATTGACGCATTTCAACAACAGCTATACCATTAAATACATAAAATACATAAATGAAAGAAAACTAAACGTTTTTCTACGTAATCATTTAGTTTTCTTTGTGAAAACCATAGAAATAGTAAAGATTAGTATTGTCTTAATTGTTGGCTAGGATTTTATACATATTTTTATTGTATTTGAACACTCAGCACGCCTCAATATCGATATTAATTGAGATTATACATTATTCAATTTACAATTTACAATTTAAGTTACCAAAATTGTTTTTTTGTCTTTTGTTTATAAATATTGATTGTGATGATATGAATTATGCGTACGTTCTTATTGAGTGCTCAAATTCTTTGTTTATTATTAAAACTAATAGAAAATGATGTGTAAATGATGAAACCAGCTTAAATTGTGCTTGTATCATGTTGATCATGAAGAATGGCGGCAGGAGTCAACGCCAGTGAATGACTACTCATAGAAACGTTGATAATAAATTTATTTTTTGAATATATGAATGTATTTTAATATTATTTCCTAAAATTAATCAATTTTTATGCTGTATTAAACAAATCACAACTATTTTTAAGTTTTTTGTGTTTTTTATGTAAAATTTTGTTAGCTTTGCACAATATCTAGCATATAATGCAATAATATGTATATTAATATATCCCTACTTACATTTTAGTTTAAATTTATGTTTCGGTGATAAGCACTTGAAGATAACGATTGATATCAAGATCCAGGAGGTATATTAACCCGTGGATTGTGTAGACATGATTAGTTAGCATTTAGAGCTCATTGATTTGCTCAATACTTTGCTGTGATTAATTTTTTAACGTTTTTTTTATAAAGATGAATGTTACTAATGTTACGATGAAAGCTGGAACGCGGTGTGATATGTGTGATATGGATATGGACATGGACATGAAAATGTGGGTAAGTATAGCAAATTAAGACTGAAAAATTATAATTTAGGTCTTATTAAATTAATATCTTTGTATGTTTAGTTTCATTTTGGAAATACTGAAACAGTCCTGTTTGAATCATGGACATTTGACACGGATGGTGGTCTGATTGGATCAGCAATTGGAATCTTTTTCCTGGCGATGTTTTATGAAGCATTTAAATTCGGCAGGTGGGATATTAACATTAATACTTTAAAACAACAACTAAAATGATGTTTTTATTTGATTTCTAGGGATATATTCGCGCAGAAGATGCAAAAATGTACTAAAGATTCAAAGTAAGTTATTTTTTCCAATTTTAAAGTTTTTCAACTAAAATTTTGTGTTTTTTTTTTTGTTTTTGTTTAGGCAAACAATGTTCAACATGCCACACGGTGTTCAAACGCTAATGCACGCAATCCAATTCATTCTATCGTATTTTCTCATGTTTATCTTCATGACCTTCAATGTTTGGTTATGTCTCGCTGTCATTTTGGGCGGTGGCGTTGGCTACTTCCTGTTTGGATGGAAAAAGACTTCTGTGGGTGATCTTACTGAACACTGCCACTAATAAATTAAAATAATAAAATTTAAAACCAAATCTGTATCTATACAATGTGTCGCAACCCTTGTCACGCGTCCGCCATCTTGTGAAACGCGCTGCGAATGGTTTTTCCGTTATATTTGGCAAACTATTCGTCCCACAGACATTTTATACAACATTTTAAGCTTAAAATTTAATTATCTACATTTTTTAGTCTTAAAAAACCAAAAATAACTAAAATATTAACAAAAATATATTAAAAATTTATATTTTACTAACCTATGATAATTATTATCTAACCTCCAATTGATAATCTTACTAATCATATATTGTAAATAAAATAAACTTGAAATAATCTTTATTCATAGAAGAACAAATACAAAAAATTAACACGTTAATTTCCAAAAACTTACAGTTCCACGCTCAGCAGCCGCATTCATCAATCATCGCTTTATAATTACATATTCGTTTAGTGCAACTAGAGTAGATTATATCAATATATCTCAATATGTACTTGAATCGTTACTAATCAAATCATCAAATGCAAAAAAAAAGAAAAGAAGAGAAAAAAACGCCAAGAAATCCAAACGCAAACAAAACCAAAACGTTTGTTTGCCGCAATTGCACACCCATGCCAAGGTATGCAACCACACTCACACACACACCGCCATCTTTACACGCATACATATTATATAATAATAATGAATCATTATCATACAGAAATGATTAAATACGCAAACGATAACTAATTCAAGAGAGGGCTTATGGCCATATTAGTATGTAGGTAGCTAGTACAACATCTCCAGAGCGTCATCAGCGCCACGCCCACAAAACAGACGCCGCTAAAATATTTAAATGATTCGGTGGTTTTTAATCAGGTGCTGATCACCTTCCGAAACAAATCGCTTGCGGCCACGCGATGGCAACCGCTTGACGATTTGCTCGGTGAGGAAGCCCTCCTTGTAGCATCTATCAACAAATCTGTCAAGAATAATGTACGCTAAGGGTACATCCATGGAGATATCCGCGAGGTCTTCAAACACGCGGAAGAAGCCATGCTCGAGTTGATCCGGCGTGATAATAATCGCATCGGATAAAGATTTGAGCAACGTGCATAGTGCCTCCTCCTTCGAGGCGGAATTAGCCTCCAGCGCCATGACGATTGATTCATAGACCAATTCATGATGGAAGTGTGGTACTTCCAATGCGCGGACACATCGGGTAGCTTCGGAAATATCCCGAGAAGAGATATACTCCAATAGGAGGAGATTCATCTGTCGGGTGAGATATTTGACAGGACGAAGCGCTCCGCCGACGCCCCAGACGTTGTGCAATCGTACAATACCGTGTTTCATGGTGAATAAAGTGTTGGCACGATCCAGCGCCTCTTGGAACGGCTCCGCGTCGGATTTGTCTTTCATAACAGCGAGAAACTTCGGCGGAATGCAGTCGTCAGCGATGGCGCGTGCGATGAAGTTGCCTAACACCATCGGCGCATCGGGAATGTCAATGATCAGATCGCCTAAGTTCGCCAGTAAATTTTCGAAACCTTTAGTGATGTCACCTTCGGTCACCACTTGACCGTATAAATCGGATACCAGCACGGATGTCATCTCACGATGAGACGCTTTGTGATCCATGGCGATTTCCACCATGAATTGTACGAGAATATCGCGTAGGTTATGCGGAACAGCGTCGGATAGGGAAATGGCCGCCTCGTGCGTGTCGCCATTTTCGAAATATTCGAGAATGATCGGCTCGACTTTACGTCGGACATCTTCGACGGTGATATCCGGTATGACTGCCTTCAACTCAATATCGCCATTACTCATATTCTCGTTGTCGTAGTTGGGATCGTTGACGTCTTCGTAGGCTTCGAGGAGTTCCGAGCCGGGTAGACCCCAGACACCTTTACCGCCAGCACCGCCTTTCTTCGGCAGCCCACGACCGAAGCCGTTGCGTGAACGGCGGCTGTTCTTCCACGACCGTGGCGCATGGATGAATCCAGCGGCGGAGTTCGCAACCACGTTCTCTTTGCTGTTCTGTCGCGCGATCTTCTTCAGCTTGCGTTTGTTGCCTAGCGTCGAGTCGGCGGCGAGGTTCATCGGCGTGTCGGCATCGCCGGGTTCATCCTTGCCGTCGACGAGCATCTCATCGCCGGAGCCGCGGCTCAGCTCCTCCAGCTCCCTGTCGACGCCGGCCATCGCTCGCCGGCCAGCTGCGAAAACGTAAATAAACAGGTTAGGCGAAGTGGAATCACAGAGAGGCTGGTCCTGGTTTTACATTGTTGCCAGGTTACCAGCACAATAGCTAATCATGCAGGAATAAAGCGTGAAAATTGCGCCATTTTAATCATATAACTATAGAAAAATTCATTCATCGACCCACGCGACGATTTATTTTTGTTTTTCTGGTGGGTATAAGATTTACGGCGAGTTGTTATGTTGTACTGCGTAATATGCCGGCTGGTGCAGACATGGCAACTGCGCGCAGGCGTGCAAACAAACAAAAAAAAAACAGACGACATACGCCTGCTGGCCGATGCCTGCAAGGGCCTACGTGACTCTTTTGTCATCCGACATAAGCAAAACTCGTGCGGCATAAGCAAAACCGGCAACCAATACCAACTCACACACAAATCCAATCAGCAAAAATCAAAAATCACACAACCGCATAAAACGTGGTCGCGTTTGCGTAAAAAAACAAAAACAAATTGTTACATCAGATCATAACAAAACAAAAGCACTCGGTTTACACTTACCAAAGAATCAATCCACGAAACGCGATAAGAAGTATTTATCAACACGTTGATTACAGCCGCTTGTGTGTGTGTATGCGAGAGGTAGAAATGTGTGTGTTGTTATTTCGGGTTGGATTTCGTATGGCGATAAACAAACGATGCTGAATGTACGGCAACGCGGAACAAACTTAGCGCACGGCAGCGAGACCAAAACAACTCCGCTTGCAAGCACGCACACACAGTTGCATAACATACACGTAGTCAGCGGATGCGCATATGGTTGTAAAATACTCGTCGGTGATTGGTCGGTTTGTGGAGGCAATGGCTTCCCGCAATGTGGACCCGACGACGTGCGAGGTGACACGAGTCACACATTTCGTCCACACAACACAAACTTCGACATTGCAAATGTATAAATTGTAAATTATCGCCTAGGTTTCTTGCGCTGTGCAAGACTTGCGACACTTCAAAGCAGAAAAACAACTTTTGCACCGCTAGCAGAAGAATAAATACACCTAAACATGAAGTTATATTCAAGGTAGGCAACCATATTAACTGGTATTTGTAAAATATTAATGAATTATTCACGTTTTCGGTTGGGTGCGTTCGTAATTTTTATTTTCCACACGCCAGTCATAACATTCTGCGTGGAATACTATTACAAGGCCGGTTTTACTACGCCCGGCGTGATGCATTGTCCTATTATAATCGTGTGATCTATTTATATCCGCAATAATATTATGTTGGAAATGTTGGCAAGGCGTGCGAGCGCCGGTTGAACTTAACAAACGTAATAAAACGCGTTTAGCAAGTGCATATAATTAAATCATCGATAATTTAATCAAATTTTATGCAATAAACAAGTTTGTTATGCCGTAATTCAACAGCGATAACAGTGAGATGAAGTAAGGTTAGTGTAGGAATCTGTATTACCGACATCCATGCGATAAATAAGTTTTTTTTAGATTTTTGTTGATTTAAGTTGTTTGTTTGGTGATTTTGATCCAAGGTTACGTGTTTTGAAGTGTTTACTTGTTCTATTTATATGTTACACATATTTTTCGGTAGGTGAAAGTTGATAAACTGGTTTTGACTTATGAGTATAACTTGTGTATGTTGGGTTGCATATAGTAAAGTAATCACAACCCATATTCACGTCTGTTAGATTTATTATTTAATCATTTACAATAAATGCTTAAAGTTCGTATGTATGTAATTCGTATATCCATCATAATATCATAATATTAAATATGAAAATGTTCGTTTTGCAGTGAAGACGCAGTGTGACGCACACAGACACAGTAGAAAAGTAGAAAAAATACATATTCACAGTTATTGACACAGAGACGCAGATTCATGAGCAAATCGTAAATTCAGCTTAAACATTTTCCAATCTCAACGCAATATTTCATATATAAACGAACATTCAAATGTAACAATCAAGATGATAGTCATTTTTCATCGATAAATATTTAGTGTGAGCGTGTGTTGACAAAGAATTTTCAAGTTGACACATCGATTAATTCAAAAAACATCCATGTTATCTATATTTTTTGGATATACAGTGTGCTGCTGACGAACACACTGTATATTTACATCTATAGTTTCGTATTACGAATAGACAAACATTCACAAACAACACCAATGCGTAATGTAACACCGAAAGCGTGCATCAAAATGGCGGCGAATTCACACACAGCAGACGCACAGACACACGATATTGATAAAAATATTCACGATATATATATTTGACGTCGATTAGCACCAGTAGTTTAGTTAATCAAAACAGGATTAGTTGATATCTGAATGATTTAAATGTGTGTTGCAATATTGTGTATAATTGGTTGCCTATGACTAGATTAACTGTGATTCTAGCAAATTAACACAAAATACGTTTATATCTTTAGGAAAATTTGCGTAAATGGCGGCGAGGGGTTTCGCAAGAGCACTTCTCATTCATAAGGGACGTGGATTAATTGACAAGTTGTCAAAACCACAAAATAAAACCAATATAACCTATAATATTCAAGATAAAGATGATATTGGTTTTATTTTGAGGTTATTAGGTGTATGGTGATATTATAAGCTCTAAGAGTGGTGTGTGAAAGACTATCATTCTAACCTCAATGCACTACACACAAAAACTAACGATTGAGGATTGTTTTCGAAGCATTTGGTCCCATTTTAACCAAATCTGTTGCTTGTTTTCATCGTTTCTTAAGCGTAAACAAAGAAAATATAATCAAGTATATAATAAAAAACTAAATAACACAGTGTGTAGAAATAGATAAATATAAATAGATAAAATAGAATAGTGTGTATAATAGTTGTTGCAAATATACTTAAAACAACTTCTTCTTCACCGCCGTGTATCGCTCCATGTACGCCTCATAACCATCCAACTCTTGCAATTGTTTCATCTCAAATAAATTCCCCTCAAGTGTAAGATTAGATATCTTACTATCCGTGAGGATCCGCGGGCTAATACTTGTAATTTGCAGACAATTCTCTTCTAATCGCAGCGTTTTCAAGCGCGGACACAGCGCTATCTGCCCGGACAACTCCGCAATCTGATTTTGATTTAGATTCAATTCTGTGACATTCAACGTGGAAATATCACCGGTAATCGATGTAATATCATTGCGTGACAGGTCCAACACATCCAGGTGCTTCAACCCACAGAAAACAGTTGGTACCTCTTTGAAATGATTGTCCGACAAGTATACAGCCTTCAAATGAATCAGATTTGATATTGTCCGAGGCAAACTTGTCAGGTTATTGTTGCATGCACTCAGCGTATCCAGTTTTGTAAGCGCCCCGATACAATCCGGGATCTTGGTGAGTTTATTCTTGTTGAGGTTGAGGTTTTTCAAATGAATGAATCGGGCGATTTCATTGGGCAAAGTGATGAATTTGTTGTCTGAGATGTCAAGTGTTCGCAGGTTGCCTTCACATTGGAGGAAATCCTGTGGGAATTCATTCAGTTTGCTCTGGGAGACTTTGAGCACACCTGTCTTTTTCGCTGTATCGACGTGGTGTTTCACTCCGGCGTTGCCCATGACTTTTTAACACATTGAACAACTAAAAATTTACATTTATCAATAAGTAAATCACTTGTTGATTTTTTTTGGTGAAAGATTTTTGTGTTATTGATTCGAATGCTTACGGTTTATTGTAAATCTGGCGGAGAATGTTGGTGGCGATGCGTAGCACCAGGTTGAGTGCGGTTTATTAGCGTTTTAATAATTGATAATGTGAGTAGAGGATATTTTTATTGTGCCCTAGTGCTGGGAGTCGATGTAAATTGCAGCAGTCTGAACGGAACACAGCGCCATCAAACGGTAAAGAGTTGAAGTAAAATGTAGGGTTAACAAATATATAAGTATATTGCTAGGTATTCAAGTATCGTAGGTGTAAGTTCCAGCATATGTTAACCCTAGATGTGTGTATATTGGGTTGCTTATTGATATTTTTTTAAATTTAACACAATAATTATATTAAAATCAATAAAATATTAATAAATTTATGATATTTCTTTACTTTTTCAAGTTTAATTCATGTTTATTTAGTTTAAAACACAAAAAATTGTTTAATTTTACTATAAATTTAAATGTATACTTGTGGCCCTCTAGTGGTGAATATGTAAAACTTGTCGCATCTTTAGTTTATCTCAACATTCCGTTTTTTCTTGCGTTTGCGACCGGCGGTGCGGTATCGATCGCGTCGGGTTTTGTTCCGTGCGGGTCTGTGCATTGCGCGCGGCCGCTGCTCGCGCAGTGTCAGATGTCACATCACGGATGACATCTTCGTCGAGATCGTCGTCTTCGCGCTGCTGCTGCATACCGTATCCGGTTCGTCGCGAAACAATCGCCGCAAACAAACAAACGCGCAAACAAAACACGCTCGACACACAACACGACCGGATTGTTCAATTATTCCACGTTCAGTGCGGCATAAATACACGAAATGAAGATGTGTCTGCCACAGCGGCTTGAATGGTGATTGTGTTCGATGCGTGCGGTGTGAAAATGATCGATTCCGATCCAGCCGCGAGTCTGCGATCGGCGTCGTCGTGAACCGGAAGACCGGAAGGCCGGAAACGATGACGAGCACACCGAAGACTGCCGGCAAGCATGTACCACAAGGTAAAATAATTCATCATCGTTATTATTATATCAATCAATCAATAATTTGCGCAATCATTTGAGTGTTTTGTTTGTTTTTTTGCGCTGTGCAAGGACAAATCAAGGACGAATATTGGGTTATTGGGTGATTTTGCTAGTGTGCTGGTGGTGGTGGTGGCAGGTTGTTGCACCCTGTTCGGGCCCGGTCAGACCCGGATGCATCAAGGCATCTCGCGTCTCGCGCACGTTTTCCGATTATGCAATGTTACACTTTACATTACACATTGCACGTTTATCGCATTTTCTCACGTTCGTTGGTGAAATTCCACACGCGCGCGCCTTTCTTACATGTAAACACGCGCGTTTACAATGTAAGTAACATAAATGTTGGATAAATATTGTAAAACGGTTAAAAATTGAGGTTAAGCAACAATAAAATGTCATATAAAATATATGGTATAGTTTAGGTCATGTTAGGAATCTACTTTACCGATATTTGTGATTTTTATGAGTTTTTTGTAAATAAGTCGAAAACTAATTGAGATATTATTAAAATTCATTCAGTAATGGACGCAGAATTAAATTCCACGCATAAAATTGCAAGAATTGTATTTTTAACTTGTTGCATTCAAAAGTTATTTGACATTTTTGTCAAGTTTGGAATAATGTTATCGACTTTCGTGTTTTTTATTAGTTTTTCGTTAATAACTCCAAAACTAATGAAGATATAATTAAAATTCTTGCGGCAATGGACACAGAATTAAATTCCACGCATAAAATTGCAAGAATTGTATTTTTAGCTTGTTGCGTTCAAAAGTTATTTGGCATTTATGTTAAATTTGTTATCTACTTTATCGACTTTCGTGTTTTTTATTAGTTTTTTGTTAATAACTCGAAAACTAATTGAGATATAATTAAAATTCTTTCGGCAATGGACACAGAATTAAATTCCACGCATAAAATTGCAAGAATTGTATTTTTAACTTGTTGCATTTAGAAGTTATTTGGCATTTTTGTCAAGTTTGGAATCTACCTTATCGACTTTCGCGTTTTGTATTAGTTTTTGGTTAATAACCCGAAAACTAATAAAAATACAATAAAAACTCTTTCAATAATCAACGCAGAATTAAATTCTGCATACAATCACAAGAATTACATTTTTAACTTGTTGCATTAAAAAGTTATTCACCAAAAACTTTTATTTTATTATTTTTTTTGTGGATTCCAGTTCCAGAGAACTGATTAGTCTCAATTAAGCATTTTCATCGCGTCTAATAATAAATGTTACGTCATGCGTGCACGCTGCAACTCGCCGACTCACGGACTTAATTAGAGTAATTACCAAAACATAAAACATCAACACATTTATCTATTTTTAATTCCCAACTTGAAAAAAAGCTGCTCAACAGATGGCGCCATTTCCAAAACAATGATGTCACCACCCACAAAATCCACAAAATGGTTGTTCTGCGTCATTGCCAAAAACAAAATGTAATTTTAGAAATATTCGCAGTGCCAGAAAATTCCGGCGGTGAAATTTAGTTTGTTTTATGCATTCACCAACGAATGTTGTAAAATTTTCAGTGTTTACTTTGTTCTATCACATAATATAACATACAGTGTGTTTAAATTTAAATTTAGTGTTGTATAAAAAATGTTTGTGCAAAGTGCAATGCCCGCGACGCGAAAATACACACTCGCCGAAAATAGACGCGCGCGTCGCGACGCCGCCACGCTACGTCTGCTCTCATTCGCCGTCATAGACGAAAATGACATTCTACGCTTACAAGGTGCACAAACTCTTAATTTTAAGTTAGGCAACCAAACATACACCTTTCACATGACTATTAATTCACACGTGAATCCACCAGGCGGCACTCGCGACGCATTCCTTTCACTTTACGCTTCCGCATTGAACAAATGTTTAATTTTAAGCTATGCAACCAAACATACACCTTTCACATTACTATAAATTCATGCGGGAATCCACCAGGCGGCACTCGCGACGTTTTCCTTTCACTTTACGCTTCCGCATTATACAAATGTTTAATTTTAAGCTATGCAACCAAACATACACCTTTCACATGACTATTAATTCATACGTGAATCCACCAGGCGGCACTCGTGTCGCATTCCTTTCACTTTACACTTACAAATTGTACAAACTTGTAATTTTAACTTAGGCAACCAAACATACACCTTTCACATGACTATAAATTCATGCGAAAATCCACCAGGCGGCACTCGCGACGCTTTCCTTTCACTTTACGCTTCCGCATTATATAAATGTTTAATTTTACCTTAGGCAACCAAAAATACATCTCTGAAATGTCACAATAATTTCATTTTTTTACATGACGATGAATCATGCGCATGCGTTGACTACCATAAGCCTTGTGAGAATCCACCAGGTGGCACTCGTGGTCCATTCATTTTATTATCAACATCCGGATCCAGAATCTCCCTCGATGTGAATCCGGTGCCTAGTAACGGATTCCGCGTGATATTACACTCGGGTTTCATACTTGCTTTGCGTGGCGTGTTTTCAATATGCCCGATTGTATCCTTGGACGCTTCACTTGCGTCCATCAAACGCCTGGGACTCGGTAAGCTGTCATTCTCCCTGCAACCCATGCATCCGACCGGGAAGATATTACTCGAGTGATCTCGTAGTTTATTCAGGCGTCCGGAACGCACCGATGAACGTTCTTGGACGTTGTTGATTTGCGACGGCGAGGAGGTATTACCAGGCGCGGAACTTGCAGTTGTGCGTGATGCTGTCGCTGATGAGACGGTTTTATCCAGGACGGTGTTCTCGTACACTGTCTCGATGGTGGTGTTGTCGTATTTACCGCTCTGGTCGATCTCGATCTTTAGTTCGGAGTCCTGCGCGGCGCGCTCAGAGGGCGCGGTGCGTCTGATGTCGCTTAACTCTGCTGTTTCCTTCAGTGCTTGACTGGCGCTCACGTCGGAATTTTTCTCGTCCATTGTGATTGAATATTAATGTTTAGGGTGATATTTTGTGGGTGGGATGATTGTGGGGGGTGTATAACACTTGTATAGATTTTTTATGGTAAAAAATGATATTTTTTAGTGTATGACGACGTCGATGGAATTTTTGTGCGTGATTTGACGTGTTATGCCGAGAGATGCCGTGTGACAGGTTATAAACAAAACTAACGCACACTAGGTTTTTATAGGTTTAGAGAAAATCATCTTTTTTGAAGGAAAATTGTGATTTTTTAGTTTACTGGTTTGTAATTTGCAGTAAAATGTTTTTTGTTGTAAAAGTTTTGGTTATTTTGTTGCAGAATTTAATTCTGAATCTATTTTTGAAGGAATTTTCATTTTATCACTTTTAGTTTTTGAGTTATTGATGAAAAACTAAGAGAAAACATAAATGTCGGTAAAGTAGTTGTTATCATATTGGAATGTCGGTAAATTAGATGTTCTTATTTGTAAATGTCGGTAATGTAGGTCTCCTAGCATATTCAAAACGTATATAACATAAATTCATTACTTTATTCTCTTTTTCAACTTTTCTCACTTATAACTAACAAAATAATAATTTTTCCTATAAAATTTTCACTTATTTTATTCCAAAATTTAATTCCCAATCAATTTTCATCATAATTTTAATTCTACCACTTTTATTTTCCGAGTTGTTAACAAAAAACATAAATGTCGGTAAAGTAGATATTCTCATATTGGAATGTCGGTAAATTAGATGTTTATATTTTTAAATGTCGGTAATGTAGGTCTCCTAGCATATACAAAATCTATATAACATAAATTCACTACTTTATTCTCTTTTTCAACTTTACTGACTTATAACCTACAAAATAATAATTTTTCCTATAAAATTTTCACTTCTCATGTTCCAAAATTTAATTCCCAATCAATTTTCATCATAATTTTAATTCTATCACTTTTATTTTCCGAGTTATTAATAAAAAACGTAAATGTCGATAAAGTAGATTTCTAATATGTTTACAAACCGCATATATAACCTCAATTCACTTCTATATCCTAGTGCTACATCAATATACTCGAGTATTATTTACAAAAAAGATTTCTATTGCCTGGAAAAACAATCAAAACAGTTCCAGTGACGCAACACGACGCGCGCTAAAATAAACACAATCAACGCGCATCACAGCGCTGATCATTATGATGATGACTAACATTTAATGTTTATTTATGCGTGAGCGTGAATGTGTTGTTGACGTTCGTCGGTTGCATCCTCCCCCACAGCCACTAGATGACGCAATAGCACACATAAATAATTACGTAGTACAAAAAAACTAATATTTACAATCATTTTCCATCATTTTTCTTAATTTACCACCAAACCATTAACAAAATTAATTTTTTTATTAGTCAGTATTATAATATATAACAAAACAAATATTTAAGTAAAAAAATCACGTTTCTAAGTCAATTATTTTAGAAATTATTGCGAAAAAACAATTTAAATCCGGTCCTGTGTTTATAATGACGCGCGTCGTGGTCATTACTCACCATTTATACATAGCACACTCCTTCACATCCTCAAGCGACTGACTTTTGCCTTAACTTAACTTAAGTCACACTGCATACTGAATATGATTAGTCGTGTTTTGTCGTTGGCGGTTTGTGGGTCGTGCACAACTTAAATCCAAGTAAAAAAAAATCATTACTTAAGTACACTTAGAAATTATTTACTATCTTACGACTAATTTAATTACATTGCGCTTGCAATATCACCGGTGATAAATCCATAATCGCATGATAAACAAACAATTTTTTGATTTTCTTATCTTTCGGCGAAGTTACTAGATAAATCACAAAATAAATGACTCTTTACTTAAGTCTATTACTCACTGCGATGTGCGCGTAAACCAAGTGATGTATAAATATGTTAATGTGTTGTCTTCGGTTGCAGAATGCGAGAGTGCGTCGCCGTCCCCGCTGGCGGGCGGGCATAAAGCCTCGTTCAAGAACACCAAGAGCACGAAGCTCGCAAGGCGTGCGAGGTCGTTCAAAGACGAATTCCTCGAGAAGATCTCGGCGATGCGGAGTCCGGGCGGGATTGGCGTACGCAGTGCTTCGCCAAAAGGACGACCAATCAAACATCATGAGCAGGATGTGGATCATGCGCATGCGCAGGCGCAGATTGTCTTGCGGGCGGATAAAGGACCTGCGCATGAGTTCGATGCATTAGCCAAACAGGTAATATAACCTTAATTTGAGGTTTTATTTTATTTTTTTGAGTTTAGTGACTTGTAACTTGCGGAATAATATTTTTTCTGGTTAAATTTTTGGTTATTTTTATGTGGAATTTAATTCTGAATCTTTTTGTGAAAGAATTTTTGTTTTTTCGTGTTTAGTTTTTGAGTTATTGATGAAAAACTAAAAGAAAACATAAATGTCGGTAAAGTAGATGCTTTCATATTGGAATGTCGGTAAATTATATGTTCTTATTTTAAAATGTCGGTAAAGTAGATTTCTAACTTATACAACCTCAATTCACTTCTCTATCCTGGTGATATATGCAACCAAACTAACCTCAAAATTGTTATTTTATTATTTTTCAGATTCAAGTCACTTTGAAGCACTTCCTCGATGTGATTTCCAAGAATAAACTCGAGATGTTACCCGGTAATGGTACAATCGTCCTGGATACAGTCTGGCATATAAATTTATTGGTCAAGTCTTCAATGGGAGATGATTATAGTCCGAGTGTACGCTCAGCAACGCACCGAATGTATCAAAGTGTAGCGCGTTTGATAAAACTCTGCGACGATGCCCTCTTGGACACATCATGTTTAGAAGAGAAAACCGTCGCTGAAGTTGTCCAGGTCGTAGAGGACTCTGTAAAAGATTTAATACGTTTGTGTCAGGAGCGTATCGCGCATACGCATGCGCATGTCACGCACAATGCGCATAAATCCACCGCGCGTAATAGTTACGCCAATATCAGCACCGATATGAATTCACAGCGGAATTCTTTACCGGACATTCCGTTAACACCGCGCGAACGCGAGATATTGGAACAAACGTCGCGGAATCCCGGCATGGTTCGTGGTAGTCATAGTTCTGAATCTATTTTGCGTGATTCTACGCCTCCGCCGAAGCCGCCATTGCCGGGTGCAGGTACACCTCCGCCGCCATTACCGCCGAAGACACGGCAGCGGATTGGGCAACACGCGCGCCATCTTGAGTTTGATACTTTTAACTCTAGTTTAGAGCGGGTTTCGTTGCATTCGCGGTCTCCGGAGGATTCTAGTTCGTTGTTGTCTGCCAGTGGAGGCAGTATGGACTCGGTGCTCAATCAAAGCCGGGAAGAGGAGGAAATATCAGCTTTAATGGACCAAAACGTAGATGATAGTGATACGGCTTTAGAGAATGATTTACACGATATTGAAGGTAATTTTCCTACAAATTTCTTAATTTATTCATAAACTATTAACAATTCAACAGTTTTTATTCGTTATTATTATAGTACACATCAAAATGAATGTTTTAGTAAAAAAAGCATGTTTCTATCTTGGTTAATTTCGAAGTTATAGCGAAAAAACTAAAAATAACCTCAAATTTAACCATTTTTATTCTTATATTTTCAATATTTCAGATGGTAATTGCTATGGATCAAACGGTAACTGCAACTGGGATGACACAAGCGATAATTGTTACATCACACTAACAAACCAGCGGAATGATCATCACGTCAATCATTTCCAGTATAATCGCTTGTCAAATACAGATTCGGGTATTGTTTCCATAGATTCACAATCCCAGCGGAATTCTAGTTGTTCCAAGCGTAGTTCTCAACAGAGCACGCATTGGTCACACAGCACCACGACGAAATCCTCATCAATAACTTCCTCATCGCTAGAAATGACAAAATCCGAGAGTGTAGTTCAAAATTTAAGTCAGGTAGTTGAAACTACATCATCTACAACAAGCAGTAGTATTTCTACAATGAGTAAGAACAGTCTCATGTTGCAATTGGATGAAGTTGATGGTGGATTGCTACCTTATGATGAAAACACCCCGCCAGCGATACCCATGAAGACACGCCGGAATAAAGAGAGGTTACCTTCACCCTATGATAACGTACCAGAAGTTTCAGGTTAGTTTTATGTTCTTTTTTAGGTTAAGTTATGCTTATGTATGTAAATTTATGTTTTTAGACGGTGAAAAGATTGTAACATGTCTAATGCATCAGTCCCAGCAATCCCTATCGACAAGCGCGAGTATTTCCAGCAGTATCTGCGTGGACAACGGCAAACCGCCGCCGTTACCACCCAAAAAGAAACATAGTAAGTGTTTAAGGTTATGTTTGGTGTTGGTGTGTGGGTGTGGGTGTCGGAAATAACATGACTGTTTGTATTTGTGTTCCATAGTGTTCCAATCGGTGGCTTACTCCGGTAAGTGGGCCGCAAGACACACGTATTTTATTTGCGCCATTTTGATTTCCATTGCTTACAATACGCTTATATTCCGCCATTTTGTGTAGGTGAAATATTTTAAGAATGGGAGGTAATTTATGATGTGTGTGTGTGTACGTTGCAGTCATGGCTTACATGGAGATGTTCGGTAATTGTTCGCACAACAACGATCAAGAGTTCATGCGGCATTCTATGCATGTAGCGTGGCCGCCGTCACCAACGCCACCTGGTTTACCCACGACGCAATCGTGCTCGTTTGCGCATACGACCAGTCGCACTGCGCACTCGCAGATGCATTCGCTTATCGTTGCGCATCCATCAGGAGATTCTAGGTTAGTTAACCTTACTTTTAAATTATTTTTAGTAATTTTTAATTATTTAGTCCGATATCTTCACCAATGAAATCTCCTAACCTCCCACCAACACCGCAAAGTGCTGGTATAACTGGTTTGCCACCAGCGCTACCGCCGAGGAAATCACGCAATAGTTACAAATCGCCGCCATCGACACCACAAAGCACTATAAGTAGTGTACCGGAAATAAAAACACCAGTTGAGCCATTGCCGGATCTTCTGGAGAACACACCAAAGTCGGAAGATGAACAAAAAGATGAGGAAACAGAGTTGGACTTGATGGAAGAGACGGATATAGCTAAATATCTCATCAGGAAGAAACCGGAAGATGATGGTTATGATATACGTGGCGGGACGATAGATGCGTTGATTATCGAAGCTACCAAAGGCAGTAAATCAGGTAAAGTACCTATATTTATTTAGTTATTGATAATATCATGTTTAATTTCAACTTTAAACGATTATTTTATTGCTTTCTGGTTGATAGAAGATAAGGAAACAGGTAAACATCGTTAAAATCACTTAAAACGATTAAATATAGTGTTTTTTATGAGGATAGTATTGATTATAGGTTATGTTTGCAGGTTATTCATATCAAGAAGCATTTTTAACTACTTATCGCACATTTGTCACGCCGTTCGACTTGATTGGTAAGCTGATACGACGCTACAATTACTTCTATTGTCAGCCGGATAAAAAACCGCGATCGCGTGAATCCTTCGCGCTGTTAGTACGCGTCGTCAACGACTTAACGTAAGTAAACATATTTTAGGTTAATTTGTGTTATTAACTTAATTTTTACACGTTTTAACTCATTTTGTTTGTTTTTTATTAGTGCGAATGATTTAGACTCCACTTTGCAACAAAAACTGATGGATTTCGTGCAGTTGTTGATCACAGGCGGGGAATTAACCCTAGCGAAAGCATTGCGTGTGAAACTCATCGAGAAACACTTGGCCAAAGAACTGTCACAACGTAAAGATCATCATAATACACTGCATACGGTCGGTTTGCTTGGTCCGGGGTCTTGTACCATATTAGATTTTAAGTCGGAGCAAATAGCGGAACAAATGACGTTGTTAGATGCTGAGTTGTTTCAAAAAATCGAAATCCCTGAGGTTTTGATTTGGGCACAAGAGCAGAATGAGGAACGCAGTAAGAATTTGACGCGTTTCACGGAGCATTTCAATAAGATGTCTTATTGGGCACGCACGCGCATTCTGGAGTGCGATGGTAAAGACCGCGAGAAGTACTTTATGAAATTCATTAAGATCATGAAGCATCTGCGGAAGATTAATAACTTTAATTCATATCTGGCATTGTTGAGTGCGTTGGATTCTGCGCCTGTGAGGCGATTAGAATGGCAGAAACACGTGCAGGAGGGTTTGAAAGAATATTGTGCGTTGATTGACAGCTCGTCGAGTTTCCGGGCGTATCGACAAGCGTTAGCGAATGCATCACCGCCATGTATACCGTACATGTATGTATTACATAACCTTAAATTTTTTGAAATTGATTTTGTGGTTTTAGTGGGTTAGTCCTGCAGGATTTGACTTTTGTGCATATTGGAAACAGTAATCTGCTGCCGAATAACTATATTAACTTTTCAAAGCGATGCCAACAGCATAATATCGTAGAAAATATGAAAGATTTCAAAAAATGGTAATTATATAACAAAATCACCTTAAAATTTAGTATTAATTTGGTGTTTTTTTGTGTTTAAAGTTTATCAAACAGTAGTACAACGTACACATTCAAGAAAAACGATCGAATCATCGCGTTCTTCGGTGATTTCGAGCAGTACATCAGCGAGGACGCGATGTGGCAGATGTCGGAGAACATCAAGCCACGCGGCGGTAAAAAGACGGCGACTTAGTTGCATCCGCACGCCTAAAACGCTTCAGATTTATCGTTTATTTCCATCCGTTGCTTTTATTTGCGTAAATTAGGTGCAATATTACCCCCCAAACAAAAAAAAAAACACAAACACGTGAAACATAACCTACAACATTATGAAATGTCAGAAATAATCACGTAACCTAACTTTTCATTTACAAACAAACTAACAAACATTACAAAGAGAGTGATTTAAAGATTGATGAATGTTTCGAACCAAATGCAACGACTTAAAATATCAAAAACAAAACAAACAAATTGGCAAAGCAAACGAAACTAAATGTAAATGAATTTACACGTGCGATATTTTTGGGCATGAGCGTACATTTTCTATTACACGATTTTATTTTTTGCTAAAATCTAAATGGAAACTATTTAAAACGACGACTGATTACTTCTATTTGTACATATTATAACCAAAAAAAGAGACAACACATACAAAACATAAACAAAACATAAAAACAAAAGAGTGTATTCATCACACACACTCTTCTGTTTTACTTGTCATTGAAACATAATTTAATCTGTAATCATTAGTTTGATTCCGCATACGATACATATTTATGTGTGTGCGCGTGCGTGTGTGTGTGTGATAAGCGATGTCGCGTGTTAGTCAAAGTAATAAACTAATTCTAGATGAATAAGGGAAACCAGAAACATTGTGCGAATTGTGCAACATTTGGTTTGGTGTGTGTCATTTTTATCAAAGCTTATTAGCGCGGCGGGGCGCGGCGGCCATTTTGTGTATTTCCGTGCGCATTTTTATTTATACTGGTTTTATCGTCGATTGTGTTTCGGATTAATGCGGATTCTATACAAGTTGTTCGCACTGTGATAATATTTTTTATACTAAACTATATATATTTTGTAAATTCTGTTCATCCGAACGCTTCTTACGTCATTTTGTTTCCACGCCATGGTTTTTACGTCGCACATGAAACAAAATATGATTAGAAGGCCTAATTAAAGATTAAGTAAGCTATGTACACGTAGGACAATGATTATAAGATGATGAAAAAAAGTATTCTAGGCAATTAGTCAAACTATATATATTACTAAGTGAATTTTGTTTTTAATTGTGAATACGATGAATACTCAATGAGATGTAAATGTTTCACTTTGTTCGATTTATCGATGATTTTTTAAATGTTGCACACAATATTTTCTTGTGTGTGTGTGTGTTGTGCGTGTGAAAGTTATATTATCGATTGTTTGGGTTCAATTTATGCGCGCGAATTTGTAACTTTACATCGCACCACGCACCGGTTGAGAGTGTGATTAGTTCATTTGTCGCTTAAAACCTCAACCAATAAAAAAATCTAATTGAAATATGATTAGGAGTCTAATGCTCGCTCACCTTAAATTGCGGCTTATCAGTTTTCGCTTGCATTGAGCCAATCAATCCGGCGCAGTATAAACTAGCGCTTTTGGTGACAGTCGGCAATCGGTTACAATGCGACTCGTATCGCGCACTAGTCTGTACCTCCTCTTGACAGGCTTCCTTTTAGTGATAATAACCCTAGTTAATATTCAATGGCGGACTATTAGTGAATTTCAACACTTTGCAAATGTTTTAAACGACACATTCAATGATATCGCTGTGTTTGACGGTGAAAACAGTTCAAGTTTACTGGTGGATAGCGCCGGTGACATAACCTCTATACATAACCTAACTGGTGATGAATTGTTAAAGGTTAAACACGCTGTGAATTGTGAAGGAAGACGCGCGGAGTTTAATGTTGGTCAGCGGGGTGAATATGTAGTGTTTTATAATTTTGTCAAAGCGACAAAGAGTTTCGGATGTCATGAAAGTGTGACATTTACAGCGCCTGCGGATTATACTTTCTTAGATAATTTACCAACGTTAGTAGAAAGATGGAAAGGACCTGTTAGTGTTGCCCTATATGCGCCTGGTGATGATTTCGAAGTCACTTTAAAAAGCATCGCGTATATCCGCCATTGTTTGCCGAATTCATTCGATGATATCAGAGACTTGGTTACGTTTCATGTGTTTTTTCATCAGCAGCATGTGCCGAAACAGGTAAAACCACATTGAATGTTATTTATATGGTGGATTTAATTGTGGTTTGATTTAGAAAAACAATCGTCCATTAATCGACGCCTACACAGATACGTACACATGTGATGGTCCTGCACCGTACAAAAATGTCCACCCGAAGGACACCTACCGTCGCAAACATGATCTTTTATTCCCGATTAATGTTGCGCGAAATACAGCGCGCCAAAGTGCACAGACGCATTATGTTTTTGCTGCTGATATAGAACTTTATCCTAGTGTGAATTTCATACCAAAATTTATGAAAATGTTAAGCGTACATCCAGAGCATGTGCGAGGAACTCGCCCAAGGATTTATGTCCTGCCTATTTTTGAGATTGGGGATACTAAGCATGTGCCTGAGAATAAAACTGAGTTGCAGGCGAAGCTGAAAACAGGAAAAGCGCAATTGTTTCATAAAAGAATATGCGCTTCTTGTCATGCAATACCTAACCTCACTCAATGGGAGAAACAAATGGAAACTGAAGATTTGGATGTGTTTACTATTGGTAAACGGGTTGGTAAACATCGTGTCTGGGAGGCATTTTATGTAGGCACCAAAGAAGATCCACTTTTTGATGAAAGATACAGCTGGGAAGGCCAGGGAAACAAAATGTCACAAGTTAGTACCAAAATTTATTCAAATTTATTTTATTATCTTTTATTATTTGGTTTCAATAGGGTTTTGCAATGTGCTTATTGGATTATGATTACATGATTCTCAATAATGCTTTCATAATCCATAAACCCGGGATTAAGCATTCCAAAGAGCAGGTGAAATCATTCGCCAAGGAAGTGCGAAAATCGGACGCCATGTTGAAGCAGGTGACGAAACCGATGCTGATAAGTATTTACGGTGACAGAAAAGGTTGTTTTCTGTAAATTTAATTATTCAAATAATTTATGACTTGTGTTAATAAAAAAAGAAAGGTGAAACGAGGCAGCGCAAGGATTCATTGATAAGTATTGACATTGGCGCAAAAATTCCTATAAATTTTCATGGTAATACATGTAATTGCATGGAACTGCGTTTATATTAAATGTTGATAGGCGTGTAGTAGTTTGTTATCAGTTGTAGACATGTTCCGCAATCGGTTCGTTACTTTTTATCGTTTTACTGGGTTTTATTGGTATATTGTGTTTATTACGTCAAGCGAAAACCCATGTATGACAGATGAGGAGTGGTGGTGGGGGGATGCAGAACCTAAACTGACAACCTGGGATAAGAGAAGAACTTGGAAAAGTTGTATATTTGCGGTCTACCCGCAAAAGTGGGTGGGGATATCCTCTTGGTGTATACTTGGTTGCCTATCATGCGTATCCTCAAAACACATATTGCAGAAAACCAACAAATATAAAACTTTTGTTAAATCTACGTTATCTATCTAAATGGCGAGATTAACTGATATGAAGTTTTATTTAATTAATTCAGAGCACAAATTAGATTCGAGGGGAAACAAGTTGTTTTACGTACAGTTCTTTTATCAATTCCCAAAACTGTAACTTTTCCATGCTTTGCAAACAAATTGAGACATTGATTAGATAGCTTTCAATTAAATCTCGATATAACATTAATCGGAAATTCAATAATTTACTGAGATTTTACTTCACTGTATGATAATACTTTGCAATTGATTACCATGCAGTTGGAATCACGCACAACTCTATACCTGCTCTTGTTTGGCTTAGTATTCCTAGTGATAACACTGGTAAACATCCAATCGGACATCATCAGTCAGTTCAAACAATACCTGCAAGTACCAAACACCATAAACAATCAAAATCGTGGCCTAAACTGTGAACACAATCAACAAAAATTTCATGTTGGGCAACATGGTGAATACATCGTGCTTTATAATTATGTAAAAGCATCAAAGAGTTTTGGTACCCATGAAAGTGTCACCTTTACCGCGCCAGCTGATTACACCTTCCTGGATAATTTACCTACGTTGATGCAAAGATGGCAAGGACCGGTTAGTATCGCATTATATGCGCCAGGTGATGATTTCGAAGTTACATTAAAAAGTATCGCGTATCTACGACATTGTGCACCGAATTCAATCGATAATATTCGGGACCTGGTTACATTTCATGTGTTTTTCCATCAGCAACATGTTCCTTATCAGGTAATTCACCAAATGGATTTGTTTACGTGTAGCAATTAACTCTGCTGAGTGTTTTAGATGAATAATCGTTCATTTATTGATGCGTATATAGATACGTACACTTGTGATGGTCCCGCACCGTATCAAAATGTCCACCCGGAAGACACCTATCGCCGGAAACATGAACTTTTATTCCCGATTAATGTTGCACGAAATGTCGCTCGACAAAGTGCACAAACGCATTATGTTTTTGCTGCTGATATAGAACTTTATCCCAGTGTAAATTTTATACCAAAATTTATGAATATGTTAAGCGTGGATCCAGAAAAACAAGAAAAAACACGTCCTTATGTTTATGTTCTACCTATATTTGAAATAGGTGAAACTGTAAAGGTCCCAGAAAACAAAACTGAACTGCAGGGACTTTTAAAGAAAGGCGATGCGCAATTATTTCATGAAAACTTGTGTTCATCGTGTCACGCCATTCCTCATCTCTCAAAATGGGAATTAGAAATGGAAACTGATGATTTGAATGTGTTTATTGTCGCCAAACGAGTGGGACAACAAAATACCTGGGAGCCATTTTATGTGGGCACTAAAGATGATCCACTCTTTGATGAATGGTACACTTGGGAAGGTGAAGGAGACAAAATGTCACAAGTTAGTACCAAAATTTATTTAAATTTATTTTATTATCTTTTATTATTTGGTTTTAATAGGGTTTTGCAATGTGCTTGTTGGATTATGATTACTTGGTTCTTAATAATGCGTTTATAGTTCATAAACCTGGAATTAAAACTCACGTGGAGCAAAAAGAATCGTTTAATAATGAAGTGGAAAAAACAAATGCGTGGAAAGAAAAAATAACAAAACCGACCTTAATAAGTATTTACGGAGACAGAGAAGGGTGTTACCTCTAAAAAATATTAGATTTTGTTAATCTACTAATAAATTATGAACATATTGCATCATTTGTTATAATTTTACAACAGATAACTTCAATTGCAATACAAGTATAGGTTCAGCCTTCAGCGATGTAAATACGATTCTGGCTATTTACACAAACATGAGCGCCCCCTACTGCGATTTCAACACACTATCCAGTAAATAAAAAGTAAAGTAAATAAAATTTACCGCTGGTTAACGCGTAAAATGCAATAATTTCCCTGTTGAACAGTGAAAATCATTGATAATGGAGACGGATCTACATCGTGCTCTTCAAGAGAAGTTTCATTATGTCTATAGTTCGTCGCTCAAGCAGAAAATACAAATTAAAATGTAAGCATTTAACCTCTCAATACAATTACATACAATTCTATACAATAACTTCTATTTATTTTTTCTTCAGAGGAACACTCGAAGGTAAACAGAACAAGCCCGAGTATGATAAACTCCTAGAAGATCCTATGCTTAAATATTCCGGGATATATCAAGATAAATGCGCTGATTTAATGGTAATATGTCAAGTTTACGACCAGAATGAGCCATTGGCATTACCTATTAGTACATCGTACAAAAGTTTCACAAACAGATGGAAGTAAGTATTAAAATTTATAAATTCAGTTTATTTATGTGTATTTATTATTTATTTTTTATTATCTTTAATAGTTGGAATGAATGGATGACCTTGCCAATTGAATACAAAGACTTACCAAGATCTGCACTACTTGCAATGACTATCTACGATTGTGGAGGATTAAACAAGATGACACCAATTGGCGGCACAACAATTTCACTGTTTAGTAAATACGGCGTGTTTCGTCAAGGGATGTTGGATCTGCGTGTGTGGCCGAATCGCGTGGCAGATGGAACTGTTCCAACTACAACTCCAGGGAAAACAAAGGATAATGGAAAGGAACAGATGCAAAGGTTGGCGAAGTTGGCAAAAAAACATCGGAATGGTATTATGACCAAAGTAAGATCAATATTTAATGTATTTTTATGCAGATATTAATATTTATTTCATGTTTAAAGGTTGATTGGTTAGATAGACTGGCATTCAGGGAGTTAGAAAAGATCCACGACAACGAAAAACGTTCCTCTGATTATATGTACTTAATGATTGAGTTCCCAACGCTTGTTATCGATAAAACAATACATTATATTGTTTATTTCGAGCAGGATGGCGAAGAAGTTTATCAATTCCGCGTACAACCTGATATTGTAACAGTTCCGGATCATGAAATTTTAAAAGTAAGCAAATTATCTTCTTTAAAACACTTGTTTTAACATTTTCTTAAAAATTGCTTATTTTAGGATAATCTCGTTGAGAATAAACATCATAAACTAGCGCGTTCCGTCCGCAGTGGCATATCCGACAAAGACGCGAAACCAAACGCACAAATCCGCGACATCTTGAACACAATAGTATCCTATCCACCAACAAAACAACTCTCAAATGAAGAACAAGATCACGTCTGGAAGTTCCGTTTCTATCTGAGTAATCAAAAGAAAGCGCTGACAAAATTCCTCAAATGTGTCAACTGGGATCAACCGAGTGAAGTACGCCAAGCACTATCCATGCTTGAAAACTGGGCACCGATGGATGTTGAAGACGCATTGGAACTTCTAAGTCCTAATTTTACACATCCGGAAGTGCGTCAATATGCAATCGGAAGATTACAACAAGCTCCCGATGAGGATCTCATGTTGTATCTGTTACAACTCGTCCAAGCATTGAAATACGAAGATTTCACCACGATTAAAGAAGCGTATGTCAAGGTATCTCCTAATAAATTAATACCCCAGGTGAATATTGAAAAGGAATTGTGTGAACAAGGCGAATTGAGTCGTTCGATGAGTTACCAACAGAGTTCCATAATGATTAAAGATGAGAGTATGATCACAAGTGGAGTATCTGTAGAAGCTGAAGCAATGCAGAGGGCGATAACTATGCCAGAGAATCTCTTGAATGTGAATACAGATAGTGCGAATACTGATACATTGCAAAGTGAGTTGAAAGAAGAGGAAGCGCAGGATTTGGCGTCGTTTTTAATCAAACGCGCTTGTAGAAATTCAGACCTCACGAATTACTTCTACTGGTATTTGTTGATTGAATGTGAAGGTGAGGAACACACCATGAAGCAGGATGTGGTTATACGTGACATGTACGATACAGTATTGAAGACATTCCTGAAGACGTTGAGTAAAGGCCCGCCGGAGATGCAGAAACGACATGATTTTCTCGATCGCCAGCAGAAATTCGTCAATAAACTGGTGCAAATCATCAAATCAGTATCGTGTGAGACCGGCACACGTAAGAAAAAAAGTGATAAACTTCAACAACTTCTTAAAGAAAACGATCTGAAGTTTAATTTCACAAAATTCGAGGCGATTCCATTCCCGTTGGATTCCAACGTTCAGATTAAGGCTGTCATACCAGAAAAGGCGAGTTTATTCAAATCTTCATTAATGCCTTCGAAGTTACACTTTGTCACCAGTCAGGATACGGAATACGTGGCCATTTTTAAAAATGGCGATGATTTGCGTCAGGATCAACTCATTCTGCAGATGATCACGTTGATGGATAAATTATTACGACGAGAGAAACTGGATTTGAAATTAACTCCGTATAGAGTGCTTGCAATGAGTACCAAACATGGTTTAGTACAGTTTATTGATTCGATACCAGTTGCTGAGGTTTTAACTAATGAGGGAACAATCCAGAACTTCTTCCGGAAGAATCATCCATCCGAAACAGGCCCCTATGGTATTTCTCCTGAAATAATGGATACCTATGTGCGTTCATGCGCTGGGTATTGTATCATAACCTATTTGTTAGGCGTGGGTGACCGCCATCTTGATAATTTACTCCTAACCACAAACGGTAAACTGTTTCACATTGATTTCGGTTATATTCTCGGACGTGATCCGAAACCTTATCCACCTCCGATGAAACTCAGCAAGGAAATGGTCGAGGGTATGGGCGGGATGAACTCTGATCATTATCAAGAGTTCCGAAAACAATGCTACACAGCATTTCTTGCATTAAGACGCCATGCGAATTTAATCGTGAATTTATTTTCATTGATGGTGGATGCAAGCGTGCCTGACATCGCTTTGGAACCTGATAAAGCTGTGCAGAAGGTACAGGATAAACTAATGTTGGATTTGAATGATGAGGCGGCCGTTAGACAACTACAGAAGTTGATCGATGATTCCGTCACAGCCTATTTCGCGCATTTTGTTGAACATGTGCATAAATTCGTGCAATACTGGAGGAAATAAGGTACGAATCAATTCTTTTTTGATATTTATAAACAAACTAAGTTTATATTTATATTGTATGTGATATATTAATTAACATAGAAAATTATGTGTAACTTAACCGTAAATTGTGTTTTGTTGAGTTTGTGTTTATGGAGATGGGGTATTTATGAATTCTTTTGTGGCGTGGCCATGACAACACTCTTTACTTCACTGTACTGCCTGAGACCATACTCGCCGAGTTCACGACCATGTCCGGAGTCCTTGTACCCGCCGAAGGGTACACTCGGGCTGAAGACATTGTAGCAGTTCACCCAAACTGTACCAGCGCGTAATCCTTGTACCAGATAATTAACCTTATCGATATCTTTGGAGAAAACAGCAGCGGCAAGACCATAATTGGAATCGTTGGCACGATCGATAATCTCATCAAGGTTTTTGAACTTGATGAGTTGTTGAACAGGCCCAAAGATCTGTTTTTAAATGTAAATTTATTATTTTTATTATGTTATATTGGTTATTTACAATACTAACCTCTTCACGGGCGATTCTATGATCATCTTTAACATTGTAGAACACTGTCGGTTGCACGAAATATCCTTGGTCCCCGAATCGTTGTCCACCCACTCCCAATGAAGCGCCATCGTTAACACCCGATTGAATCATCTCCAGAATCTTCTTCATTTGTGACTCATCAACTTGTGGTCCTTGTTCCGTGGTTAAATCGAAGGGGTTTCCTACAACGCGTTTCTTTGCGCGTTCAACGGACCTCTCAACAAATTCATCGTAGATTTTCTCTTCGACGTAAGTCCTGGAACCTGCACAGCATACCTGCCCTTGATTGAAGAACAAACCCTGATGGGCCTGCTCAACAGCCGAAGGGATATCCACATCCGAAAGAATAATATTGGGAGACTTCCCGCCCAATTCCAAAGTGGTACGTTTGAGTTTATCAACACCGGAAAGCTGTTGAATCTTAAGACCCACTTCAGTAGATCCAGTAAACGCGAGTTTATCAACCAATGGATGTCTGACAATGGCTTCACCAGCCTCGGCGAATCCAGGGACGATGTTTAGCACACCCGCAGGGAAACCTGCTTCTTTTGCAAGTTGAGCCAAGTAGAGAGCGGTAAGAGGTGTTTGCTCAGCGGGTTTCAACACAACAGTGTTACCCATTGCCAAAGCGGGTGCCACTTTCCATGTGAACATCATCAGAGGGAAATTCCAAGGGATAATCTGCCCGCAAACACCTACGGGTTCATGGCGGGTGTAGGCAATGTAGTTACCATCAATGGGGATGGTTTTTCCGTGGTGTTTATCTGCCCAACCGGCGTAATAACGCATAAAGTTAGCGCTTCCAAGGACATCCACCATGTAAGCCATGGAATAAGGTTTTCCATTGTCCAAAGTCTCTAAACTCTAGGAAAAAAATGAAAAAATGGTAAAACAGATGTAGATTCTCATATAATCTAGTCTATAAACATTTTTTATGTTTAATCATTCAACTCGGCGGCTGTGGCTTATCAAATGTATAAATAAATAACAAATTGCCACTTGTATTACTTGTATTACTTGTATCATGTCATAACGCGTGATATATGATGACTTGTATATTATCGCGTGCCGCTTGCGTTTTTATCTATTGAAGTTATCCAACATGTCAAATAATCAAAACAAACGTTTGTTCACGTTTAGATATCATGCCGGTGTAGAAAAAGTCACTCACCGCGATGTAAGCAGCATCACGTTCAATGAGATCCGCCAATTTGAAAAGAAGACGGCCTCGTTGCGTGGCGTCGGTGGTACGCCATGGGGACCCTAACTTGAATGCCTGCGCGGCGGCGGCGACTGCCGCTTCCACATCGGCCTTACCGCCCTTTTCCACGCGAGTGATCGCTTTGCCTGTTGCTGGATTGATCGTCTCGAAAGTGTCGCCGCTTTTTGACTTGTGCCATTCGTTATTGATGAAAACCTGTTATCGTAGAATTGAGTTAACAACATGGTTGTTGAGGTAGTTATTTTTAGACTTTAATTGATTCGAAATTATAAATACTTACGCCAGTGTAGAGAATCTCTGGGTTTGGTTTGGGTTGAGGTAACGCCGGTGCGGAATAACAGCGTTTGCCCACAGTGCTGATTTTTCTAATCGCACGCAACATTTTCACTTTTGATTAGTTTTTTTATTCTTAACGGCAAGTAGAGTTGTTATTGGACAGATGTTGGCTCGTCAGCGACTTGGAGCGATATGAATTTTAATTGCGTGTACGAGTGGAGTCGATGTGCGTTGAACGACGAGTAAACTGAGAAAACGAAGCACGTTTTGGCACTGACACAACCAACTGACGCGTTTCGGCGCACTTCAAGGAGAACGCGAGTGAGGATTAAAAATATTCCACCGGCAACTCGTAGTTCTGCAAGAAATACTTATTACGTATGTATTCTGTACGTTTAGTGTCTTCTTGTTTGTATTCACATGTAAACAAACACCGGTAAAGTTCAATATTCTACTCACATGTGTGTGAGATTATCCAATAAGGCAAGGATAGGGATATAGATTTAGTATGTGTAAGAATAAGATGCGATTATCTGAGATTATGATGTTTAATGCCGCGGATTAGTGTCGCGATATTGCAGGCGCTTTGAAGGTCATGTAGTTTTTGCGCTGCGTCCGTAGTTTTGCTTTTGCAGTATACATTTCATGCATTGTGTTGCGCTATTGAATACATAGGAATTTTAACAGTGTTTTTATGCATTGTGTTATGATTACCTTGCAAATTGTGTGTTGTGTTTAAAATTTTGTGCTATTTTTAGCGTATTTCACTTCATTTTGATAAATAAATGGTAAAATATGTTTAAATTTGCAGGTGATTATTAGTAAATGATATTGTATTATGTATTGCTTGTGTTTTATGTTTTTATTGTACTGTGTTATGCTTTTTTTTAAATAAAATTCATTATCACTAATTGAAATATCTTTTTGGACCCTAATTTTCTCGTTTTCAGGTACAAACAAGCGCGTGGTATTGAAAATACCTTCAGAATTTATATTAGTTTATCAAAATTATGTAATATGATTTAAAACATGACAATTAAAATATGATAATACATAGAAAAACGCCGGTAAGCAGTTTTTCTTTATCTTTAGTAAATCTGCTGAAAAATGGAAAATACTGGGCCGGTAAACCTAACTGTTTCTTATAAAACATATAAAAAATAAAAATTAATAATTTTTAAATCATTAGTTAATAGAAAACCTAATTTGGAATCGATTATCCTAGTAAAATTTTGTTGTAGGATTAACAGTTTAGATTAGAATTAAAATTTTCATTAAATTGCAAATAGGCCCTAAACGATTAATTATAGGAAAATAATTACTTCAATACTCGATATAGAATTAATTTATCTATCAGAATCCGAAAACAGAATTTCAAAATTCCCATTATTTCAAAAGTGGCATTTGCTGAAAAAAGATTTCATCATAAAAAAGGCAAAACATTTCTCTTTTTTATGTCGAATGCATTTTTCAACAAAATTACAAATAGGGCCAAAACGGTTAATGTTAGCAAAAAAAGTTACTTAAATAATCGATGTAGAATTAAAATATTTATCAGAATCCAAAATCAGAATTGAAAAATTCCAACTTTTAATTTTCAACATAAAAAAGAGAAATCTTTTGCCTTTTTTATAACAAAATCTTTTTCTTAAAAATTTTTTGTGCCATTTTTAACATTTTTCAATAATGATGCCATCTAGTTGAGAATTGTTCAAGGATCAAGATTATCTAGTTCTTCTTTTTCTAGACCTTCTAGTTGTCGAGATAATTAGATAATAAAATTTCTTTTTTTTATATTGAAAATTAAATGCTGGAAATTTTAAATTCTGTTTTCAGATTCTGATAAATAATTTAATTCTACATCGATTATTTAAGTAACTTTTTTTGATAAGGTTAACCGTTTAGGCCCTATTTGCAATTTTAATAAAACCCGTGTATTTTGTCTTAATTTAAAAATTAAATGGTAATTATCCCGGCAACTAGAAGAGCCAGAAATAAAAGAACTACATATTCTTAATCCTTGAACAATTCTCAACAAGATGGCATCATTATTGAAAAATGTTAAAAATGGCACAAAAAATTTTTAAGAAAAAGATTTTGTTATAAAAAAGGCAAAAGATTTCTCTTTTTTATGTCGGAAATTAAAAGTTGGAATTTTTAAATTCTGTTTTCGGTTTCTGAAAGTACATTAAATTTTACGTCGATTATTTAAGTAAATTTTTTTCATAACAGTAACCGTTTAGGCCCTAATTGCAATGTGAATTAAAATATTGGTGTCGTCGTGATGACGTCATTAAATATTTTGTTTTCCATTTTTGCAGGCCAATAGGGCCTTAATATGAAATTGTGTTAATAGATTCCGATTCAGAATTTAATCTACTTTCAGAATACGAAAACATAATTCCAAAATTCCTATTATTTCAAAAGTGACATTTGCTGAAAAAAGATTTCGTCATAAAAAAGGCAAAAGATTTCTCTTTTTTATGACGACATTAAAAGTTGGAATTTTCAAATTCTGATTTCGGATTATGATAAATCTTTTAATTTTACATCGAATATTTAAGTAAATTTTTTTGATATCATTGACCGTTGAAGCCCTATTTGCAATTTTAATGAAAAGTTGAACTTCGCATCAAAACATATGTAGGTTCTGACAATTGCAATTATTTTAATTAAAAACGAGAATAGGGCCTAAACGATTGATATTAGACAACATTTTTACTTAAATAATCCATGTAGAATTACATATTCTATCAGAATCCGAAAACAGAATTTCAAAATTCCAACTTTAAATTTTCAACATAAAAACGAGAAATCTTTTGCCTTTTTTATAACAAAATCTTTTCCTTAAAAATTTTTTGTGCCATTTTTAACATTTTTCAAAAATGATGCCATCTTGTTCAGAATTTTTCAAGGATCAAGAATATGTAGTTCATTTTTTTCTAGCCCTCTTAGTTGTCGAGATAATTACTATTTTAATTTTTAAATTAGACTATTCCGACGGCATGCACATGTTTTATTAAAATTACAAATAGGGCCTAAACGGTTATCGTTAGCAAAAAAAGTTACTTAAATAATCGATGTAGAATTAAATTATTTATCAGAATCCGAAAACAGAATTTAAAAATTCCAACTTTTAATTTTCGACATAAAAAAGAGAAATGTTTTGCCTTTTTTATGATGAAATCTTTTATTTCAGCAAATGCCACTTTTGAAATAATAGGAATTTTGAAATTCTGTTTTCGTATTCTGATTGATAATTTAATTCTGTATCGATAATCGAAACAATTATTTTCTTAACATTAACCGTTTAGGCCCTATTTGCATTTTTAATGAAAATTTAAAATAGGGCCCAAACGGTTAAAGTTAGGAGAAAATATACTTAAACATTAGATAAAGAATTCATCAGGTATTGATAATCTGAAATCCGTTTTGTTCTAGCCCTTTTAGTTTCCGAGAAAATTGCAATTAAAAATTTTAATACATTTCGACACAAAATAATTTTAAGAAAAAGTGCGACCCTGTTGTTCGAGCAAAAATATTTTATGAAAATAGTGCGGCCCTGTTCTTCGGCCGAAAAATATTTTGAACAATTAGGTTAGAAACTCATTCGACTGAAATAATTTTAAGGAGAAGTTAACACTACATCGGAGAAAGTAGAAGTTAACACAAGTTTAGTTCTTTATTTCGACCAGAAAATCACCAATATTTCGTAGTGTACTCATTTTTGAAGGGCATTTTAGGGCACTTCCTCTCGATTTAAAGCGTGGAAAATGGTTGCATGTTGTAAAGGGTCTCTTAAATTACAGAATGACGATGAGAAATCTTTAGTTGTACCTTTGTTTCAGGAAATATAGGAACTTTTCCATTAGATAACAGCAGATTATAGAAGAATGGCAGATCTTGAAGGGCATTTTAGGGCACTTCCCAGAGGTTTAGGCGATTGAAAAGATGTGCACGTTGTAAAGAATGTCTTATTCTACAACGAAAAGATGGAAAAACGAAAACTTTTCACTTGGTAGAGAAGATACAGCATGTTTTCCACCAAAATCATGGAAAATTGAAGTAAACAACAATTTTGTAGAAGTTCCTAAGGGTTTATAGAGTGGAAAGGTAATATATGAAGTGTTATAAACTAAAAAAAGATCATTTTGAAAAGAAAACGTATATTGCTTTATTATTCCAGAAGATTACAATATATAAAACAAAAGTATATCAAATATTTAAGTATCAGGAAGGTTTCAGGAGAATTCATAAACAATAAAAACGCTCAAAGTAATTTTTATGATTGTTTTATATTTAAATCGAACATTAACACCAAAGGTGCGCATCCTAGCCCTGCTTCTGCGCCAACTCCTTGGCCTTCGCACGCTCCAGCTTGGCAACACGCGCCGCCGACTTCGAGCCGAGCATACCACCGCCCCAGTGACGCCTCAACTCATCACCACGGTCATTGAAGTTCGTCTTGACGACCTCCACAAGCTTGTTGAAGTTGGCGCGGTCGCCAGAATCAACCTAAACACAAACATTTCAATAATTAGTCGAGAAAACTCAAAGGTAAGAAAAATTGGAAAGAAATGTGTAATATCAGTATTAAAAAGCTCGTTTTGTTTACAACATAGAAGTTCAGGCCCATATCAATATCATCATTAACAAATTTAACTTTTAAAATAAAGAAATTTATATTGTTTACCTGGGTGAGTGCAACGCATGTGCAAGTTTTACGCCTGACGAGGAGTCCAAGACGCGCCTTGCCCTTGACAATGCAATATGGGACACCCATCTTCCTGCAGAGTGCGGGGAGGAACAGAACCAGCTGTAAAAGAAATCAAATATTTAATATTTTCGTCTTTAAAAGAATAAAATATTGACTAATAATGAATTTAATCAGATTATCGATATCCTCAGTGCGTTACTTCTGTATAACGCAATGTCAGTTGAAGAAATTCAAGCAATAGTAAAGATTAATCATCATTTAAAGCCGTAGAAGACAAATAAAATGATTTTTTGTTTAATTTTTACCTCAATTGGGTCGACATCATGAGCAATGATGACCAACTGTGCTTTCTTCTGCTCCACCAGCTTGGTGACAGTGTTAGTGCCAGAACGCACCATATTGGGCACCTTGGAAGGCGCCTCTTCCTTCTTGGCGACTTTAGCTTCGGCCTTGGTTTGCAGACGCTTCTTCTTCTGAATGGGCGTCTCAGGCCTGTATTTCTGCAGAAGTTTGAACAACTGCGAAGCTAAAAAACACAAAAACAATCAAAACTTGCACTTTAAACACGCAAATTAATAGATTTTATTAAACAAACTCAGTGTTTCTGTTTTGGTGGTAGAAGTGTTTCTCATCAAAACCTTTCAGTTAGCAAATACTAAAGTCATCATCCAAAAAATCAAAAATTTTGAGAATTTTAATGATTAATTACCTGTTTGCCTATCAAGAGTCTGTGTAAACTGGTTGATTGGTGGCGGCACCTTCAGACGCTTCTGGAGGACAGCCTTCTGCCGCTGGATGCGGATGTATTTCGGCCATTTCACGAAGCGCGACAAGTCACGAACGGGCTGGATGTCTTGGCCTGCAAACAGCTAACTGAATTAATTTTACACCCCATTAAACTACAGATTGATTTAAAATATTAGGAATTGTTTCATCAGCATTAAAAAGCTCGTGTTGTTGACAACATTTCTCAATTCAGGCCCATATCAAGATCATCATTAGCATTATTTGTTAAGTTAACAGGTGTAAAATGTATGAACTTACCAATGCCGAAGTTGCGTGGACGCTTCTCAAACAGAGGGTTGACTTCCTTCCTCTGCTCGACTTTTTTCACAGCCAAAGGTGCGGCCGCTACTTTCTTTCCCACCTTCTTCTTAGGCTACATGAAAATATAAAAAATATTAGATATATAATAAACTATTGAAGAACATATGATAAAATTTTTGGTTAAAATCAGTATTAGGTATATTTATCTGCATGTAACAATAAGTGTAGCAAATACAACTATAGAATAGTGCATCATTTCAGTTAAATTTATTTAAAAACGCGTTCATTGTTGACTACTTATGACAAAAACGCGAATGTATAACCTCAAAATTACATATTAGACTTTACACGTGCTTTTCTTTACTTCTGCATGCTATAAAACGTACCAAGCGACTATTAAACTAAAACTAATTCAATAATTTAACTGAAATTCGTTGAAAATAAATCTTAAAACATCTAAAAACTCCGGTGTTTACATGTCGCCATGATGGACACCCAACACAAAATATTTCAAACACAATTATCCGCATGAATACTGAACATAAACCCGAAAATATGAATACGAAACGATAGCTAAACGTACATACCTTCTTTTGCACCATTATAGAATATTCTCAACCGACGGATGGTCTAAATAAAACCGGAATTATTTTACGTGATCATAAACACGTACGGCCGATGCGAACGCGACCGGAGCGAAGAGAGCGCTACCGCGTGCGGTGCCAGCATGACGTTAACTCGCAATGTTGCCAGTTGTATTCCCACCAATTCCCAGTCCACAAACGCGGCAGCACAATCGCAACTTTAAACACATTCAAAACCAAATCAATTTAGTTCCCAAACACACCGCAGAAATAAATAAACAAATGGCGTTGATACAAGTTAAGCAAAAATGGCGCAGTACTCAAAACAAAAATACGCGCGTTGGTGTACTTGTTAATGTCCTTGATAAGTTTATTTAATCAAGATGATAAGTACACGTCGTTTAATAAGCATAAGTATAGATTTTGCACAATCATTAAATCATTACATATTACGTCTGCGGGTCGCGTCGAGTTTTGCGCGTAATTACATCATTTGACTCCGGTCGAAGTTTCGGTAATGTGTTTTTATTATTTATAGACGCGGAAACTGGTTTGAATTACGAAAAAAGTGCTTGTTTGCATTAAGTAACGTTTTTTGGTTTGCTCGTTAGTTCTAATAAGTGTCGAAATATAAAAACAGCAAGTGCGATGTTTCGCGATTGTTAAAATGTGTTTTCATTGTGAGTTACACCTTTGATTTGCGCACAATCAACAACTTTATCAATTTATGTATAATGTTTAGGATATATTAGGATATATTAATCATGGAAAAGGTTTTAAACGTGATGAAAAGTAGTTTTGTAAGTGTTTGTGCCGTTTTATTGGATATTCCTGTTAATAACTACGTAAGTACACAATTTGACGACTTTATTTTAAGTTTTAATTAATTTTATTAGAGATATTATATGAAAAAAGTGTTTTTACTTAAAATAAGCAATAAAAACAACTTTTTCTGATTAAAATCAGTAAATTATGCACCAAAACACCAATAAAATCTGTAATTTTATGATGTTTTGTATTGTTTAAACAATTTTTCTATTTCATTTTTAATTTATATTAATTTTATTGTTAATATTATATGAAATAATTGTAGATAAAGCGTTTATTACTTGAAATAAACAATAAAAACCACGTTTTCTAATTAAAACCGTAAATAATGCACCATAAACATTTAAAATCTATAGTTTTATGTTGTTTTCTATGTGTTGCAATGTATTAAGTGCTTTTGTTTGCTTTTCTAGCGCATTACGATAAAGTATGCCAAGCAAATCAAGAACTACCTCAATTTACGATGATCTAAACATTTTACGAGCTGCAAATGTTGCGGGTAAAAAATATTGACGCATTAAGTTAAAAAAATAAATAAATTTTCTGATTTTCTAGGTTATGTCATTATTTCAAGAGAAATTCTCATACTATTCCTTAAAAAAAGTGTAAAGTTGAAAATATAAGTGATGTTAATGATAATAATTAGTTTATTATTAACTTATAAACAACTTGTCACCACATAATTACCATAATAATTATATTTACCATCAAAAGATTTGTTAATCTTGATATGAAACATATATGCAACCCAAAATACACACATGTACAAAGCTTATATAAGTATTGATGAAAAATACGATAGGATAAGCGGTGCACCTTTGTGATTTGCATGAATAGATTAAGCGTGCGGAGTTGTTTGCGGGATAATTGGCGTGACGGCGAAGCTAAACAGCGAAAAATGCGCGACAGGGTGAAACGAGGTTATCCAGATGCTTTATTACCATATTTTTTCTACACATTCAGTATAGTCCTCCATAAAATTCATATTTTTCCCAATAAATCATACAAAACTAAATTATTCTAAGTCCTGCTCTGTTTATTCCATATTTAGGTCGTCATGCATTATATTGTTCAGGGAAAATTGATAGGCAATTACCTTCGAACGACCTACGAAGCAGTTGAAGGCTTTAGTTGACGTGATTTTTCGACATTTTCACATATTTTTCGCAATAAACACAAATAAAGAAAACTTTTATAAAGCAATTTATAATTTAAGATATTAAAATGGAATAAAATATAAAATGATGACAATTTCTGCGAGTTTAATGAATGAGTTTATATGAATTTATGAACGGGTAATAAATAATAATAAATATCGAGGAATTTAATGCGCTGCGTGCCTGGTACAGTAGTAGTAGCAGCATTGGCTAATGTTATTCTATTTGCGGGTGGTGCAACGGGGGTTGTGAAGGTAATTTGCATGCAAAACCCCGACAGAAATAAAATCACTAATAAAAATGGTGTAAAATGTAAATAAACTGTTGAATTACAAAAGAATACATGTTGTATGAATTATTCAAAGAGTTTAATTGCAGAAAAACCGAAAAAATAAAAAAAAACTGCTATTAATTAAAAAAATGCAGTGTTGCCAGTACAAAGGGTGATTAGGTGTAAATTGAGGTTATTTTTAGATGATAAATGACAATTTTCTTTAACAAAAAGTGAAAATTCCGAAATTAATTAACTATTCCTTTCTTAAAAAACGAAAATGAAACACTAGTCAATTTAAAAATGCAGTGTTGCCAAGATAAACTGTCATTAAGTGTAAATTTAGGTTAATTTTAGATGAAAAATGAAATAAAATGAAAAATGTTTGTTAAAAAGTAAAAAATTAGACACTACTGTTATGTTTCTAAAAATAAACAAAACGAAATGCTTTTTAATTAAAAAATGCAGTGTTGCCAATACTAAATGTCACTAAATTTATTTTGAGGTTATTTTATATCGCAGATGGCCATTTTTATTTAATAAACGTCAATTTCCCTTGTCAAAACGCAAAAATTCAGAAAACACAAAATAATTTCTCTATGTTTTTCTTTTCACCTTCAAAACAAATTCACGTGTATTTCGTACATTGTACTTGAAGTTATCAAGGTATCCCCGTCACGAAGATTGCCACCAATTCGCGACTGTTACGAATCTAATGAGAATCTAAGGACAACTTGCGAACTCACGAACTCATTCGCATAATCCGAAGGCAATACCCACAAAAAAATCCAAAAGAAACAAATACTTATACGTAGGTTATGTGAAAGTATGCACAACTGTTACCCTTATATACCATAAACCTCCCTCTCGCTGACTTGCTTTGCATGTCACGTCAAACAGGACGCAGCAACGCAACCGACATTATTTACAACTTCTCTCCTCGCACCCTTTCGCTGTTATTCGCAGATATTTGCTAGTTTAGCACGCAACCACCTACACTACCAAAATACAACCCCTCCTGGATTTTCAGCCGTGCGGTGCGGAGCGAACGAGGATAGTAAAAAGAAAATGAAAAACGCACGCAACTAGCGAGCAGCAAGTGCAGTACTCGGAGTTTGCGAGTATTTTAGTTATCGTTGCGTCGTCGACCGGTGAACACTTCATTTTTAATCAAAAAAATAGCAAGAAAAAGAAAAACGTGCAGAGTTTATGTTTCAAGTCATTAAAAACAGTCATAAAATCAATGTGTAAATGAATAAAAATGGATTCATGCAGTGATATGTAAGTACGCAACCCAATTCACAAGTTACACACATGCTGCACACTCTACACAAAACAAAACCGTTTAGGTTATGTTTCACACCGCATTACATAACCTAACACATCACATTTACGCAATTTTCTGCAATTTTTACCACGTTTTCTTCCTTTTTCTTGATTTTTTCAGAGATGTTGATATGTACGATGTGATCTTCAAAACCATCTACTTGGTAACACATTAAATCATCTTAATATCATTTAAATTTAATTTTATTCATATATTTTTTGTAAGAAATTAAAATTAAAGTAAAAATGTAAATATTTACTAGTTTTTAGAATCTAATGAGTTTCATGACACAGCCACGAGTTTCCTCGCCGAAATTCGGCGAAAATTTGATAAGGAAGTAGATACAACTTCATCTAATGCAAAGACATTAATTTTACGGCCGTATTTTGAACAGACAGATGGCGCCAGTGGTCAAAATGATGAAAATTTAGAAAGTAATGGCCTTGTATCGCATGCAGAGACATTTAAAGACGTAAATCTTGGAAATAATGTTATCACAAGTGAAGATAACGAGTCATCCACACCGGAAGTTAATTTAATGGAAGAAAAAAGTAAGTTTTTTTATATGAAAATTCATAAAATCACATTTTTTTACCTAATTTTTCTTAGCAAGTGAAATTATGATGCAAGTTTTAAGCCCCAAATTATCTCAACCAAATATTTTGCAATCACACAGTATAAATAATGAAAATGCAAGTGAAAAATCCCATAATTCCCAAGAAATCATTCATAAAAGTTGGAAAAACATCTTTGAACAAAACAAAAACCCTGTTTGCCCTGATTGCACGAATATTACACGCATAAAACAAGATTTAGATGGCTTAAGCTCATCATCCGCCATCTTGGATCCCAATGACATGAATATTTTGCACAAATCTTTCAAGTTACTGCAGGAATTGCAAGAAAATCACGTTAAATTAATTCGTATGATTATATATATAATGTTCTTGGCTCCTATGTGGAGCATAGAGCCTCACTAAGCGCCCTCCAACGGACTCTGTTTCGGGCAACCGCCTTTGCTTCGTTCCAGCCCATATTTTGGTTTCGGAGCTCCTCTATTGTGGATCTTCGCCAGGTATTGGCCGGTCTACCAACCCTTCTCTTCCCCTGTGGGTTCCATTCTAGCGCATTTCTGGCGATATCTCCGGCGTCTCTTCTCAAGATGTGCCCAATCCACCCCCATTTTCTCTTGCGTATTTGATTTATAATGGGAGTTTCATCACATCGACGGTGCAACTCATCGTTGGAGATTGTCATTGGCCAGAATATGCGCAAGATCATTCTCAAGCACTTGTTTATGAAGGTTTGGAGTTTGTGTGTGCTTGAGCTCGTTGACCTCCATGTTTCGCATCCATATAAAAGGGTGGATTTTACATTTGTGCGGAATATGCGCAGTTTTGTTCTTAGTGTATAGACGCTTGACTTCCATACTGTGCTCAGCATTCTGAAGGATTGCTGGGCTTTCTTTATTCTGTTGTTTATATCTGCGTCGGTCCCCCCTTTTATGTCAATTATACTTCCTAGATATAGGAATTCCTTGACCTCTTCTATTTCCGTATTATCTATTTGGAGTTTTAAGGTGTTGTTTGTATTTATACGCATTTCTTTTGTTTTGGCAATATTTATTCTTAGGCCAATTTTACTTGCCTCCCTTGCTAATGTTGTTAGCTGTCGGCTCACGCCTTCGAACGTATGTGACATCAGGCAGATGTCGTCGGCGTAATCCAGGTCGCTGAGGTGCGAGGTTAGTGTCCAGCGCAACCCATCCCTGTTCTGGTCTACCTTTGCTAGTATGTAGTCTAAGGCGATGTTAAATAGTAATGGGGATATGACACATCCTTGTTTTACTCCTCTGTGTATCGTAAAACTTTCGCTTTTTCACCGTTGTGTAACACACTGCAGTTTGCATCAGTGTAGAGTTCTTGCAGGATGCTTATTATCTTTGTTGGTACACCTCGCGACTTAAGGATCCTCCATAAAGCGTCGTGGTTCAGGCTGTCGAATGCTTTCTCAAAGTCGATGAAGGCGATGAATAGTGGTGATCGCCATTCTACTGATTGCTCGATAATTATACGAAGGGTATTGATATGATCGATGCATGAGCGATTCGGCCGAAAACCTGCTTGGTTCGGGCGCAGGGTGTTTTCTATAGTTTCCGCTAATCTTGTTTGGACGATTTTCGCGATAATCTTATTAATTGTGTTTAATAGCGTTATGCCACGCCAGTTGTTACACTCGGTCAAGTTACCTTTTTTGGGAAGCTTGATGATTAGCCCTTCTTTCCACTTGGTCGGAATCTTGTTGTTGTTCCATGCTTCCTTAATACAGTGGTATAGTTCATTTGCCATCCATGTGGCGTTTACTTTTAGTAGTTCCGCTGGAACGTTATCAGCTCCTGCTGCTTTGTTGTTCTTAAGCGTCTTTATAGCTGCAGTTATCTCCGCGACTGAAGGCGGGTTCGAGTCAATGTTCAGTTGTCTACCTGGGTTATTCTCTGGCTCCCAGTTAATTGTTTCGTTTGCGCTGAGCATGTCGGAGAAATGTTCCCTCCATCTTTCGAGCTGCTTGTCTGACTCAACTAACAGGCGGCCGTTTTTTGACTTAATGAAGTGTGTGCGTGTAGAGTACTTATTGGCCAGTTTCTTTGTGAGGTTGTAAAGTTCTCTCGAGTTGTTGTTGAGCATTGCTTCTTCTGCTTGTCTGCAAATATCATCTATCCACCTGCGTTTGTCTCTTCTGGCTTCCCTTTTGACCTTTTGGCAAAGGCCTGTGTACTCTACCTGTGCCGCTGCCCTATATTCTTGCGAAAGATTTTGGAGTAGCAGGTGTTTTTTCCTCTTTCGGTCTTCTATCAGCAACCACGTGTTTTCGCTGATCCATTCTTTCCTTTGCCTGCTTTTCACTCCAATTGTTGTTTTGGCGACTTCAATGATGTTGTCGGCCATATTTTCCCATTTTTGTGCTGATTTTTGGTTTATTGTCTCTTGCATTTTTCCTTGAAGGATTTTGCTATTTGTGGAATGCGTAGCTTCTCTATATTTAGTTTTATTCGTTTCATATCGGCTGGTTGCTTGGGTACTGCTAGTTTTATTCTCAATGTGCCAACTATTAGGTGGTGGTCACTGGCTACATCAGCACCTCTCTTGTTCCTCACATCGAGTAATGACGATCTCCATTTCCTAGAGATTGTGATATGATCGATTTGGTTGTGGGTTTTTTTGTCTGGCGAGACCCACGTTGTCTTGTGAATCTGTTTGTGGGGGAACAGCGTACCCCCTATTACCAGGTTCGCGTTGGAGCAGAACTGTGTGAAGTATGTGCCGTTTTCGTTAATCTGCCCAACGCCGTTTTTTCCCATAATTTCTTCCAAATTCTCGTTTTGAGCGCCTACTTTCGCATTAAGGTCGCCCATGAGAATTTTTATGTCACCGCTGTTTACGTCTTTTATAGTTTTCTCGAGGATGTCATAGAATTCATCTTTATCCTCTTTAGAAGCGTTATTGGTTGGGGCGTAACATTGGATAAAAGTTACTTTTCTGAACCTGGTGTAGAATCTTGCTGTTATTACTCTTTCGTTTATTGGTGTCCATGAGATTAGACTCTTTTTAGCATGTTTACTGAGTAGAAATCCTACACCGCTTTCGTGTTTTCCAGATTCATTACCACTAAAAAGTAGTCGTTCTCCACCTTGTGTGGGATGTTCTCCTTTCCCCAACCAACGTACTTCTGATATACCTAAAATATGTAGATTATATTTGAGAAATTCCTTAGTTACCTGCTGCAATTTGGAGCTCTCGTATAACGTTTGCACGTTCCAGCAGCCGAAACGTATCTTGTGTTTAGTATTAGCCAGGGTCGTCCTCGTATTATCCGTCCGGGTTTGCTTAGTTGAAGTTTCAGTAATAGGTTTGATTTAGGGTGAGTAGGTTATTAGCCTTCTGCACCCGAGTTTGGTGCTGGGGCTGCCAGCTGGAGCGTCCAAACCCGCCTCAGTGTACCTGGATGTTTGACGATGTTGTTGATGTCCCGCACTTGACGTGGTGAAAGTGAGGTTATACCGCCTCATATTCGGTCGCCAGAGCCTCGTTTGTCGAAATCAGGGCGCACCACGTGAAGGGAGGTTGGCAGTTGGCACCCAAAATCGGACAACAAAACCAATATTTAAGCTGAACTTATTAGATATTGAAGATCGTACTGAATATCAAGTTGAATCAAGTGTTATAAACAGTTCCAAAGAATCGAATTTCAAATTGAATAATGACCTCTTTATACCCTTGGAGAATAAACCTGTCGTGGGTAATATCGCAGCATTAATAGACCCACAGGATTCACAGGAAGTTCATGACGATTGTGAAAATAACATTTTATATGAACTACATTGTAATCTTATGGCGGAATCATCCGAATCTTCAGAATTATCAAAAATGTCAGATTTGTCAAATGACGATGCCGACCGAAGAAGCCCGAGTCGTTTTGGTTCGGATTTTATTCTTAAACCACCGGAACCCTTTAGAAATGATGTTAGTAACAAAACAAGTTCACATAGAATGAATAAAAGTGCGACTATGTTGACTGTGAATGCAACGCAACCTGTTGGACGTAAAAAGAGTCATTCTGCGTCTTTCGTGCAGAAAAATCAAGAGAAATTGTTATTATCACCGAATTATCGGAGTAAAACACGTGAAAGTGAAGATAAAACGCAAAATAAAAAATATATTGAGGATAAAATCGCCACACCGAAAGAAACTACACGTAGGAGAACACCAGTGAAGAAAAATGATAGGCAACCCGATGTACAAGAAGACATTACCTTAAATTATCAAGCTCTGATTAAAGAAAAAACTAAATTGATACTTGAAAAACAAAAAACACAACTTAAAGATGAGCAGAAGTCATCTGCACATGCGCAGAAAGCTAAATCACCTAATTTACCTAAAATATTATCTAAATCAGTAACAACTCGTGCATTTGAGGTGCAAAACGATGATTCCTTGCAAACAGACAGTAGTGAATTGGATACAAGTGAATTTATAACGAAATTTCGTGAGGATTTTATGCAAAACGTCGTGATAACACAAAATCAACTGAATTGGTGCGCGTTAAAGAGGGCGCTGTATGAAGACACACCGGATGTCAAAATGAAACTTTTACAAGCTTTAAGATGGGTAAGAATTAATTATGAATTAATAAATATTAAAATTTTAATACATTTTAATGTTTTTATAGAGATTAACTGATTGTAATAGCAGTCAACGTGAAGCACAATTATTAGAATATGTGAAAAATGATATTCTGTCAATCAATTCAATTCCACCGCATGGACAGCTTTTTTTAGAGAGTTTCTATTGTCCGAAAAAGATGGTGACGCCACATCCATTACAGGTATTATTAAAATTAAAAGTGGGTTAAAATTAAAATTGCATTGGAAATAATTTCAAGGTCAATATCAATAGAGTCAAGGTCAGGCTAGGATAATCAATACTCATTTAATAATTATAATTAAGGTTAATTGAAGTTAAGAAGTAGTAATTGTTATGACCTGATAACCTTAATTTTTGTTGGTTTTTGTTTTTTAATATTTTTGATATTTTTATGGTTTTTAGGAAGAAATGGCGCGGTTTATTAATACGTTAGCGTCGTTATCAATGGGTCGGTTATATTTGGAGCGTGATGAGAGTTTATTGTCGGTTATGCTCCTCCCACTTTTGATGGGAAAACTACCAGGGATTAAAATATATGATTTAACTCGTGAGTTCACAATGGCAACAGTGCAAAAATTGAGTCTAAGTAATAAAATGCGTGAAGTCATGATAAACGCAGGTAAATATTTAAATTTAAATTTATTTTAAGTTCAATACCAGTATTTGATAATAAAAATAACGGTATACCGAAATGGATACCGGTATTTCATATTCCTAATACAAATAATATTTTTTAAATATTTTTTAGGTGTAATGGAATGGTTGATATTATTTATAGAGAAAAACCATCATAAAATGACTACTTATGAAGCGGAATATTCCACCGCGTTGTTAACAAATCTCTGCATAAACAAAGAAGCAAGAAGTCGTTGTGAACGAGTCGCGGATCGCGTTGTGACAGTTATCGACGATTTAATCGACACACCGCACAAGTGTTGCCTACCGTATATAAATCCGATCCTGTACAGTCTCCTACTTAATCCTGTGATTAATGATCGTGCTGTTTCTAATGGCATCGGTGTAAAATTGAAACAATTGTACAATGTAAGTACTAATACTTCTTCTTTTATAATATGAATATGGTGATTAAAATAATTTATTAATTTATTAGGTTTATGAAAATAATATAGAATTATCAAAACAACTAGATGCCATTATTGCAATGCATGAAGCACGTGATTTCTGTGAATGCGACGATGCAGACACAGAAGACGTCACAAATCAAAATCACGCGGATTATTTAGAACAAGAATTATCTCTGCGTGATCCGATCTATCACACACCAATGGGTGAAGAGCTGTTAAAACTGTTTTATAATCGCATAGCGCCATCAAGCGGAAGATTCTTAAACATAGGTAACTATAATAACCAACTATATTAAATTTTACTATTTTTAAACTTAAAAAAACTCAAAAAACTATTTTATACTACAGATAATGAAATAAAACACCCATCTTTAGTCCAAATCGTAAAGAAAAGCTGCGTATGCAATAATAAATCACTATCCAAACTAGAACATCGATTATTATCAGAAGAAACAGCGCAGAATCCAATAGAAGCTGTCAAAATCAACAAATGGCAAAACAGACCAACCTACCGGAAGAGAACAGACACCCCTATACCAAATAGAAACAATCATAACCTCAATTCTAAACCAATATCTAATAAAATACCCAATAAAACAAGTAATAAATTAACCAAAAGTAGAAACGAAGTAAAATTGGGAGCACGACAAAGATCCAAATCGCAACCACCAGCAAGAAAACACAAACCAATCACAACGAAAACTGAAAATTTAAAAAAGACTGAACGGATAAAAATGATACCAATGAATGACGCTAACAACTCACTTAATAATGAAATTAACACAGAAAATCCATCCCCAAAGCAATATATATTAAACTGTTGCCTAAAAATGGATTACATGAATGCTATAGCAGCGCCACCTGGTGAATACCGCCCGCAGCCATTACATACAAGTTCACCTAACCTCAATTCACACACCGATGATAATTATGTTGAATTTAAAAAATTGCAAGTGTTACAATGAAATGCAACAGTTTATCGGTGATTATAGTTCGAAAGGAAAGAAAACTAATGTAAAAGTGTCACCAGGAGGGTCAGAAAAAGGTCGTATGAGAAGATCGCCGCCATCTTTATTTCGGCAAAGGTCCACGGATGCATATCCAGTGAAAATTACGAATAAAAACAGCGCGCCGCTGTTTGATGTGAAGGATATTAGAGATGAAGACGTGCAGGTGAATTATTTCGATAGTGAGATGATGATGGTGAGGACAAAGACACGTGCGAGTAATAAACGATGAAGAATGAGGATAGTGGGAATAAAAGCCAATGTTATGTGATAAGAAATTAAATTAGGGTTAAAAATTAGTAAATTTGGATTAAAAGAAGCGATAAGTGGGTGTTAATAAATTATTTAGTGTAAATAAAGTTGTTTTAACAATATTTGTTGTTTGTGATGCTTTTGTTTTTGTTTGTGTAGAGGGTTGCATGCCAATCGGCGATAAATCGGTCAGAATGTGCGTGACTGGTGGTAATTTGCGAATGTTCTCGTTTTCTAATTATGTTTTCCGATATTTTCCAATCTACCAATGGAAGTATAGAGATTTTCAGAGGAATATTACAGGATTGGATTTAAAAATTAAATATTCTAATAAAATTTCCGAGAATTTTGATTGCAAAGTATTAAATAATCCCAAATTTACCTTAAAATCGACTTAAGTTGACGTGTATTAAGTAAATTAAGCCTTTTAAACGTCTACCCCCTCCATTTTTTGTTTTCTGATCTCTCATTGGCCAAAAATAGCTAAAAAGGATATAAAATTAGTGTATCGCGTAAAAGAGAATCCATTCCTATTTGAATCACTCACTAAGTTACTAAAGTGTTTTAAAATGTCGCCGTTTTCCGCCATCTTAGCTTCAACCGTGTATCCCACAATCAATGTGTTAAAATCATTAGAAAACTCAAGAAGTAAGTAAACATTCTATATATAAACAAATTATTACTATTTCATTAGTAATATTTGTAGTTTATTTTATTTTTGTACTCAATTTTGGATTAGATATTGAATGGCAACCCGTCGAACTTGAAACATTTCACCATAGTGAAAATAACAACCAAGAACAAACCAAAACACTGAAACAAAATGTCTGCCAAGATGACGAAAAAGAAAATGAAGACAAACAAAACAAAATGGCGTCGAATACGACTCAAACAAAGAAAATAAAAAAGCTAAAACGGAGGAGGAAACGTGCAGAACCTTTAAGAATACAAGTATTAAAGAAAATGATGCAGAAGAGTATTCAAGAGATGGCTCGCAAAGAAAATGAAGAAAATTCATTGAAAAACACGAAACAAGAGCAAGAAAAACCAAAACCAGCAAGAATTCAACGTTCTAGAAAACTCTTATCATTTGACTTCTTTAATCACTCATTTTAATATTGATAACACCCATTATAATTGAAGTAATTGAATTAATACATCTAATGTAAATAAAAATGCGAAATAAAAATACTACCCGGCGAAGCAAATATTATTTCAATAGTATTTTGTTTATTTATACATCTGTATTGTTTAGCTTATAGGTATTGGTGCAACGAGGCAAGGTGTGCATGTTGAAATCAAGATTAAATGATAATTTACAATCTTTTGACTCATTGTTCAAGAAACCGACAAACACACGCCGCACGCGTCCCCAATGTTATTGCAAGCCAGTATTAACGTGTAAAACATAAACATTTCACCCTATTCTGCATCGAAATAACAAAAAAATCACACTTGCGTTCTACCCAAATTGCATTTATAATCATTTTAGTTTTGATTCTCTTTGATTCAACAAGTGACACGACTTGAAACGCAATTTAAGTTGAAAATAAATTTAAAAATGGATCAAAGTAATACAACACCTTCAATAGATATAGATGATATTGATGAAAACGCTGCTGCTACATTACACGAAGGTACAACTTATTCTTACTTATTTTAAAACTAATATAAGTAAAATGTAAAATTTGAAATTCTAACCTTGAAAATTCAGTGATGCAATTCCTCAACGACATCGACCTAAACACCATAGACACACGTGAAGGCACAGCCAGCGTCACACCATCCACTACACAAGAAGATATAGTTCAACCGTTCTATGTTAATTCTAATAAACTCAATAAAAATAATTTTCAACAATTGTATGAATACTTCACTGAGCACAACGACTTGCTGACACATGCTCACCATCAGCCAATATACAACCGACATCCGAGTATGACAGCGCCATCTACAACATGCGCACAAACATCCACAATTCAAATATTTCAAACTGAAAACTTTGATAATAAACTATTCAACGAATCTATTGATATGATGATGACTATACAAGCACGAACACCAGAACAAAAACTCTCTGATGATATAAAACAACGTCAGGAATTAGAATATCAAACTATGAGTTCTATTTCTGATGATGAACATAACCTACAACGTATTCGTGCGATTCGACAGGATAACCTCATGAAACTATGGGCTGTGCATTCAATTATTAACGATAAACCGAATTTATTAGTTGGGAGTGATGTGGATAATTTGGGTAAAAGTTCTGCGAGTGGTAATGTAATGAAAAAACAAGGTTCGTCGCATTTGTCAACAGGAAAGAAGAAATTTTGTACTTTTTGTCATAAAAATGGAGAACCTGCGATTGTTTATGAAGATCATAGTGTGAAAAATTGGCAGGGGCATGTTACATGTCCGATTTTGCGGAGGCACAAGTGTGAGATATGTGGCGCCACTGGTAAGTATGCGCATACAATAAGGCATTGTCCGGAACAAAATGGCGGGAAAGAAGGGAAACTTCCGGTTTTTAGAGTTTTAGCCAATGGGGCTATAACATCATCACACAATCACAAGTAAAGTGTGTTTTGAGTGTTTTTATATGGTTTTATCTTTTAAATTGTGTTTTTTAGTTGTATTTTATGTATATTTCGGTTTTTTGGCAAAATATTTTAATGTTTTGTTGGTTTTATAACTATTTATATATTTATTTGTTTAATATTAATGATAATATAAGTTTTTAAATTTAAATTCGTTTGTTTTTATATTTTATTACAATTTTTATAATAAAACTAGGAATGTTTTACTGGTATGCAACTTATTATACACTATACTTTGCCAACCATAACCTAACTACTTTCGTACATTATAAAACGTATTTTTGCGGTAAGTTTGTATTTATTCAACTGTTTTACGCTCTATATTAACTCATTATTTCATTTTGGTTTGTTTATTTAGCTTGCAACGAGTTACGCCGCACACGCGTTCTTTTGTACTTACATCGCCGAAAGGAATTCTATCCTTGTCATAATCCCTTCGTTTTTTTTGTTTCATGCGTTCCTGTTGAGTTCTCCCTTTATTCTGCATTCAGCAGTCTAACCTCGGTGCAAGCACGTGTTATAATCGCAATAACAACGTAAAAATGTCTCAATTTTACTCAAACAATTTTTTTAAGCATAAAAGTAAGTATAAACTTATTTTTACATTCAAAATGGCCGCCAGCTAATACTTTTCATATTTCCTGCATAGATTTCCGTTCGTTTTATAATTTGGACCACGTACCAAACAAAATCGTACAAGAACTCATCGTATACCATCGTAATTTACTTTACGAAGTAGAAAAACACATGAGAAACCACATCGACTACGTTTGTCACGAAAAATACGAAATCGGATCAAATCTTGGTAAGTTATCACAACAAACCTAACCTCAAATAATGCAAAATCATATTTTTATGTATTCCAGCTACTAATTCAAACGCACGGAGTAGATTACAACAATGGGACGTCGCTAGACACAACGAGATAATGCGTGCCCTTGACAAACTACAATATGGCGCCAATGACAGCACTGAAGTGAATCCCGAACAAAAATGGCGTGGTAATATCATAACTAACCTAAATATTACATATTTAAACATATTTTGTTATTTTTAAAGCTTTGCAGTTAGAAAACCAACAAAACACGGATGACAAAAGCATGTTTTGCATGTTCTGTCGCAAAAACCGCGAGTTACCCGTCGTATACCGCAGTCACAACACAAAGCAACAAAATGGCGACGTTTGTTGTCCGGTTCTGCGCAGTTACACATGCCCACTGTGCGGCGCAACTGATAAAAACGCACACACGAGGAAACACTGTCCAATTGAAATTGAACGCAGGCGCAGTGCTAAATTACGTCTGTGCGGCAACACGACCTTGAAATTTTCGGAATCTCATGAGTAATAATAAATATAAAATTTTATCTTTATGCAAACATAGTTTACGCATGAATGAATGCATTTTTGCTTAAACTAATCAACATAGATTATCAAATAATGTTGCAAATGCAGCTCGGTATGAAATTACATCATTAAATAAACAAAACAAAAAAGCGCGATAAAACTGCATAACTACTTAACGTTCAGTAGACAATTCGTTAGTTTTATCAAGCAAAATATTCTCCATTGATGTAAAGGCATCCAAAGGGTGTAGAAATGCCATCTCCTGCTTGCTGATCATCTTTTGGACACGTGGACATGTAATCGGCGATAAAAACCCTGGTTTTATCATATTTTCAAACCAAAACTGCTTCTCAACGCCGCCATTTTGATTTTTTACGGTATTTCTAGAAACTAATCACAAAATATTAAAATTATAAACAAAAACAACCAAAATAACAATAACTCACAAGTGCCACGCGTTTGTTTATCCATTAAATCAACAAATCATAAGAAACGATGCACCTACTTTCGACTCATAAGAAATAATGAATATCCACGCGGCACAAGTTGCCTAAGATAAGATTACACAATTATTAGATCATAATAAACATTTTTACGCCTAGGGAGACTTAAGGATGACTAATATACATCAATGAAAAAGAATTTCCATGTATATTTGCTCACCACACTCGCATATGCACTAATATAACCTATAAACCCCCGCATCATTAGCAAAACCGTTTCAGTGTGTGTGATTTTCAGAGGTTAGCCTAACCTCACTCGACTGGTACATGTACAACATTTAAAAATACTTTCGGAAATCGTAACGCTGTAATTTATGTACAAACAAAATTCATTTCTGAGGTAATATCCATGCGCCACGCATCAATAAAACTATACAAAAAAAAATAAAATGTGAATTTCAAGTAACAAATCGAAAAAACTGAATTAATGTAAAAACTGAATCAAAATTTTTGTCATCACCTCACATTTACAAAAAAAAAACTCGCGTACACAGATCTCTTCACCATTTACCCCTACAATATTGCATCTCCGCGCGCACAATCATTTCTATGTATATAAAAACGTTAAAAAGGTTCGCTATACCAAACAACACTCTACAGGTCTCACATTTACAGCATTTACACTTACAATCTTAGTGTAGTATGTGTGTCAGCGTGTGTTTGTTTAAATAATTAACAAATATTACAAATCAGGATTGAACTGTTCGAGTTGTTGCCCCAATCAATGCGACAAAATTAAATTTGTAGAATACTGTGTTTCAGTTGAGTGCGCATGCGCATGCTGTCAAAAAATATCTTTAACCAAATGAATGACTTGCAATTTTTGTGTGAATGATGTCTATCATTGATTGGCGCAACAAACAACACTTAAAAAGTACAATTCGACACAATTGTTATAATAATATATAGTAATATAGTACAAAATGAGCCGGTGGGCACGCGCGCGCGCACCACGGTTGCAATTGTTTCTTGCACTCTCGCACAAAGTTCACAAGATGGCGGCGGCTGTGGTCGGTAGCATTTCGAAATGTGTTGGGCGTGGTAATCGGGTTCCATAGTTGAGTTGAGATAATATAATAGCAGTTGGGATGGTTGATTTCATTTGTGTGTGTTTTGGGTTTGGTTTATTGTATTTTTCATTTCTTAATAGTCGTCTAAGTCAAAGTCATCACCGTTTTCTAATTCATCTAGCTGCATACTCTGGAAGTCCACCTTGTATCGCAGCAAACCTAACCAAAAAATATCAATATTTTAATTAAAAAACACAATTTTAAGTAAAATATGTTTAAAAACTACGAAAAACGAAATTAAAACGGTTTAAAATACTTAAAACCAACAGTATTGACTCGAATCGAGTCCGAAACCAGTAAAAACCGGTTAAAATCAGCGATAACCACACAAAACTATAACGTACAAGGTAAAACATATGCAAAGCCAAGTCAAAAACATATACAAAGTGTTAAAAATTCACGCAAACTCAAACTCCTTCTATTTTTAGCTGTTTTCTGTACCAGCATGAAGAAATACCTGAGAGTTTGTAATTAGTAATCGTCAAGGTCGACGTCGTCCAGCGGTTCATCCGCCTGCAGCGACTGAAAGTCTACCTTGTACCGCAAGATGCCTAACGAGATCGCAAGCAGTCCGCAAAGCAGCATGTTAGTAATAAAAGTCACAGGTTAACAATTTTGCAAAAGCAAAATTCGTATGTTAATCAAACAAATTCAACACAATTTCATTACCTCCAATGCCACCAAAGCCTCGCACAAACTGTGATCCCTCCTGGGACTTGTCGGTGATGATCTCTAGCGTTGCACCAAAGTTCTTGTAGTTGTTCGCCAGCCATTCTAGCAATGGTTGACATTCTACCAGTTCCAATTCTACTCCACTCTGTATAATAAAACAAAAAATTTAACAAAATGGTGGATTGGTGTATGTTTGGTTGCATACTTCTTTGTCGGTGAAATGCGACTTGTCTTTCTCTTGCTCCGGCGTCAAATGCAGCACTGTTTCGGTGCCGGAGGTGTGATTCTTGAGCACGTACCGCTGAATATCCAGATTCTCCCAGCAGATGAGCGTCTCCACCGAGCCCAGCTCCAAACCTTTGAGCGTATCCTCAACGCCGAAACAATACTTGCCTGTATCTTGACTGATCTCGTCAAAGTACCGCCCGATCAGCTTCTTTTCTTGGATAAACTTAACATTCTGCAGCGATTCGGCTGCGAGTTCAATCGCTTGATTAAAACCATTCTCGCCACCATAAGATACGTCCACCAGTTTGATTATTTTCGATTGTAATCTCTTAAAAAGCAAAAATACAAAAATTAGTTTTGACAGATGAGAAACAAGATGGCCGACTTTTGACAATTTGACAGTTTAAATTTTATGCTTTTTAACTTACAGGATCAAACATATCTGATTGACTAAGCTCAGTCTTGAAGTCAGCACTACCAGCAAGAATCAACCCGGCGATGTTCGGCTTATCACTACTGATAAACAATTGAGTAGCAACTTCGGCGACTTTACGCACGTAATTATGACGTTTCTCCATGCGCAGACGCGCGAAACGCAACGCGGATTGACCACCACGACCGTGCTTCTTCGGTAAATCTACGGTGAATTTATGCAGCACCTCCCGCGTGTTACCCTGCAGCGTACCAAACAACGCGCCATTACCGTCCATGACAATGAAACCGAATTTATTATCGTCCGCCAGCAGCGCTGTCAATGCTTCGGTGTGGAATTTATTGTCGCAGAGGTACAACGACGTGTTGATTGGCTTGAAAGGCTCGAAATCAATGTTCACCTTCTTTTCTTTACCCTCATCAGTCACAATAGTACCACAGTAGATTACCAAACCATTTGGTGGAACTAAAAATTAAGTTTTTAGTGGAAATTTATTAAAATTGTGAATCATTATACCTTTCGTGTAGAGTTTAAGTCTATGCTGTACAGATGTAATGGCTCCCAAGACTGAGAGTCGATTCACTCTTGATTTAATATTGGATGCAGTGCCAAACTCATCCGCGAGCATTTTACTCACTCGGGAGATCTGATCTTTGGGCGGAATAATGAGCGAAATCATGCTGGTGCCATTGCTGATGTGATTGCAGAAAAATGTTAGCAATTTCATTCAACAACATTGAGTAATAGTTTTCTACTCGCATCAGCGCAACCGTATGGGTGCTGTATGCGAATGTAAGGTGCATGCGCTTACCCTCTGGCGAGCTCCAAGCTCTTGATGAGTTTCTTGATCTTCCAGATTTCGACATTGCGATCAGCAGAAGTCTCCTCGTTGGACATGTTTGTGGCGCGCTGGGACTGCTGCGGAGCTGATTTCAAGACGACGGGACACGACACGAGCGAGAGCTAGAAACGTGTGGTCCGTGGCAAAATGGCGCGGTGGAAAGCGACGTTGTCAATTTGATCCACAACGACTTTAAATGCCAAAGGAGAAATCCAGTTCAAACCAAAAACTCAAACATAATCACTCACAGGCTAGAAATTAACCCATAATGTTTAGGAAACGTTTGGAATTTGGTAGTGAATTGATTTTGAGTGGAAAGTTTGGGAAAATATGCGCGTGGCAACGTTGTGAGTGTGATTCATGCGCATCTCGATCTAACCTCGACATTTCGCGTAAGCGGAGCGCATGTTGCGTGCAAATCATGCCGAGGTGAATAAATGCGCAAAATAAGAACAACAACGTGTTAAAAAAGCATAGACGCATTCGAAGAGGTGGAGAAAATGCATTTTTACACACGCTAGCACCATCTATATTGCGAATATTTAATATAAAACGCTTGTAAATTCGTTTTTCGTGCGTATTTTACTAACCTAGACGTATTTTGTATTTCTGCGCAAGTTTTGAACAAAATGTCGGATGATGAAGATTTGGTTTATGTAAAAAAACAGAAAACAATCCATTATGGATCACTTGAAGACTCAGAAAAAGCAAGAATTGCGCTTGAGGCAGCTGAAGATAACAGTCAAGATGTCCCAAGTCCAACTGCACAGCTTACACAAGTACAAAACAATGGTAAAATTATTTTTATTAAATATTTAAACAAATATTAATTTATCGTTATGTTTAGAATATATGGAGCTTGAAGATGCCATGTCCAAAGACAAACAAGCTCTTCTGGAAGAGTTTGAAAGACGGAAAAAAGCTAGATCTATAAATGTTTCAACTGACGATGCAGAAGTTAAAAGAAACTTGCGACAACTCAGCGAGCCGATTTGTTTATTCGGTGAGGGACCTGCCGATCGACGTAGTAGACTGCGAGACATCTTATCCTGGTAAAAATTTTTACATTTTACACAAAAAACAAAAATATTTACAATTTTAATTGCAGTATTGGTGAAGATGCAATTCTTCGTAAAGAAGTTGAAGAAGAAAAGCGTCAGTTTTCTCACAATCAAGAAACAACGTGGTATCACGAAGGTCCTGATAGTTTAAGGATATCACGACTGTGGATTGCTGAGTATTCGCTGCCTAGAGCAAAAGCTAGGTTAGAAGAAGCTAGGGAATTGGCAGATCTACCAACTGCTACTCGTACAGCTAAATTACAAGAACTACAGAAGAGATTACAAGTGTTATCGATACATTGTAGTCAAGTAGGTGACACACGACCAGTTTCCTTCTGTCAATTCAGTCCTAATTCCAAACTTATAGCAACAGGTTCATGGTTAGTAATATTTACAAATTTAAGGTTAGAAAATAAAATAATAACATTTTGTGTTTACAGGACAGGTGTTTGTAAAGTTTGGACTGTGCCCGACTGTGAATTAAAGCAGACTTTAGTCGGGCATAAACATCAGATTGGTGCGGTTGTTTTTCATCCGAAAGCTACGCTGACACAAGATGAAGGCGCTTGTAATATGGCGTCGTGTTCGGCAGATGGCGCTGTGAAACTATGGAACTTTAAAAGGTTAGTATTTGTCTTTTTTATATATACCAGTAAGTTTAACATGTAATTATGTTATTTTTTATAATTATTATTAGTGAGGAACCTATTGCTGATATAGAAGGCCACATGCCTCATAGAGTATCACGCTTAGCCTTCCACCAATCCGGTAGGTTCTTAGGTACGTGCTGTTTTGACAGTTCATGGCGCTTATGGGATTTGGAACAATGCGCAGAAGTATTACATCAGGAGGGACACGGTAAACCTGTTTACTGTATATGTTTCCAAGGCGATGGATCAGTTTGTGCTACAGGGTAATTAATTTCATCATAACCTCAATTATTTATATTCAAAAGTTAAAATATTATTCTTTTTATGTTAGTGGCCTGGATGCTTTTGGTAGAGTATGGGACCTGCGCACAGGGCGTTGTATAATGTTCCTCGAAGGTCATTTGAAGGCCATTTACGGTATAGACTTCTCACAAAATGGCTACCATCTTGCAACTGCCAGCGCGGACAATACATGCAAGATTTGGGACTTGCGGAAGCGTAGTATACTGTATACTATTCCAGCACATACGAATTTAATCTCGGATGTTAAGTATGAACGAGAGTGTGGTGATTTTCTGGTGACGGGATCTTATGATAATTCGATTAAGATCTGGTCGAACCGGACATGGCAGCCATTGAAAACGCTGTCGGGGCATGATGGTAAGGTTATGTGTGTGGATGTCGCGCCGAATAATCAGTATATAGCTAGTTCGTCCTATGATAGGACGTTTAAATTATGGGCGCCTGAGTAATTAATAAATAATGAATTATTTTGGTACATAAAACGTGAATGAATGAATGAATGAATAAGTAAGACCGGTGGAAGTAGTAGAAGTGGAGGGGAGACCCTAGGGACCCGCGACTTGGACTGCTGGACGACTTTTTATACCCGCGTTTTGGCACACGACCCGCAAAAAGTGGTGGGGGTAGGCGTGGCGACGTGTGATTGGTCACACTTGGTGCGCGACACGAACACGTGCTTACCCCCACCTCTTTTTGCGGGTCGTGTGTAAAACTGCAGGTATAAAAGGCGGGTAAGCAGGGTGCATCGTGCTGAGTCGTCCAGCAGTCCAGTCGCTCTTCTCCCCTCCTCTTTCTGAGGGTTTTCGCTCCCGTTCAGAAACCGCCTGTGCATTAAAGGTGTTAATTATACATTTCAATCATTTAAATCTTACCATCTCGGATAAAATTATAATTTTAAAGTTTTATTGCTTAAAAGTGACAGTTAAATACTCCATACCTCCATTTAACCGGAGGTTATGTTCCGCATTTGCCTAATGGCGGCGACATACCGCGGTGAACACCCAGCACTCTGTGTTTGATAAGCTTCCGGAGACAATTTCAATAAATTCATCAACTGCTGAAGATTATCGGAGAGTGTAAGACCCAAATCTTCAAAAACACTGCCTAGATAACCTATAAATACAAAAAAAAACATTAAAAACATAAAACTCAAGTTAACCTATAAAATACTTACTAATATCATGTGCTAGTTGCCTACATGCCGGCGTGGACAACTCGTGAATACTTAAAATACGATCGCAGTACGTTTGACAAGTCCCTCTAGCGACAATCTTAAGAAACGTGTCGGCCATGCCACCTTCTTCATCCGTGTTGGCATATTCAGTATCAGCAGCTTTTAACGCACAGTTTAAAGATGGATTCTCACGGAATAGAAACGGTTCAAGATGTTGGGGCAACGTCATTAGATACTGACCAATCTAACAGGAAAAAACGCTTAGTAAATATTAATTTTGAGGTTAAATACTCATAAAAATACCTGTGTTATATATTCCTGTGGGGATAAACTATATTCCGGTAATTCTTGTTGATATCCGCCATCTGTAAACTGCGCCCATGTTTTACTCCCCTGTACGACATCCAAATGCACCGAAATCGGGCCGAAAACAACTTGAAACGTCGTCTGATGCACATCAGCACACAATTTCCCAAATTCTCCAAGCACATGATCTAATAATGATAACCTGGTACCTTCAGTAACGCACTTAACCAAACTTTCGAACTCTTTTCTCTCCACGCCATTCAAAAACAACTGTTTATAATCTCCGATACCTGGCTGTAGTAACTCATTAGTCAATTCCTTCTCGAATATTTGTAAATTATTCAAAACATCACCACAGTTTTGTAATAGGGACATACAAAGTTGAAAACGTGCCCAGTCTTCTTTCTTTTCATTGCGTCTGTCGATCTGCCTCAGCGCAACTCTGAATTGATCACCATAAGTGACAAAAAACGTCCGGAAAGCAATCAGAAGACCGCAATACCCACAATATTCAGTGATATTTTTACATCTTTTATGCGCATCTCGAGCTATATCCATCACAGGAGTAATAGAAAAGCCTAATGCTTGGATTGTATCTTGAAGTTCTTCTTTAATACAATTTATTGTTGTTAATTTATGCGAAAGGTGACCTTGTTCATAAGTAGAGTATTTACTTATGTATGGCACCAAAGGATTGTAGATTGTTTGGCGTAAAAGTGTTGATTTCTCACCAGAAACTAAAAAAACGTAAAATATTTAAATTTTGAGGTTAACTTACAATATACTCACTATTAGGTTGAATATTCTTCAAAACATCATCAATACTCCCCGCAAACTGCTGTAACATCTGCTTAACTTCCAAAAGGAAATATAACTTATCAGAAGTTTGTTTTAAAGCAGCATCAAGACATTCATTCATCATAGGATCCAAACTAGCTAGTACATCGATATACAAATCCACCAAACAATCACAAGTGTTTTCCTCAGGGAAAACCTGTGAGAACCACTTGTATTGTGCATGCCAATTACTAATCAACAACACAAAGAAGTTGTGTATCCACTGCACAACTGAATCTTCCTGTTCGTCAAGTTGTTCACGCCATTTCTTCAACAAAATATCCTTTTGACATTTATGATAGTATTTCAACAACTGTTGCAAGCGTCCGATTGAATTAAACGTTCTTGCATACAACAAAGACTTTTCAATATCACAAGTTGAAAGTGCTTGGACAATCGAAGGACTTGCAATTGCTTCCAGGCGGTTTTTCAATCCTTCCAGCTGGAGTTTTCTATCTTCGTAATCAGAAATATTCACAAGTAGTTTTAAAGACTGTTGCATACCCAGAAGCTTCGCAGAAATATTCGGAATGTTTTTCGAATCGAAAACTTCCTCCAAATCATTAACTGAAACAAACAAGTTGATAATTAGTTTTGTTTTTGAATAATTTGACGTTTTCTTTGTCAATGTTCAACTCCCGACATTTTTTTCCTCTACCAAAACCGTACACGCAAATTACTCGATAATGTAATGATGATAAAACGCAGTCGAAGTGAATTAAACCTAACAGCGAAACAAACGCGTCGATACGAACGCCGGCGTGAATCCAAACCGAGCCAGAAAGAAAACAGAAAGATGAATCCGCTTGTCAAGAGTTTAGAGTCAACTTTACATGAAACACACACAACTAAACTGAAATCCTCACTGAAAAAAGCGCAGCTTCATCAAATGGATGAAGCAAAGAAAGAAAACAAACAGTTATTAAATGTGCTGCAACAACAGTGCAGTAATCATGATTTAGGACGTTCAGATATAAGTCCAGCATATTCAACTGTGAGTATGGTTCACTTACAGTATAAATATGAAGAGTTATTGTCCAGTCATGAAGGACTGCTGAAATTATTGGAGACGAAAGTGATGGAGGTGCGTAAATGTTACATAGAGAATGAAAACCTGCATAATGAGATCAAAACGTTGAAGAATAAGCATGAAGATATGGAGAAATCAGTGCGGCTTGTCTGTGAGAAGTATCTGAAGCTAAAACAGCGTAAGGAGAGGAAAATATGTAAGGTGAAGTTCGAGAGGGATACGATTAAGTTAGCGCATGATAAATTAGTGCATTTGTTGCATCGAAAATGCATGGAAGAGGATGATTTGATGGGGAAACAGTTGTGTATGTCGATGGAGAGTAGTAGAAGTCTGCTGATAAGCGAAGTACGTCGTGCGAATAAGTTACAGTATGATAATGCGATGTTACTACAACAGAATGAGTTTCTGCATGCGAAATTACAGGCTAATTTTAATTTTAATAAGAATAAAGAGTAATATTAGAATTATCCCTTGAATATAGGCAACCCAACATACACTAAATGCACCAAAGAGGTTAAATTAACAAAAATTGAATATTTTAAGTAAAAATTCTTCATAATAACAAAGTTTTGGTAGTAAAATGAAGAAATACTTACCAAGAACAGTCCAGTTATCACTCTCATGCAGTCCTTGCTTGGCATCCATGAGTTTCGCTTTCATTTTATCCAATTGTTCGATGGAATTAATGGATTTCCCTGTATCTTCTTCGATTTTCGTGATTTCTTCTCTAACTTGCTCCATTTTTTCCTTGAGAGCCAATGCTTCTTGTTGTAGACTCTTGCTATCTCTAATTATCTTTGGCATAGATGCTAGAATGTTATGACTTGTTTCCTCCAGTGAATTGTTGACTTGTTGGACATAGAGTTGCAGTTTCATCACAAGAGACATTGTATAATTCTAATAATATAAAAAATATGATTATATACATGAATATGATGGTTTATTAGGGATTAATTACTTCTTTCTTGTCCATATCGGCATTATTCTTCAATATTTCATTGATCCATGTTTTAGTATCAAAATTCTCATCGGAAAACGCAGTGATATCCTAAAAATTAATGTTAGGGGTGCTTGTTTACAGGAATTATTAATGTTTATACCATTTTTGATTAATTTTTATGTTTTTCTGGGCTTTTGATGACGTTTTTCACTTGTTTTGAAACATGAACACACATATAACCTCTACGAATGTTACATGGCACTGTTCTGACAGATTATACAGTATAAAAGTTCAAATTAATTTTTTACTCATTTTACTAACAACAAATTGCATATACAATGAATATAATTACAGATAATGCTTGTTGTATATTTCTTTTTCTTCAGCGACTACTTTTCGGATTTCTTGAAGGACTTTTTGGTATAAAAACGATTGTCTATCAAAAACAAAACATAAAAATGAATAATTTGTTAGTTTTAAGCAATTATTTTACATTACCGATTCGTAGGCTTGCAAATTCCTAGATGATTCAATGGAATTTCATAGTATTCACCGACTCCAGGATTCCCCGAACGTTTCTCAACGACTTCGATGTTTAATTTAAGCGCTGAAACAATCGTAGGTTTATTTTCGACAAAAGAAAAGATTCTAATCGGTATTCTATGTAAATAATCTAGAAATTCATTGTGAATTCGACGCAAATTAGGTGAATCTTCACGTAATTCTTGCACATCCATTGATGGCCATACTAAATACGAAGTAGTCTGATTCAAAATGGCGGTTTTTGAGCCGGTATGCGGTGTGCTATAGAAAAAAATCGCTTTTGACTGGTTTCCCAAGCTTTGCATTGCAGGATCTTTCGATTTCAACGCTAAAATATCATTTTTAAGGTTTTAGTATTGATTTTTGTAGTTAATAATCATTAATCAATAATAATAATAATTTTACCTTTACTAATGACGTTTTTCACTAATAATCCGCCCATAGAGTGCGCCACCCAGACAATCGGACGTTTACCTACACCAGCATCAACTAATTCAGACATTAATTCAGTGCTACGATCTTCCAATGTAACATTATTCGCTATTTCGGGGCACATATGAGCCCACAATGATAATGTCGTGGAATAATTCACGCCCAGCACGCGTAAATGCGCACAATCCACTGGTAACCAATCACGTGCCCAGCATTGTGTATTTTCATCGCCACGACAAGAATCACCACTAAAATATTATAAAGTTTTATAAAACTAGTTTAAATGTGAGGTTATATACTGACTGTGGCACAACATACGGTCCTGTCGCTGTGGCATTCGTATCTTCCGGAATATCAAACTGTACGATTTCATAATCAACTCCGAGATGATCCCATTCGATTTTGTCGTGCTCCGCCATCTGTTGGAGATATTCCTGTATTGCAGGATCGCTAGACGCTGTCAAGAGATTTTGATCTTCGAATTTAGACTCTTCCAACCCAATCGACTCTTTGCAATCCACATTAAAGCAGCAGACAAAACACAATCATGTTAGTAAAACACAAAACACACAAAACGCACCAGCAAGATTAGGATTTCATGCTTTAGGTTAGGATAGGTTAGAATTTTATGAATTTTTATGTTTTTCACTAACCTTCACCTGTACCTTGTGTCGCAACCATCGGTTTTCTACCCTTACCGACTAAATCCAACGTTTTCGTACAATTTCTACCATTTCTCCACGTATAGAACACACTACCAAGTAAACCATGTACAAACACAACATCAACGAGAACTTTTTCATCGTTACGCGCATGCGGATGCAATAAAAAGATATTCGTCGAGTATTTCTCTTTTACTGTATCTTTATCTAAATTCGCCAGTGCTTGATTTGCAGGTCCTGCTATTCTCACATCAGGATGATGCACCCATTTCGCCAGGACAGATATCCATCCTTAAAAAAGTGTATAATTGGTTGCCTATATTCTTTAAAACAACTAACAAACAACTAACCAGTTTTAAAAAGTTCTTGTGTGTGTTCCGGATGCATAGAAATATTAGAAATGATTTGACACAGCGGAACATTAATGTTTGCATCGTCCGGGAATCTTAGATGCACCTCCATGAGAAGATACAGTCCCATTTCATTCAAAACATCCGAAGCATATTGCGAAATGCTGCTGTGATGGCGCACAGTTTCCAAACAAAGCGGTAAATCATCTTCGGATTCTTTTCCGACGTAGCTTAAAGCTTCAGTGCCATGATCAGAGTCTATTATTCTATTTATATCCTTAAAATTACATAGAAAAGGTTTAGAAATGTATAATTTAAGTGTAAACGTGATTAAAATTACATAAGCTTGCAGAAATATCTTTGAAATGGTTTTTCGTAGACAAGTATGAGCTGTGCGATGTTTAGAATCCTTGTACATCGAATGCATGTAGTCTTTGATCGTGTGCAACAGTAGTTGATTATTGTAAGTGCCGTAGATTCTCGGTGGAGGCAAAAAGAACTTTTTACTCTTTTCCAGTGAATCTGTGCTTCGCGCGATGCCAATCGCCGCTCGTGCGTCGCACATATGCGCGATAATCGAACACTGCCATTCTTCTAGCTTTAAATTTGTCAGGTGATGAATTGCCCGTACTCTGTACCATTGATTATCGCATTTTGCAAGGCCCATCAAGCGTTTAGCATAAGTAAAACGGAAAAAGTTGTGAAATTGATGAAATGTGCCATGTACCTCGCTGTATTTGCTTGTTATCCATTTATTATAGTTATTTGGGTATGCAGGTTGTTTGCCATCTTCAAAGATGTCAATTATGGAAGGATCGAAGGCATTGCGTAGTAATTCAGTGGTTTGTTTGATGTAATTTGCAATAAAAGCAACGCTAAAATGTAATTTTGTGTTTATTTGGTGGAAATTTATGATTTATTGAGGTTTATACCTCGAACCGGCTGCTACAATTAAAATGGCACGTATTCGACGGTTTCTTGCATCTTTTACCATCGTTTCTAGTGCATTTTGCGGTGGTTTTCTTTTAAATTTTTTTTATTTCATACGTAATAATTTATTTGTTTTGATTTTGCGGGGTATTTTGAGGTTCTAATGTCAAAAACATATGGGGTTTTGTGTTGAATAAGTTGCCTACATTCACATGCTATAATATGTCATAAATTTTTTATACATTTTGGTTGTTGAAACATTTATTTATTCGAAATTAGAGGTAATTTAGTGAGAATACACTAAAAAACAATGCAAAACATAATATTGTTTAGTGTTTTAATGTTTTCATAGTCATTTTGCGTGTTATTCAAACAAATAATTGTAAATATTTTACTGTGAACCTATGGTATAACATGTTTATGAGTTCGTCTGATGTCGCAGGTGATCGCATGATGTCGTTGATGTTTGACACCCGCTTTGACATTCGCCATAATCCTCGCCGTCACCCGTGCGCGCGTGCATTCCGTTTTAATATTATTTTTGATTATTATTTTCCAACGGTTGCGGGTGCCAGGCCGGGATGCTTAGCGCCGCCGTCGTCGGTGGCAATTCGACGTGATTGTTTCCCCACGGTGCGTTGTCGCGTTTTCGCGTCGCAGTGCGCGAGTGTGCGTGAGCCCTCTGCTCCCAACAGACGGCGCGCGCGTTGGCGGAGGAGGCGACACAACACACAACTACAACCACCCCCCGGGGCCCCGGCGCGTGGTGGAGTCCCGGATCGCTTGCTGCCTAGGATAGCATGGATCAGCGGAGATTATGTAAGTGCGCATATTACACTTTTTGCTCCTCTCTTTACGTGCTCACCTCCTTGAAGGTTAGATACATTTATTTATAAACCAGATTGCACTTCGATGAATCAAACGTGCATATTCACAACATACATGCGGAAACAAAGCTAGAAAATACCACAAATAACATCATAAGTATGTGATAAAACCCACAACGTATTTCCTGCAGTAAAAGTTTATTTTGATTCACGGTGACATTTGGGTTGCCTATCTGCAACCTTCAGCGCAGACAGGAGTGAAAGTCGAATTCAAATCAATGCAAATTCAGCGTGTTCACCGCTTGTCTTTCATTTGTCTCGCGTGAAATGAAACAAAACAACATGGCGTGATATTGCTTACGCCACACACAACACACACACACACACACCGGCCTGAATCATTGAACGTTGTTCCGCTCCATTTCGCGCAGAGCAAACAACAACGCATTGGTATTGTCGCAATAATCCCCTAGGGGATGCGCTAGGGAAATTTCACTTGTCAGTTTTTAACGCTACACTGCAATTGGTAATAGTCAACATGGCGTTCGCAATGTCAAAAGAAAAAAAACGTGTCACAGCTAATTTCTGTATGTGTATATAATACGGTCGAGTTTTCTAACCTTGAATCGGAGGTTAGACGCGCGAGGCGCAGGTCACACACACACCAACGCGGCGAACAATGGAGAATTAAATCTCGGAAAGAAATCAAGATTTTACGACTGGCGGCGATAACGTCAACTATAACCTCTTCATTCGAAACAGTAATTTGAAAGTTTGGTGGTTATACATCATCGCCATTTTGAAATATAACCAACATAGTGTAAATCAAGGCGAATATTGTTTGTACATACACACAGACGTGGAGCGTGGAGTGTGGAGACTTGCGGTTCGACCCGTAGTCGGCTAGAAAAATGCGGTGCGCACTCGAGGACCTTGAAAAGTCTCCTCGGTCCCCGGAAAAGCGCGCCGCGCGCGCGACCTACACGCACAGAAGGGCAAACGAGAAGGCAATCGTTTCCTTGTTTGTATGTACGTATTATAATTGATTTCATCTTGACATCATTAAATCAACATTAAAAAAAATTAAAATTTTTTTTAAAAAATTGCAGGTTATGTTACTGGAAAAAAAGATGCTGTGTTGTGATCTGGGTCATGAGGGTTGCCACCATTTTGTTTTGTTTGAGGTTTCTTGACATCCTTGCTAAAATTATTGACATCGGCACTTGCAACCACCCCGCAGGTCACCAGACGCTTGTCTTTAATTGTGATTTTAATTTCGTTTTTAATTCGTGATTGTTTCGCGAAGGGAAAGGAACAAAAACGATGCGCGAAGTGAAAAGGCGCGTTAGAAAGTTGAAAATAGAGATATTATGCCGGCAACGGTGAAAAGAAGTTTCGCCAGGCGGGCAGAAGTGAAAGAATTGAAGAAAATATTTGAGCGCTGTGCTTTTACTCGAAAATTTATTTTTTTAAGTTTTTTGTGTGTGTGACCTTGGAGTTTGTCGTTTGAAGTTTGTACAAGCGTTGATTATTTGCGTTAGTTTAGTCATTATTAGTTTTGCGCATGCGTAATAGCCGGTTGATTATTTATTCGGCTGCGTTTTGTTTCATGACTTTCATGTCGTACGTAATCGCGCGCCGCCAAGGAAGTTCGCACCGCACCACCACGTGCATACAAGGTTACAGGTTATGCACGACATGATAATTCTAATTTTAATAATATTTTGGCGTAGATTGAAAAATATGCACAAAATTTATTAATTTTTGGTTTTTTAGAATGAAAATTTTATTTTTTAAATTTTATATGTGTGGATATATAGAAATGTAAAACACTTTCTTTTCCGTTTTCGTTTTTCTACGCTCACGAGTATAGGCATCGTGCGGTGTCGGTTGTGATCGCGCCACGCGTTCGGTCCGTAACCTTCCTCGAGTCGCGCACTCGCCACACTCCGCCGTCAGTCGCCTGTCGCACGTTCGCCGGCACGCACGCAACCAACGTCTCACCGTCTCGCAAACGTGTGTGTTTTTGTGTCGTGTGGTGGTGCGAAATTCTTCTCACCCTCTGAACAAAGTTTTATTTAAATTAAAATAAATAAGAAAGGAATTATTATAATTTTAATATTAAAGTGTTTATATTATATGAGTGTGGTGTATGTGTGCGAATATTATTTAAATCGTGTGTGATTTTTGATTTGATTTGATTGGTGGATGAGAAAGTGTGCGCCTTGCCTTGTGTTGGGAATATATAGAGGTGTATCGAAGGGCCTTGCGCGAGAGTTGTGTGTGTGTGTACATGTACAGAGTATAATATTATATTGGTGTGTGCGCCGCGCCGCGCACCAAGGACACCACCGGCCAGCCGGCTAGCGACAGGCCAGCCAGGCAGAGAGGCACAGAGCGCAGTGTATCCGAAAGTTAACCTCGGACGCTTTTTTTTCGGGCGCTCGTCGACATTTTTACGCAAGGTTCCCGCAACGGCCATCACACTGGATTTTAAAATCAACAACAAATTGCGGGAGTCAATTTTCGGATTTACTAATGTCAGGATGGCTCTAGCTAGGTAATTACATGCATTTATCGTGGATTTTTGGGGATAACTTTTGAATGACTTGTGGGATTTGGACAAGCTTTATATCAAATTAAAGAGGGTTAAATTCTCTATTGAATGATGTTTTGGGGGATTTTGTGGGATTTTTAGGTAAAAAGTTATTGAGGGTTAAAGTTTAAAAGTGATATTTTTTGGTGATTTGTTTATAACTTTTAAATGGGGAGATATTTAGCTGTGAATGTTTTTTTGTGTTGAACTAGATTTAATTGTTTATTAGATAGAGTTTAAATTATTTTGATATCTGCGATAGTTTTCGAGTTATAGCGCATTTAAAATTAATATTTTTGCAAATTATACAGTATGGCATATTTTTGTTAATAACTTTTGAATGCCTTTTTGGATTTGGACTAGCTTTATACCAAATTAAAGAGGGTTAAATTCTCTATTGAATGGTGTCTTGGGGGATTTTGTGGGATTTTTTGGTAAAAAGTTATTGAGGTTTAAAAGTTTAAAATGCAATTTTTTGGGTTTTTATTTATAACTTTTAAATGGGGAAATATTTAGAGGTGATTGTTTTTTTGTATTATAGTAGATTTAATTATCTATTAGATTGAGTTAACATTTTTGTGATATCTTTGATAGTTTTCGAGTTATGACGAATTTAAATTGAATTTTTTTTGCAAATTATACCGAGTGACACATTTTCGGTAATAACTTTTGAATGCCCTTTTGGATTTTAACATGTTTTACATCAAATTAAAGATAATTAAATTCTTTATCAGACGATACTTTGGTCGGTTTTAAGACATTTTTCATTAAAAAGTTATCGAGGTTTAAAGTGAAAAAACATAATTTTTGCAAAATTGTTAATAACTTTTAACAACAAATATTTCTACCTAAATATAAGTCCATTTAAAACTAGATTTAATTATCCACAACATAAAATTTAAATAATTTCTCTATCTTTGATAGTTTTCGAGTAATACCAAATTTTAACTCAATATCTTCCCACACCACACTGTATGCCATGAAATTAAGGCAATGAGGTTATGCGCACCGCTCAAGGTGTGTGTTAGCGCTGCGTAACCATGACGACCACCACGTGCATGTGTGCGTGCGTTTTACCCTCGCTCCAATTTCCATTTCGCGCATCCCTGTAAATATTATTCCATCATCATTACGATCATAATCACCCACACTCTCTACTACCAACCATTGCTGCTCATACTCATTACCAGTACCAGAGTAAGTAGTAGTTGGTAGTAGGTGGTAGGATGGTCGGTGTCCGCGTTCTCTCGTCGTCGGCGTGTTCGCGTTCCAATTGGCCGTGCGCGAGAGGCAGGCCAGGCCACCGCTTGGCGCGCGGGCTGCATGTGTGTCACAGGCGATGTGGAGCACGGCTGCTCTCTGGCGGCGCGCGCGTTGCCTCAATCTAGAGATTTTCAATGACCCCAAAATGCCGCCCGACTAATACCTACTCGCCGCGAGAGAAGCGGTGGAGGAGCCTTTCTCAAGTGTGAAATGTGAAATATTATTATTAATATTATTAATAATCGCTTGAGCCTTAAATTTGGTTATTTTTTGTGGGTTTACTGCCGCCCTGGGAGTATTTCTATCTCAACCCTTGGTTTTGAGTTGAGCTCGTGCAAAGGGTTCAAGGTCCATGCGCTGCGCAATGCCCCGGTTCGCTTGAGGTCGCGCAGGGTTTTGGTTTTCCTCTCTCTGCTGGTGTATCTGCTATATATACAGTGTGTTTTGTTTGATAGTTGATATTGTGTGCCTTATTATTTTGTGGCATTGAGCACAATGTCGAATTAATTGCGCGTTGTGAAGAATGGCGGAAAGCGTTCGTTGGTAATCATTTTTTAGGTTATAGCACAGTTTGCATTGGCGCTGGCGGTTATTTTGTGTGTCTCAACCTTGAACTCAATTTTTTTCACGTTTTGTTGAGTGCTCTACAATTTTTCTCAAATATTTACATTTGCACACTGTATATGTGAATTGTCGATGGATGTGTTCTGTGCAAATTTGCCTAAAGTAAGCAATAGAATACTATAGAACCACTATAGAGATATATAGGAGTATAGTGTAGACATAGTGAGTAATTATGTAGTTTTAGTTTTTTGGATTTTTTAGTGTTGTAATTGTTAAAATTTTATGTTTTTGGTGTGATTAGATGAGTAATTAAATTATCTTTAGGATAATATATTTGGAAATGTTGTATGTTTAATATTCTCAGAGATATTTTAGTTTTTTTTTAGGAGAGTTTTATGAATTTTAGTCAAAACTTACTGAATGCAATTGGCAAGCCGAGGTATTTTGTTAATAACTTTTGAATGCCTCATTGGATTTGAACATGTTTTACATCAAATTAAAGAGGATTAAATTCTCTGTAAAATGGTACCTTGGTCTATTTTATGAAGTTTTTCATTAAAAAGTTATCGAAGTTTAAACTTACATATAAGTTTTTTATTTGAAAGAAGTCGCGGTAAGATAAAATTCTGTTTTCCACTATTTTAGCCTTACAAATGCAAAATTTTACAAGTTTGTGCAGTCATTAGATGCGCAATTAAATTATCTTTCATATAATACATTTTCAAATATTGCAAATTAAATATTTTCAAAGATATTTAAGTTTTTTTTGAAAGAAAACTTACGAATTTTATTAAAAAAATTAAAATTTAGTACAATTTTTATTCATTTAATGAATTTTTATGCATTTTTATACAGTTTTCATAATTCCTGCGAACTTTTTCAACTTGCACACAATTTTTTCATTCGAAATGAAGTCGCGATGAGATAAAACCCGGCGCCGCGCCGCGCAACATGCTCGAAAAACCCGGTTATGGGCGTTAAACTAGGCTATTGCTGCCGCACGCTTTTTGCCCACTCTCTTACTTAACTCACACACACACACAGACACATAAACAATTTGCTTCTGCAATCGTAAAACACTGCAAATATAAAACGTAACGCATCATCAGTTTCCACTACACATGTAAAACATATACATTCAATACATTTATTTACTTATTTTTAAATATAAATAAATATAAATTTAGGACACGCATGAACACACTGTGTGTTACCTAATATTAATAATGTTTTCTATGTGTAGATGTTAATACTTTTGTATTGATACTCGTTTTTTTTTCTCTCCTGCGCAAACAAAAGGAATGCGCGCACGTTGGAGATGGCGAAGAAGTCACTATTACTTATGATCTAGTTTTGTTTGTGTGTCGGCGATTTGCTCATCGGCACGACGAAAGCGGCGCACCATGGGCCGCGCGCTCGTGTGAAATTGTTACACTCTCAATGTGTAATGAGAAAATCGAGGATAAACGGAACGAAAACTTTCAAACGCCGCGGCGCGCACTTTTTCTAGGTTATCTGCAATATTTACTCGAGACACGACGCTTTATCTTTATCTAGTTTAACATCCACTTCCGGTTTTATACATATTTTATCATGACCTATCTTAATATTTAATTTGTAAGTTTTGGTTTTTTTTTATTTACATATTTGCAATGGGCGTGTTTTACGTTCTACTTAATTTCGCTGAGTGCGACTTGACCAGCTTAACAAGGATTTTATTTTATTTTATTTTAAAGTTGCGCGATTGCTGTGTGTGTATGTGTGTGTGGATGTGTTTTTTTTTTACTTATCGAATTGATGTCATCGAATTGTTGCTTCTGTTTCGGTCTACTTTATTCACATGAGTGTGTGTTGTATGTTTTTGTTTGGCAGCGATTGCGGCAATTTTGCGTGTGTATGCGCATGCGTGTGTGTGTTTGTGTGTAAGTAAGTTGCGATGTTTGCGAGTGTCGTCATGTCATTAGAGCAGCCAATTGAAATCGAGACCAACCCGAAAACCTATTTTATATTTGCATCAAAGGGTTTTGTTGTATTGTTTTTAATTGAAAACCGGTATTAGTATCGGTATACCGGTATTTTTTGTATTTTTTGAATTAATTTAGGGAGTAGTTAAGTAATTTTATAAAAACCGGTAATAATATTGATATACCGGTATTTTGCTTACAAAAACCGCTGTTTTTTTAATTTAGAAATCGTTATTTTTTAATTAATTAGTGAGTAGTTTATTAATTTTATAAATACCGGTATATTTCTTTCCAAAAACCGGTATTAATACCGGTATTTCAACATTTCTTACCGAAAAATTCACCATTCTTCAATTTAAATATATTTTTTTATTTTATTGAGGGCGAGGGTGATATTTACCTTTACCTATCTACTTCAAGGACAAATATTTTTTCTGTCCTGCAGGTATACACAAGGGTCATTTATAGGTCATCACAAATTTTATACCTGTCGATATACCTACAACAAACTACAACCTTACTGAAATGAAGGTCGAGTATAGATTTATACCTGTCTCGAAAAATGTAGGTATATACAAACAGCTGTTGATTTAGGGTTGTTTAGAATTAGGACAACCGAACCAACTTTGATGTCCCGTCTGTCCTCGATCAAACAAGCAATTTGGGAAATGATCAAAAATTATTTAGATTATGTCTACGCTTTTTTATATACGAGTATCATGATGATGATTCAAACGGCGCGTAATTTGGGTCGTCCACAATCAAAATTGTAATCTGATAATCATATCATAATAATACAGGGTGTTTCAAATATTATATCGGAATTATTATCAATATACCGGTATTTTTATTGTAAAAATTAATATTTTTCAATTAATTTACTGAGTAATTTATTAATTTTATAAATACCGGTATTTTTATCATTAAATACCGGTATTTGGTTGTTTTGTGTTGTATTGTGGTTTTTAGTTGGTACATTTATTTAATTATAACTTGCACACTTTATCTAATTGTGTGTATGATCGATCGTGGCCCACTTTTTGTAATTTTCATGTGTTTTCTCATTATATTCGCATATAACCACAGCATATGTGTGTGTTGGTTGTCTGAGAATAACACGTGTGCACGCAGGAGTACAGTACAATAAGCGTAATAAACGCAATGAGAGGGCGT